AATAAGTTTCTTCCAAGAAGGGAAGGGCTGAATTTTATAGGTCACTTGTCCACCCACTTCCTGAGAACAGGTCACTTCCTCAGTCCTCATTGTGGACCCTGCCTGAGAGCATGGGGGAAGGACTATTCTTTGGCTTGGTGGTTTGGTCAAACGGCCTTCGAGGGGTCAAGTTTGTCTGAAGACCTGTTAATTTCCTTGGATTTTTGTTACCCTGGAGCTTCTCCCTCAGGGAAAAGGAGGGACCAAAACAACCAAGTCAAAAGATTTGAGAGGGTGGAGTTAGTTTGACTGTTTCCCTGAACAACTTTTTAGTAGAGAATCTCTGTCAGACTCCTTCTGTTCCTGCCCTTTTCCTACCTTGCAGGATTACTTAACCTTTCTGGCCTTGGAAAGCTTTCCCTCACAGTGAGGGGTCAGGAGATGGTGGAAAAGGCTAGTAAGTGGCTGAACTAGGGTCTAACCCAGTCTTTCTGCCTCAAAATCCTGCAGAATCTCCAGACTCATCCCCTCTTCTCCCTGTGGGAATTCACTGCCCCCTTCAGGCAGAGCTTTTCTCAGCTGTAAGCACGTCTCCTTCTGCCCTCCAGACTGTCCTTGAGTGGCTCCACATCCCACTCCCATCCTTCCCACCCCTACTCCCTGCTCAAATACCACCCACCTTTTCAGGTTACCCTTTTGGTCCTTTCATGAAGATCTCCCTGAGCACTGATATATGCTAAGAAGATACTGGATTTTAAAAATACTTCAAAAACAGTGTGCAAAAGATTATTATTATCACTGATGACCTTAGCTGTGGGGCACAGTCAAGCTGCAGGCTTAGCCCCGTGGCCGCCTATGGCGGAAGCCTGGGATTCTCCAGGTTGGCTTTTCCACACAGGTGACCTAGATCAGCAAGGGGGACTGATAGCCTGGTGGGCCAAGGAGCTCTAGCTCAGGGTGAGAGAGAAGCCAGCCTGAACCAGCCTGCTGGCCAGAGGTGCAGGGAGAAAGCAGCCTGCAGTTTGCACGTCAAATCCCTAACTGTTTTGCCTCAAATATGAAGGGGGTCACTTTCTAAGAGGAAGTCAGTTCTTCCCACAGCTTCCCTGATGCCACCAAAACAACTCTTGGTTGCTCTCTCTCTCTCAGAAAACAGCGGGATACAGTGTGGTCTCAGGACAGAACCTGGACATTCATTCAACCAGTTCCTCTGACCAGGGCATTCTGACTGTCGCCATCCAGACCCAGGGGTTCTTATTTCCAGTTTTATTAGTAGAAAAGAATCTGGGCTTGAGTCAGAGAATCATAAAATGTTAAGTGGTAGAAGAGAATCGAGGAGAAATCCAACACTCTCTGATAAGGTAAATGAGGCCTCGAGAGATTTCAGAAGTGGTTTCCAATGCCAATCCTTCTATCTGTCTTCTTGGGGGGGGGGGGGGCGCGGTAAAAAAAGGATAAAGTAGTGAGTTTAAAAAAATCATCTAAATTTATTCAATTTAAAAGATGTGTCTTTTGGGGCACCTGGGTGGCTCAGTCGTTAAGCGTCTGCCTTCAGCTCAGGTCATGATCCCAGGTTCCTGGGATCGAGCCCCGCATCGGGCTCCCTGCTCCGCGGGAAGCCTGCTTCTCCCTCTCCCATTCCCCCTGCTTGTATTCCCTCTCTCACTGTGTCTCTCTCTGTCAAATAAATAAATAAAATCTTTAAAAAAAAAAAAAAAGATGTGTCTTTTATTCTGATACTATGGTCCTCTCTGTTTTTTAGGATTTAAGGTAATTTTGAATACTCTTTAAACAAATAGAATAACTGTACTTGAAATTCCAAAGTTCAGATCCCCCGGGGTTAGGTAGCTCACCAAAGGCCCTATACATCTAGTCAAGGGCAGAACTGACTTCGAATTTCTATTACTCACTGTTTTCTTCTAAAGCCACAGAGACACTTAATGTATGACCTGGGGTAAATGATTTACATCCTGAGCTCCAGATTTTGCCATCTGTAAAATGAGGGATAATAAAATCTGCTCTGGGTCACCAAGCATTCATGAGGCAAAAATGAGACAATGGAGAAAGAACTTTGCGGAGGAAGGTTTTTACACTGACCAAGGGCTTGGTCAGTCCATTGATTCTCGAGGCTCTAGCTGTGTGGATTTTTTGCTCTGAAGCCTCTATTAGTTTCCCAGGGTTGCCAGAACGAAGTACCACAAACTGGTGGTAAACAGAAATTTATTCTGTCACAGTTCTGGAGGCTAGACATCTGATATTGTGGTATTGGCAGGGTCATACTCCCTCCGAAGCCTCCAGGGGACTGTCCTTCCTTGCCTTGTCCACTGCTGGTGACCCCAGCTGTTCTTTGGCTTCTTCCAGCATAACTCCGTTCTCTGCTTTTGGTTTTCCATGACTGTCTTCTGTCTCTGTGACTCTGTCTCTTCACACAGTAGTGTTCTTTTCATGAGGAAACCAGTCATGTCAGATGAGTACGACCCCATCTTAATGTGATTTCATTGGCAATGAGCCTGTTTCCAAACAAGGTCATGTTCTGAGCTACGAGGAGTTAGGGCTTCAACACGTCGTCTTTGCAGGAGGGACACAACTCAACCGGTCACAGAGACCATCCAGGTAAATTTTAAGTTGCATTTTAAGTGGCATCAACTGCCCTGACTCTAAGGAAAGCAAATTTCAGTCACCCTACTTTTCCAAAAAGGACCGCTATGAGGCAAAAACAAAGGGAAGTGGGGAGGTAGGTGTGGGGGGGAGGAAAATTAAAGCAGCTGGTTAATCAATAAACAGAATCCTTGGCTCCTGAGGGATGGAGCACTTAAGAGCTCCAAAAGCTTGACCAAGCTTGAAAGCGAATTCCAGGCTGTGCTCACTCCTCAGAGAACTCTTAGCCAGAGTGCTGCTCCCCCAGAACAATCCGTATTGCCAGGGAAAGGTGAAGCTTTCTTAAGTCAACACACTTGGGCCTGAAGCAATATTTGTTGATGAAGGGTCTGAGCTGGGTCCCACTCTGCCAGGAGCGGACACACTGGTGGTGGGGGCATTGCCGGCCAGGCCCTGGGGCCAGTTGAATCAACACCAGCACTCTTCTTGTCTAGCGGCAAGCCTCTGCTTCCTTCCCAGAGAGTTGTTTTTTTGTTTTTCGTTCTGACTCAAAGGTCAAAGGCAGCTGTGTTCAATTCTCCCAAGGACTGGGCCAAAGAAGGACATGGTCACAAGGAACTCTGCTCAGATCGTGCAAAGCATTCTCTCTCCATGAAGTTTGTGGACCCTGAGACATGTTCCTTGAGGAAGACAGGGCTACATTCTGGTTTTTGCTGGCCCTTGGCACTTTTGCCTTTGTGGGTTCCTCGCTTCATACAAAAAATACTAAAAATCATGTTTTATGGTATAAATATTAGCGTAATACAATCTGGATTCTTATAGATTTTTTTTTAAGATTTTATTTATTCATTTGACAGAGAGAGACAGCGAGAGAGGGAACACAAGCAGGGGGAGTGGGAGAGGGAGAAGCAGGCTTCCTGCGGAGCAGGGAGCCTGATGTGGGGCTTGATCCCAGGACCCTGGGATCATGACCTTAGCCGAAGGCAGATGCTTAACGACTGAGCCACCCAGGCGCCCCTGGATTCTTATTATATATTTTATTTATTTATTTTTCTTAAGTAGGATCCACACCCAGCATGGAGCCCGGGATTCTTATTATATATCTATTGATATTATATATATATTTCCTTCTGGTTTTAAAAGAAATTAAAATGGAAACATTTTTGTTGGTCCCTAAAATATCATGGGTCCTCGGCACTGTGCCTACTGTGCCTATGGATAAGTCAGCTCTTGGAGAGAGGCTATGCTATTTTTAAGCATGTGGGCATGGGTACAGTGAGGGGGGTATGTCTGTATCTCTGGGTGTGAGTGTGATTTAGATCTAGGAGATGGTTTAACATCAATCCAGTCTGGACACAGAAGAATGACCAAGGTGACCTCTTGAGGCCCATGTAAGCTGAAGGAATAAGGGGTAAGGTACCAAGCCCTTTTTCTTTAGAGTTTGGTGCTCTCTTTCCTCCTGTGAACCCAGGTATATATCCAAATGGAAAGTGCATCTACCTTGTCAGTGGTTCCCTCACTTCCAAGTTCAATATGTGGATACCTTGCCTCATCGCAGGTCAAAGATGTAGAGGTGGATGTGCAAAAGAGGGTGATGAGAAGGGGAGGAAGCCAGAAGGGACTACCTGGACCACTAGTGGAAACAGGGGCCTAGGGCCCAAGATTATTGCATATCAACACAAATCCTGCCTCGCAGAGGGTCCCAAAAAACATTTTTTCACTGGGACCAGAGCTATTTTGAGCACAAAGTATTTCATCTTCCATCTAACCTAGCGCTTACCTACCTTCTCATCCATCGAGGAAAGTTGTACCAGTTTCACTGAGTCCAGGAAGCATTCACTGAGTCATTAGACTCACCTGTGCATTGGCAAACTTCTGTAAAGGGCCAGCTAGTACATATTTTAGGCTTTGCAGGCCTTACGGTCTTCGTTGCAAGTACTTAACTCTGCTGTTATAATGCAAAAGCAGTCATGGATAATATGTTAAAAAAAAAAAAAAAGGCCACAGATGTATTCCAATAAAATTTTATTTACAAAAACAGATGGAGGGCCAGATTTGGCCTGTGGATTGTAGTTTGCCAAACCCTGGACTACCCTAGCTTTCTCTCCTGACCACATCCTGTTCTTTCTTTCCAGAACATTTCTTGAGTGCCTCTTATGTGTTATACACTCTTAGGGACATTATTAGGTCTTAAATATTTAAGTTTTCCTGTTTTTGCCTCTTGTTTCTTCAGTGGCATCAAAGGCCCTGTTTTCTTCTGTATCCTCCACGAGGCTTAATGTAGCGCTGAACTGAGTATACTTTGGCTTCTTATGATAATTATTGCTTACATTTTTCTGGTCTTGAAATCAATGGGGAAGACATTAGTTAAATTCACTAAAATCCACCGATTTGTATTTGGTGTTCAATTACCTTCCTTTCAGACCTCTGAACTTTTAGAACTTAGCTGCCATGCTGTAAGGAAGCCCAGGATAAACTGCTAGAGAGGAGACCACGTGGAGAGGCCTCAGAGGATGAGGCACCATATGGAGAGAAGGGCCAGCCAGCCCCCAGTGGTTCCAATCTCCTTCGCTGAGGTATCAGACATGTGGATGAAGACTTCTTGGATCTCCCATCACAACTGAGCCTCCAGATGATTGCAGCAGCATGAGAGACATTGAGCCAACTGGCAAAAGAACCACCCAACTGATCCCAGCCCATATTGTAGAGTTGTGAGTAATAATCATTTAAGTCACTAAGTTTTGGTGTGGTTTATAATTCAGCAGTAGACACATTAATTGATAATTGATAGACACTAATTAGGAAGAGTGTATACACACACACACACACACACACACAGAGAATCCAACCAAGAAGGCGCACCAGGCCATACCTGCTAGATCAAAGACTTGTACCAGCAACTCAAGCCCAAAGACAAGGGCAGGGAAGGCTGGAACAAAACCATTGAGGTGGGGGAAATCGGAGGGGTAGACGAACCATGAGAGACGATGGACTCTGAAAAACAAACAGGGTTCTAGAGGGGAGGGGGGTGGGAGGATGGGTTAGCCTGGTGATGGGTATTGAGGAGGGCACATTCTGCATGGAGCACTGGGTGTTATGCACAAACAATGAATCATGGAACACTTCATCTAAAACTAATGATGTAATGTATGGGGATTAACATAAAAATAAAAAAAAATGTTACTACGCAAAAAAAAAACAAACCACTGAGGAATTGTTCTGGGTCTGAATGACAGATAGGATTTGAATATGTGGAAAAGAGCAATATGTGCAAAGAAGCAACGAGAGCAAAGGCTCATCCCTCTCTGGACTACATGCCTCTAAAAGAAGACTCTGAGTGTTAAAAGCATCCCTAAGGACGGACTCTAATGATGGACTTCCAAGAATGGTGATGTAAGGAGGCATTTTGGTATGTGGCTGAGGCACCCCCTCGTTTCTCTCAGAACATGCACGCGGATGTCAACTTACTCCACTTCCTCCTAAAGCCAGCCCTGATAAAAATAATCTATTATCAATTTAGAAAACTCCTAGGGCAAAATCCCCAGAACCCTAATAGGAGGTTCTCTCTTAGGAGGAATAGTCAGCAACAGCTAGGTTTACACTGCCTATTTTATAAAATGGCCAAATGCAAGTTTCAGGGTCCTGTTGTTATCCATCCTGGTCCATCCTGTTTACTAATGATTTGGTTTCTTATCTATGTACAACTTAATTTTTTTTAAAGATTTTATTTATTTGACAGAGAGAGAGAGAGAGCAGGAACACAAGCAGGGGGAGTGGGAGAGGGAGAAGCAGGCTCTCCGCTGAGCAGGGAGCCCAATGCTGGGCTCGATCCCAGGACCCCGGGATCATGACCGGAGCCGAAGGCAGATGCTTAACGACTGAGCTACCCAGGCACCCCTGTACTACTTAATTTTTGAAGGCTAATTGCTTCTCTGCCAGCTGGGTTTTTGGTTCCCTGATGGCAACACCATTGACTGAGATTCAAAGCTGGGCAATGATCACACTGTATTGGAGTTGACTGTTCTCTTCTCTGCAGTTCCCACCAGAGCAAGAGATTCTCAAAGGCAAAGATTTCTTCTGTTCAGTGTTTTGTCTCCAATGCCTACATATTGATTGACATATAGCAAGTGTCCAGTAAATGTGTAATGAATTAATGAGAAACCCAGGAATATGACAAGCACAAAACCAGGCACATTAGAGTGGAAGACATATCAGGCATAAAAGATCACTAACATTTATTGGCACAACTCTATTCCAGCTTCTGTATTAAGCATGTGATGAATTAGTGTTTAGCAAGTTTTAGTTACATCTGGAGAGGTTAAATTATTTATCCATAGCTGGAATTCAACTGGGCCCCTCTGTTCCCAAGTCTATGCTACACTTTCTAGCTCTCCTCCTGGATGTTGAATACTACCCAGCCACTCCTGTTTGAGGGTTCACCAAATAGGGACAGAGATGGAGGAGAGTTTGACAGGGGGGATCCCTTAGAGAACTTTTGCTTGGCCCTCAGGAATGAGGATTAGGTGCAGACAGAAGATGCCCTCAGAGTCTTTGAAGACCTTTTCATGGGCACAAGGAGGCAGGAGTTGGCACTCAGCCTGTGCTGGGATAAGGATGAGTCCCTCTCAGGCTGTTCTCATCTCCTTCAGGACCAAGTTACTGTTCTCTGGAAGGACTGACATGCAGGAGAGGTCAGCCCGACCTGCCTATTCATAGGGTGGAGCATTACAACTTGACTCTGTTTCTCCCAAGTTTTGTGATTAAGATCGGGAGCTCGGGGTGGGGCACGGGCTTGGCATTGGGGATGAAGTCGATGAGGGAAATTCAGACTCGCAAAGCGCAGGGTGGAGCTGGGGTGACTCAGGGGGCAGCACCCAGTGTGGGGCAGCCTTTGGCAGGCAGGGGCAGATCGGAGGAAAGTGTCTAACTGCATCCCCGTACGCACGGCTTTGTGGGCACTATTTGTCAGCTGCAGTGCAGTAAGTTAACCTGCGGCTTGGTCTCCAACAGCCTAGGCTCAAATCCTAGCATGGCCATTTACTCTCCCGATGGCCCCGGCAAAATCTTTTAAATTTTTAGGGCTTCAGTTTCCCCTTTATAGCATGGGACTAAAATGCTAGGTTGGGGTGACAAATAAATGGGAAAGTATGCTGAACATCTGTTCCCCTCCTTCTCCCTGTCCTGCTGGCCCTTGATAGTCCCCAGAGCCTTAAAGGTGAGCTGTGTCAGGCAGGGCCACATTATGATTCTCATGTGTCCCTTTTGCCTTTCTCAGTTGCTTCTTCCATAAAAAAATATTAAAAAATCTATTTTATGACTACATTGGTATAAAGAGGGATATAATCCAAACTGGGCTTATTATCATATATTCATTATTATTATACTCATTTTTCCTCTGATTCTAACAGAAATTAACATTATAATATTTTGGGGGGGGGGGCCTAAAAGTATCATGGGCCCTCAGCACTGTGCCTAATGGGTATGTTGGCTCTGGTGTCAGGCTATAAGCTATTCCTACAGGGGTGGGTCTCTTCCTTTTTCCTGAATCTTTGAGTCCCATTGCAATCGAAATGGTCAGGACAGTAAATTCACAATTGAAGAGACATTTTCCCCCTGAGATATTCACTGGGTCAGTGAGGGTGTGTGTTGCACATGACTATGGGTATTTCTGCGGTGGTCTCAGTGTATCTGCGCCTCAGGGTGTAGCTGTTTTGGAGTGGATGCAGGGTAGTGCGAAAGCCTAAATTATAAAGTGCCTGAAACTTTATTGGTTCATCCAACAAATTTTTTTTTGATATATTTGATATAAAAAAAAATATATATTTTTGCCAAGCTCTGTTATAGGAACTGGAGATACAGTACAATGAACAAGAAGACCAAATCCCTGTCCTCATGCAGCTTACCTTCTAGTGGAGGGAAATAGACAAGAAATGAAAAGATTATGTCAGGTGATAAGTGTTAAGCAAGGTGGGTAGAGAGAGAGGTATAAGTGATAAGGTGAGAGTGGAGTGTCTATTATATAGAAGATGATCAGGAAACACGTCTTTGATAAGGTGATATTGGAGCAGAGCCCCAAAGGAAGTGAGGGATGGAGCCACGTGGCTATCTGGGGGAATAGCATTCCAGGAAGAATGAAAGGCAGGTACAGGGCACCTGGGTGTTGCAGTTGGTTAAGTGAATGACTCTTGGTTTTGCTCAGGTTGTGGTCTCAGGGTTGTCCTGCATCGGCTTTGCGCTTGGCGCAGAATCTGCTTGGGATTCTCTCTCCTCCTCCCTCTGCCCCTCCTGCTCGTGCTCACTCTCTCTCTCAAATAAATAAATAAATCTTAAAAAAAAAAAAAAAAGGCAAGTGCAGAGACCCTGTAGCAGGAGGCTTCTCAGTGAGCTTGAGGAACAGAATGGAAGCCTGAGTCTGGAGCGGTGTGGCAGGAGATGAATTTAGACAGGCGGCACAGGGCCAGATCATGTAGAGCTTCATAGGCTGTTGTAAAGACTCTAGCGTGTAGTCCAAGTGTGATGAGAAGCCTCTAGAAGAATTTGTCAGAGGAGTGTCATGATCTGACCTAGGTCTTAATAGTATCACTTTGGCTGCTTGCATGGAATAGATCGGAAGAGGCAAGCACAGAGCAGGGAGGCCAGTTAGGAGACAATTTATACGGATGTGGACCAGAGGGTTAGCAATGGGTGATGCTGAGAAGTGGTCAAAATGGGGATATGAAGGTAAAGCCAACAAGATTGGCTGATATATTAAGATGTCTGGGGAACCCGAAAAAGAGGAGTCAAGGAAAACTTCCAAACGGGAAGCATGGAATTGGCATTTACTGACATGGGGCAAGGGAACAGGTTTAGAGAGGACTCCAAGAGTTTCGTTTTGAATGAGTTAATTTTGAGATGCTTTTCTTGGATAAAGATTATCAAACTGAAGCATTGGCCAGGGCTTTGTAGCCCCACAGTGACCAGTCTTTGGATGTGGGCTGCCCCCAGCAAGGGGGTGCAGAAATGAACCGGGGAAGCTCCCTTTAGCTGACAACATTGTCCCGAGAGGGGCAGGGCTGTGAGTCATCAACAGGCAACACTCATTGATGCTGAGGGAATGCATGTCTTAGTCCTAAAAAGGGGGGATCTGGATGCCACCTCATAGTATCCACTAGAAGCCACCTCTTGTGCTGTTCAAATCCACTCCATCTGGGAACGGTTTCTCTAGAACCATAGTTGGTCTGTTTCCTTGGGAAACTTATGGAAGGTTCGTGGGATTAACCAGCCACACCTCTCCCTGTCTCCACTCCTGGCCACAACCAATACTCATCATCTCCCTCCTGTACTACCCATTCTAGAGTCCCTTCATCCCTGGCTGGCACCTTCGCTGTTCCAAGTGGCTCACCTGGTGTTGTGACCCAGACCCTCATCCCTAAGGGATCTGAGCAGTGGGTCACCATGACCTTCCCAGATTAAGGCTGCTGCACTTTTCCATTTACCTTTGTAATGGGAGAGGGGGTATCAGGAGGCACCCCAGTAGATCATGTGAGTGCCAAAGATATTCTTCATTGCTCCCAGGGTGTAACACGGCATCCTGATGATTAGGGTTGATCACCTTGGCCAATGTGGCGATCCTTTTCTGTCTGCTAGTCTCTTGGCACGAGGAGACTGAGATGACCAGGCAGCAGCCATGGCTTGAAGCATACTGGAACTTCTACTGTACCTCCTCCTGGTAGAAACATTCTCCATTCGGGAACCAGGGCCTCTAGATCCACAAAGCCACAAGTTGTCAGGGCTGGAAGCACCAACTCCCCAAGGAGGTCACTGGAGTGATGGTGAATGGGTCTTCCTCTTGGTTCCTGGACCTATGTATTCTGCCTGTTTGAGACATGGTACTGTATAATGCTTGTTGATCAGGATGAGATCACATCCTGGGGACAACAGCACAACTTTGCAGTATATCAATTCCAAATTGGTGCCTTAGCTGCATCTTTAAGCAGCCACTTCGGCCCTCTATCAGGCCAGCAGCGTCTGGGTATGAGATAGGACGAGGGGATACCATGGTCGTGTGCCCACTCCCACATCTCCTTTGCTGAAAAGTGAAGCCCATGGTCTGAGGCAAGGTCATGCTTGATCCCATGGCGGTGGATCTAGTGTTCAGTAAGCCTTTGGATTGTGGTGTTGGCCAAGGCTCCACGGGCAAGAAAGGCAAATCCAAATATGGAATATCAACCAGTTGTTTTTAAATTAAATCTTTAAAAAAAAAAATAGGGGCGCCTGGGTGGCTCAGTCGTTAAGCGTCTGCCTTCAACTCAGGTCATGATCTCAGGGTCCTGGGATCAAGCCCCGCATCGGGCTCCCTGCTCCGCAGGAAGCCTGCTTCTCCCTCTCCCACTCCCCCTGCTTGTGTTCCCTCTCTCGCTGTGTCTCTCTCTGTCAAATAAATAAATAAAATCTTTTAAAAAAAATTAAATCTTTATTTGATAACTGGAAATGCCCATGCAGTTCTAAAAATTAAAACAGAGATCCCATGGATTCTTTTACCCAGTTTCCCTCAATGATACATCTTGCCAAACTAGCTCAATGTCGCAACTGGGATATCCACACTGATACAAATCAGATTGCCCTGATTTTACTTGTACTCATTTGTGTGTGTGTGTGGTTGTGCACATGCACTTAGTTCTATACAATTTTATCACCCATGTGGGTGTGTATACCCACCACCACTGTCAAGATACAGAACAGTTCCATCCCCATAAGGATCCCTGTATCGGTCTTCTATAACCACAGCTGCCTCTCCCTTCCTTCCCCCACACCTAATGCCGGACAACCATGGATCTCTTCTCCAGTTCTAAAATTTTGTCATTTCAAAAATGTTTTATAAACATTATTATAAAACAGTATCTAAGTTTTAGGAATTGGCTTTTTTATCACTCAGCATAATCCCTGAAGACTCATCCAAGTCCTGTTCATCAATAGTTCATTCTTTTTGTTGCTGAGTATTCCATGATATGAATATACCACAGTTTAACTATTTATTCACTGGAGAACATCTGGGTTGTTTTCATTTTTTTAGCTGTAATGAATAAAGCTTCTTTGAATTTTGTGTACAGCTGTTTATGTGAACATAAGACTTCATTTCTCCGGGATAAATGGCCAAGAGTGTAATTGCTGGGTCATATGGTAATTATATGTTTAGTTTTATTAAAAAACTACCAAACTGTTTTCCAGTGCAGCTGGATCATTTTACCCTCCCACCAGCAATGTGTGAGTGATTCAGTTTTTCTACATCCTCACCAGCATTTGATGACACGATTTTTTATTTTAGTAAGTATGTAGTGATATCTCACTGTGGCTTTAATTTGTATTTCTCTAATGGCTAATGATATTGAACATCTTTCCATGTGCTTATTTGCCATCTGTATACCTTCTTCAGTGAAGTATCCATTCATATTTTTGCCCATTTTATAATTGGATTTTTTAACTGTTGAGTTTTAAGATTTTTTTTTTTAAAGATTTTATTTATTTATTTGAGAGAGAGAGAATGAGAGAGAGCACATGAGAGGGGGGAGGGCCAGAGGGAGAAGCAGACTCCCTGCCGAGCAGGGAGCCCGATGTGGGACTCGATCCAGGGACTCCAGGATCATGACTGAGCCGAAGGCAGTCGCTTAACCAACTGAGCCACCCAGGCGCCCGAGTTTTAAGATTTTTATATACGTATATTTTTAGACACCAGTTCTCTGTTAGACATATGTTTTGCAAATATTTTCTCCCAATTATTGTTTGTTTTTAAATCCTCTTTATAGGGTCTTTCACAGAACAAAAGTTTTACATTTTGATGAGGTCAAATTTATCATTTTTTCCTTGTGGGTCATGCTTTTGGTATCAAGTCAAAAAACTCTGCCTAGGGCACCTGGGTGGCTCAGTTGGTTAAGCGACTGCCTTCGGCTCAGGTCATGATCCTGGAATCCCGGGATCGAGTCCCGCATCGGGCTCCCTGCTCGGCAGGGAGTCTGCTTCTCCCTCTGACCCTCCTCCCTCTCATGCTCTCTGTCTCTCATTCTCTCTGTCTCAAATAAATAAATAAAATCTTAAAAAAAAAAAAAAAAACTCTGCCTAGCTCTAGATCCCAAATATTTTCTCCTGTTTTTTTTTTATTGTTGTTAGTTTTATAGCTTTACATTTTATATGTAAGCTCGTGATCCATTTTGAGTTAATGCATGAGGTAATGCATATGCATTTGAGTTAATGAAATATGTCTAAATGCCAGTCAAACTGGTGTTTCCTCTTCCAAAATGAAGAAGTTCCAGTGTAATCAACTTGCCACAAGTGGCTGGCTTGTGTCCTTGAAGGATGGTGCTGGATTGGGGGCTGAGTATCAGCCTCTGTTCGTGGCAGGTTGGTCATTTGTGGAGGCAGTAGACTAGCCTTTGTGACTGGGAGTTTGCACAGAGGTAGCCAGTGACAGAAGCTATCCGAGATCCACTGGCTGAGTCATTCTGTCTACTTGGGTTTAGTGGCAGTTGTTTTCTGGTGGCCATTAATACGTGGCAAAATACTTCATACTTCATGCCTACTTCCATAGGTCTATCCACATGACTCTCCCTCAGACCTCCCTGTTCCTTATCTTCTAAGCTTTGTCCTTCCCAGGCCCCTGACCAATACTGCCAAACTATTCATCACTACCTAGATATTCTTTACCTCAGGCTATTTATCTTTTCTTACAAGAGAATGACAGGTGCATGGAAGCTCTGTTATGAAGGTTTCCCCTCACCACTGTTTTTCAGGGCTGCCCCTGGATGGGTTGTAACGCAGCACCAGTCCACTTGTGGCGTGACCCATCTGTGACCCAAGCTTGGCTTCTTCCTCCTCTATCAGCCGATCATAGAGCCCCACCTCATGTATCCAAGTAGGAGCTGAGGGAAATGTGGTAGTTGACACCGGTGTCCGGAAGCTATATAGCCTTTCTAATCTAGCCTCAAAATCAATACATCATCACCACCTTGTTCAATTGGTAGAAAACAGTTACAAACCTTCCCAGATTAAAGGACCAAAAAGAAAAAAAAAAAAAAAATCAGACTCTACTTCTTGATGTGGGTATAGCAACTCACATTGTAGAGGAGTATGTGGTATGGGAGATCTTAGGTTATCTTTGGAAAATACAACCTGCCACAACAAGGTCTCTCTACTCTGGCTGCTAAGAACCTGAATGATTCCCAGCCCTGCAGGAGCCCTCGGAATTTTTCAGCTTATAGCTCCCAGAAATTAGTCTTTCTCCAGTGGTTTGTCTTTGGCCTGGTCCTGTGAAGTATCACCCTGTGCATGTACAGACTGGTGTTCGTCCAAAGAGTCAACTCCTCATCCATAGCTCTTTCTCCATGTAGCTCCTTCCTTTTTGGCATTTACCTAGCAAATTTTAGCTGACTCAGCTTCCCCAAACTCTAATTTGCCTCCTCAGTTCAGCAAGACCACTGGGCTCTGTTACGGTTTTCCCAATCTATAAAAATTGCAATGGTTCTGTAAAGGAGGCTGAGTAACCTGAAAATTTCCTCCACAACTGAGGGCTCATCTCATTTGTTTCCCTTCCCTCAGGGATCACAGTCCTGGTCTGCCTCTTGTCCAAGGTCTAAAAATAGTTGTTTCATACCTTTGATCCAGTTTTTTTGTTGGTTATGGTGACATAGTACTTCTCATTTTTTCATGGGTGGAAGCAGAACCTGAATATATTTTGAAGATAAAGCCAATGGGATTTGATTGTGAGTTGGATATAGGTTGTGAGAAAAAGAGAGATGTCAATCAAGGATGACTTCAAGTTTTTAGGCCTGAAACTGGAAGGTTAGCATTGCTATTACCTGAGGTTAGATCAGAATTGGGGTGGGGGTGGGGGAGTAAATTAGGAGTTAATTTTAAAAATGTTAAACCTAAATACCTATTAAACATCCAAGTTGGGGGGCACCTGGGTGGCTCAGTCAGTTGAGCAGCTGCCTTCAGCTCAGGTCATGATCCCAGGGTCCTGGGATCAAGCCCTGCATCAGGCTCCCTGCTCAGCGGAGAGCCTACTTCTCCCTCTCCCTCTGCCTGCCTCTCTGCCTACTTGTGCTCCCTCTCTATCTCTCTGTCAAATAAATAAATAAAATTTTTTAAAAAAAATTCAAGTTGGGCTGTCAACTCTTCAGTTGGATATAGGAGTCAGGTGCTTAGGTTGGAGATCAGGCTAGAAATACACACTGGGAATTGTCTCTGTATAGATGGTATTAAAAACCATGAATCTGAATGAGATCACCAAGGAAGAAAGTATAGATAGAAAAGCGAAGTCCAAGGACTGAGACCTGGGATGCTCCAATATTAAATATTTGGGGAGATGAAGAGGAACCCTGGAGTTGTTTGTGCTAACTCTCCCTCTCCTCTGTCCCCATTCTCTCTCGCTCCCATGACTGTGCCCCATTCTGTCTTTCTGTTTTGCTGGCTCTGACTTCTGCTGACTTGTTTTGTCCTGTGGCTATCCCAGTCTGGGCCTGACAGATCAGTTCCAGGATTGACATTGAGCCTCAGAAACTGCTCTAGCCAATCGATGTCCTCAGAGTACTCTGGCGTCATTTGAGATCCATCTGGCTCCATCAGGACTGACTCCTGCCAAAGTATAGGGTGAGAATAAGGCGAATGGCTCATGACTTCCAGAGTGAGCAGTTCCTTGGCTAGAACTATCATCTGTGATAGTACCCCCCTTGTTGAAAGCTCAGAAGAACAGAGAAATAGCGGATATATCATCCTAGACCAAGCCAGTTTCTTCTGCCAAAGATTCTGTCATGCACAGTATTGCTGTGTGGGCAAACTTGGTAATTGTACTCAATGCCATTGGCCTCAAAACACTAAGTGTATATTTTCCAAATATCTCCAATTTCCCCATAGCAATTTATTAGTGACTGGATGGTAGTAATCAATATTAGCATCATTCATCTAGCCACATGTGAAAAGGATTAGATAAGGAATTTTATCATAGTACTATTTATAAAAGTAAAAATATTAGAAATAACCTACAATGACTAACAACAGGAGTCAATATAAGTATGTTGTGGTACACCCATAATAAACACACATTAAAATAATTTTGCAGATATGGGAAGATGCTTATAATATATTGCTGATTTAAACTTTTTTTTTTTTTTCCAGAGAGGGAGAGGAGGGGAGGGGCAGAGGAAGTAAGAGAATCCTAAGCAGGCTCCAGCCCCAAGCTTGATGCAGGGCTCCATCCCACAACCCTGAGATCACGACCAGAGCTGAAATCAAGAGTTGGATGCTTAACCAACTGAGTCACCCAGGCGCCCTGATTTATACACCTTAACAAGGCAGTACAGTGTGGTGTTTAAAAGCGCTTTTGAATAAACAGATTTAAAGAGAACTCCATACCTTGAACTCTAACAATTAATGGCTAGGTAGAAAAGGATGCAAAGGAGACTTAGCAAGATCAGGTCAAAGATACAAGAAAAGCATTGTGTCATAGAAGGCAGGGGAAGTTTTTTTTTGGTTAAGAAAAAAGGAATGGTCATTCAACCATTCAATAGAGTCAAATGCTGAAGAGGCAAGATGAGAATTGAAAGATTGAAAGATGACCACTGTATTGACCGTGGGTATCACTGATGACCATTGCCAGAGATGTTTTAGCAGAATAATGAGAGTAAAAGCCAGACTGGAGTGGGTTGAAGGATAGATGGGAGGTGAAAAAGTGGAACTATTTTGAGGAATTAGATTGTGTAGGGGAAGAGAGACAGAAGGCCACAGATAGAGGATGTATGTTCACGGATTCTCTTTTTATTGAGAGAGATAGGAGTATGTTTAAATAACCATAAGATGGACCCAGTAGAGAGGAAAAGACTGGATACACAAAAGCAAGATGGGATAAATTACAGATGAGGTTCATGAAAAGGGGCGTGAGGATGGGCTATAAAACACAAGTGTGGGAATTGCTCTTGGTTAGTTAGTAGGAAGAAGGACTCCAATTGTAACAGGAAGCAACAAGTAAGGGTGAATGTGTGTGTGGGTAGGTTTAAACATTTGGTAACACAAAGGAAGGACTCAATGATGACTTGTGTGGAGGGCATCAGAGGGGTCAGGGGAGTGGGGAAGGTTTGAAACAGTTGTTGATAGGAGTTGATAGGAATGTGAGCTGACCAGAGTCAAGTAGTAAACTTTCAACCACCCTTTTGTCCCATGTGGGGCTAGTGATCCTGAATTGTAGTGGAACCCATCTGCCTGACAGTGAGACTTTCTTCAGTAGTATTTGGTTGCTTGGGTGCAGGCAAAAAGGAAGCAGATAGAATGGTTAATCTGTGGTTGGGATTTCGCCATACAGGAGATGAACATGTCTCCCACCTGCTTGCGGGCCTGGGTGGATGGGGATGAGCCAGCCGCCCAGTTCTTCTATGGAAGCACAGCCAGAGGGAAATGGGAAGAGGATGGTTCCTCTGTCCCCATTAAATGAGTTTCTCTGAAGTCCACCTTCCAAACTTCCTGTCCCTGGGAAAGCCTGTCCTTTGTTAGCCTGACAGATTTCCCCATGTAGAGCTCAGCCTCCCATATGCTCTTTGCTGTTTCTGTAGGCTTGTCAGGAACAATCCCTTTCAGGTTTCAGAGAGGTCTTTTTATATGTGCTGCTTCTTGATCCATACTGTGCTTGTGAGTGCATGGGAGGGATAGGGCTTGACTCCCTGAGGAAGGTCACTGTTCAGCTCTAGTGAGGACAAAACAGCCTTCTTTAATGCTCTACTCACTTTATACTCCGGTGCCAACACTTCCTATAAGAAGCAGAGGGGCTTCTCTTTCCTCTGGTCCTTCGCTTCTGCGGAAAGCAAAATAGAATGGAGCCACTTACTTTCCTCAGGTCTCGGCTTTTTACCCAAGGAGAAGAAACAGGGCAGCCAAGTTATAACTTGTGAATGTGTGACATTCCTAACCTGGCCACTGGGCCAGAGTTGGCACTGGGAAGGGAACGGCTGGTGGAATGGAAGGAGTGAGGGAATCAGGTTCCAGCTCCTGCACAGGCCTCAGCTGTGACTTCTACTGCTTAGAGAACAGAGGGGAGAGGGTGAACACAGGGTGGGCGACTGGTGGCTCTGCTGAAGAGTGGACTATGTTCCCCAAGCAGACTGGCTTTGGGAACAGGCTGGCCTCTGGAAGAAAGTCCCACCCCTACCCCCACCTGATATACATGCTCCAACCAGAAAAAGGCCAACCTGTGTTTCCTATGTGTCTTTGCTCCCTGGGAGCAGAGGAACCTTGTTTAAATGATAAACTCCTGGCCAGCTGACGAACTGGGAGGTCACTAGCCATTTCTGGGCCTGTGACTTCATCCACAACCTGGGAGTTGAATGGGATGATTTCTAAGACTCTTTCTGACTATAAATCTGATATATTCTGGGTATAAATCTGATTGAACTGGAATGACATCAGATTTTAATTGTTTTATGAGCACTGGATCCCGAGGTCTTAACACATATTGGATGATATACACAGAGTCCCAGCACTAGTTCCAGCACTGATCCCAGAGGAAGGGGTCAGGGGAGAGAGAATAATTTAGGATGGCTCCACCCTGAAGAATGTGTTGAACCCCATGGCTCTGACTCTATGTTTTAGGCCTCAGTTTCTTCAAGTGTAAAATGAGACTCTAAGCCTAGAAGATCTTTAAGATGTAGTTCTGATGTTCTGTGTTGCATGTCTCTGTCCTCAGGTAATTCTGAGCCCCAATGGACAAAGACAGTGTACTTACTGAATATTTGCTTGGCCTGTGTGCAGTGCTATAGTGGAACATGATTCCTGTCTCAAGGAGCTCACAATGGATTTTTAAAAATACTAAGCCACACACAGAGGAAAGTGTGGTATAACATGCAGTGTCTTCCATGGCTAAATGTATAACACAGACACCACAGGCTGTCTCTCTCTTGGCATGCTGCAGGCTGGAGGAGCCACAATTATAGCTTGTTTCCCCCTAGGCCTTCTTCTACTTCAGCTCTCAAAAGGGGCTTTGTGGGGGTCGGACTGCTGGGGTCAGTTCTGGCTTCGCCACTTGTAAACTTTGGGGAAGTTACTCAACTGTTGTAAGCTGTAAGGTCAGTTTCCTGATCTTCAAGATGGGGTTAATAAAAGGACTCCCTTGCCATGTTGTTGTAAAGATTATATGACTTCTCAATAACTGGGTATAGAGAGAATGTACTTCAACATAATAAAGGCCATATATGACAAGTACACAGCTAATATACTCAACAGTGAAAAGCTGAAAGCTTTTTCTTTAAGATTTGGAGTAAGACAAGGATGCCCACTTTTACTACTTGAATTTAACATCGTGTTAGAAGTCCCAGCCAGAGCAATCAGGCGAGAAAAAGAAATAAAAAGACATCTGAATCAGAAAGAAAGAGGTAAAACTGTCTCTATTTGCAGATGACATGATGTTATATATAGAAACCCCAAAGACTCCACCAAAAAAACTGTAAGAATAAACAAATTCAATAAAGATGTAGGACACAAAATCAATATACAAAAATCAGTTGTGTTTCTATACACTAACAACTATCAGAGGGAAATTAAGAAAACAACCCCATTTATGGTTGCATTGAAAGAATAAAATACCCAGGAATAAATTTAACCAAGGAGGTGAATGATCTGTATGCTGTAAACTATAAAACACCGATGAAAGAAATCAAAGGAGACAAAATAAATGGAAAGATATTCCATGTTCATGGATTAGAAGAATTAATATTATTAAAATATCCATACTACCCAAGGTGACTACAGATTCAATGCAATCCCTATCAAAATTCCAATGGAATGTTTCACAAAAATAGAACAAACAATCCTAAAATTTGTATGGAATCACAGAAGACTCCAAATAGCCAAAGAAATGTTATAAAAGAACAAAGCTGGAAGCATCACACTTCCTCATTTCAAACAAAATTACAAACCTATAGTAATCAGAAACAGTATGGTATTGGCATAAAAACAGACACATAGTTCAATGGGAACATAATAGAGAGCCCAAAGATAAACCCATGCATATATGGTCAATTACTTTTCAACAAAAGACCCAAGAATATATAATGGGGGAAAGGACAGTCTTTTCAATAAATAGTGCTAGGAAAACTAGGCAGCCTCATGCAAAAGAATGAAACTAGACTTCTGTCTTACACCATACACAAACATCAACTCACATAGATTAGAGACTTAAACATAAAACCTGAAACCATAAAAGTGCTAGAAGAAAATATAGGGGTTAAGCTCCTTTATATCAGTCTTGGCAATAATTTCTTTGGATTTGACACCAAAAGCAAAGACAACAAAAGAAAAAGATAAGTGGGACTACATCAAACTAAAAGCTCTGTATAGCAAAGGAAACTATCAACAAAATGAAAAGGCAACCTACTGAAATGTAGAAAATATTTGCAAATCATATATAAGGAGTTAATATCCCAAATATACAAAGAACTCATACAACTCAATAGCAAAAACCAAAAAACCCAAACGATTCAATTAAAAAATGGTCAGAGGAACTGAACAGACATTTTTCCCAAAGAAGACATACAGATGGCCAATAGGTACATGAGAAAGTACTCACCATCACTAATTATCAGAGAAATGCAAATCAAAACCACAATGAGCTATCACCTCACACCTGTTACTGTTAGAATGGCTACCATCAAAAAGACAAGAGATACAGGTGTTGTTGAGGAGGTAGAGAAAAGGGAAGCCTTGTACAATATTGATGGGAAGGTAAATTGTTGTAGCCACTATGGAAAACAATACAGAGATTCCTCAAAAATTTAAAAATAGAACTCCCATTTGATCCAGCAATCCCACTGCTGGGTATTTATCCAAAAGAAATGAAAACAGGATCCTGAAGCAGTATCTGCACGCCCATGTTCATTGCAGCACTATTGACAATAGTCAAGGTATGGAAATGATAAAAGTGTCCATCAACAGATGAATGGATAAAGATGTGAGATACACACACACACACACACAATGGAATACTATTCGGCCATAAGGAAAAAGGAAATCCTGCAACATGGATGGATCTCGAGGTCATTTTGCTGAGGGAAAAAAGTGAGATAGAGAAAGACAAACACTGCGTGTGGAATCCAAAAACTTTTTTAAAAAAGAGAAAAAAAGGCAAACTCGTAGAAACAGAACAGAAAAGTGGTTGCCAGAGGTCTATGTCCGAAAAGTTCCCCTAGTGTGAAGATAATGTCTCCCTGATGTAGTGATGTCTAAGACTGTCACAGAGAGACAGGTGGCAGCGATGGAGAAGGAGCCCATAAGTGTAGCCATCACTGGTTTGGTTCTTAGACTGGCACGAACCAGAGGCAAGCAGGCAAGGGGTGAGTCAAGTGAAAGAGGCAGAGCTCCCATTGGGCTCTAATCACTGCTGTGCTGTAGAGTTCTTGAGTTCACTGCAAACCACTCAAACCTGTTGGATCCCAATTCCTTTATTTCTTAGAGGTATTTACTATAGAAGAGAAAACCTGAATTCCTAAGAAGAAATCCCAGGAAATTAACAGGGTTTACTTTTTAAGAAAAGGGGGAAGTATAAAGGAAATCAAAGGCATTCTATAATTTTCCAGACTTGGGAGGCCTTAAATGATCTAAGGGAAGTTGGAGGGTTTAAGGCAACCAGACTTAGAATTGAAGAGCCACTAGCATCTCCAGGGCAGAGTCTTTGGGCCTATCTATTCAGTAGCAACTAACCCAAAGGCTTGTCCTACGGCCTTTCAGGGCCCATTAGTGCAAGTTGCTAGAGCCCTGTGCTCATGGGATCACAAGTTTGACCTTTGTGTCTATGTGACCATTCCCATATTAGACTGAGCCCTCGCCCCAGTCAGTAGTCACACATGTACTCAACAGGGACACACGGGGTTCTGGCTAGGGGAGTACAGGTGAATCCTCACCTTTGGAATCTAGCTCAAAGTACACTCTAGCTCAAACTACACACCTTGATACCTCAGGTTTGGAGCAGTGTTTGTATGTATCCTGCATGTCATTGTCATTTCATAGTAATTTTAAAAGAACATTTTGGCAGCGAGAGAAGACAGGATTCACTTCTGAGGGCCATTGAGCTGAGGCACTAGCCTAGTGGGTTGACCAGTTGGCCAGACTGGCAATTCTCCTTCAGGAAGTAAGTACTCAGAATTCTCGATCTTTGAGGAAACCACAGAGCTCTTCTTTCTTGAGGGCTTCCTGGGCATCTCAGCCAGACCTGCGGGGCTGGTCATCCAGGCTCACAGTGAGAGCTGTAGCTGAGGGTCTGGCACACAGAACTGGAGGGCTGGGCCTGTGACAGCAGGTCCCAACATAAGGTGCCAAACCCTACTTCTCACTTTCCCCTTGCGCCCTGTTAGGTGCTGGCACTGCCTTTGGAGCCATTACTCAGCAGCCTGAATGTACAGAAATAGGCCTAGTGCACTGACCCAGCAGGCCACGGTTCCTTCCTCTGGCAGGGAGCTGTCCTGAGGTGGTAGGCCCAGGCAGAGCTGGCCTCCCACTCTCACTTCCTGTCAGGCAGGAATCCTACCGCAGGACTGGGTACTTAACTGTTTCTAGGCCGTTGAACGTGTATCTCCTTGCCTCTGGACTATACAGTACATTAACTGAACACACTTCCTTACATTCCCCACATTTTTAACACACACTCTTCCTACCTTCTTATCCTAAATGAAAACCTGACCTGCCTTGTCTCCCTGCCCTCTCCAGAGGAGGCCACTTCTCTACCTCCCCTGGTTTTCAAGGTCAGGAGAACAACCTGGCATTCTCTGAGTTCCCTTTGTTTCCCCAGACCATGCTTCTCCATCCCTCTTGGGCACGCCACCCCATCTTACTGGCCAACTTGTCCATTCAACTGTTACTGATTTTTGGCATTCTCTTATCCTCCTCAGTGGTTTAAGGCCTGCCTCACAGCTTTCCTGGTCACTTCATCCCTGAGAGGTAAAGGGACCCTCCAGATATCCAGGATTCACCATCATTTTGAAAACTACAAATGACTAAATTCTGCCCAACAACATTACTCACTGTGATGAACATAATTTGGCCATGGGCATCAGAATGGTTCAAATTCTCACAGCCCTACTTGGACCACTTAACTTCTTTCTACCTGTCAAAATATTTCTTCCTCATCTGTTCACCCTCCCCAGAATCTCTCACTTCCTCCATGTCCAGCCTGGACCTACTGGTCCGCCATTCGAGGGTGCTCATGGATCCTTTCTTTATTCTTTCCTGGGTCTTTTCTTGCTGACTTCCTATCTTGGTTAATCTCTAACTCATCCTTCTTTGCCTCTGCTCCTAGACTGCTGAGCTCTGCTGGAAATTTATAATTTCTGTGCTGCCTGAGCCCTCGACAAACCATACTGTTAAGATCACATGTGTCTCTCTTCCCCACCATTTGTTCTTCAAGGTAGGAATTTTGGCACCCCAGAACAGCTATAGACAGTTAAAACTTAGCACATGCCTGGAACTTGTCTAGGCACTTTATACATACCAGCTCATTTGACCCCCACCCAATGACAATGAGGAAAATACCCCGAATGCTTCTCTCACTTGGTGAGGAAACTGGGGCTCAGAAAGATTCAATAAATTACAGAAGACCACAGAATTAGCAAGTGGCAGAGTCAAGATTAGGGAGTCTGGGTGAGACATTATATTGTGTCTCGTGAGATGATCATAAACTTTGCACAAAGTCTGTTGACTTTTATCAGAGCTCCTGCTGCAGTCCAGCGATCTTTTAAATCAACCCTTGTTCACTCCTAATTGGACACGTTTTTATTTCAACTCTGACTCTTATTATTTTTGGTCAATTTCGATTAGAGACCAAAGGCATCGCCTCAGAAGTCCCAGTAGGCATCTAGAATCTCAGGGTATTCTCTAATTTTCTTCTGACTCATTTCTGATTGAGTCAGCTCCCATACAGCATCCCTCTGACAACATATACCATAACCAGCAGTGTCCTGGTCTCCATTCACTAGGAAGGGGAGAAGACACTGTAATTCTCATAATGGTTATTTCAAGCCATTTCCTTGTGAACTGGCTTTGGAGGCTGGGACCTAAATCCCTACTACTTACTAGATTCTATAGGCAAATTATTTAAACTCAGAGGTTTAGTTTCTTTTTCCATAAAGTGGGGGATAATAATAATCTCCTTAAAGGGTTGTATTTTTTAAGGAGCCTAGCGTAGAGCCTGGCTCAGATCAGGCACTCGAAGTATTTGTTCCTTTCCTTCTCTTCCCCGTACTCTCCTTTCACCTCGCTTATACATTTACTCCATCTTTCCCACCCACAGATATTTTCCTGACCATAGCCCGCTCCCCAGTATCTACCCTTTCTCACTTCTCTTCTCAGCAGACTCCATGGAGAGTAAACTATATTGGCTATCTCCCATTTTCTCCCTGATACTACCCCCTGGTTCCAATATGACCCCTCTAAATGATCAAATGCAATTGACATTATTTGTTTTTCTTCTTGCCGGACTTTATTCATTTCCTGAAATCTATCCTGACCATCTTTTCCTGTAATGACTCCTTCTCACTCACTTCTGTCACCTCTCCTTTCTTTGATCACCTCCAAATGCTGGCTTTTCTCCACATGGATGTTCTCCCAGCAGCGTCGGCATGGCTTGGGAACCTATTGTTAGAAATGTAGATTTTCAGGTTCCACCTCAGATCCCCTGAATCAAAAACTGGTGGGGATACTCGCTCAAGTTTGAGAACCATTGTGCCACATTTTCTCTGGCTAATCTCTATGAGCTCCCCTTTTAACTATTCTTTTCCCACCTAATACTCCAAAAATTCTTTCCACTCCAGACCACTCTTCAGAGCTGCAATTGTATACATACAACTACCTAAAGGGTATCTCCACTGGCTATTAGGTGTCTCCATGGAAAATAACCTCTCATAATCCTATCATTTCTGTGTCCCCTTTCTCCAAATGATACCACCATTACCCAGTTGTCAGTGCCAGGATCCTGGGATTCATGATTCCTCGTTTACCCACCTAAGAAAACACTAGTTTGCCATTTCAGGAGTATCTCTCAAATTGGCAGTGTCCTCTTATCAGCACCATTGTTACTTTACTTCAGGCCCATCCTCCTCACTGATTGGATTGCTAGTCTTCTAATTGGGTCACTGAAGTCTGGTCCCTTTCCAATGTACCCTCCACATTGCTACCAGGATCATCTAAAATAAAAATTGGATTGGGCTTATCCCCTGCTTAGTCATTCAGTGGCTGTCCAAGGCCTTCGAGATAAAGTTCAAACTCAGTATGGGGGCACCGTAGGGGTGCTTAGCCCGGACACCTGCTTGCTTCTGCAGCCTCATCTCCCGCTGGTGCTTTATGCTGTTCTCTCTGCTCTAGCTCTAACAGGAAACTGGAACTACTTAAGAGTTCTCCAGACAGCCACTCTTTCTCACCGTCAAACCGTTGTTCATGCTATTTTGCTATTTCCTTTGTGAGGAATGTCCTTCCTTCACTTACCATGTGGAAAACGTTCTTCTCTAGCGCTCGGCTCAGTCGGCTTTGGTATGAAATCTTCCCTGGATGTGCAGGCTCAGTCTGATGTGCTCCCACAGCCCCCATGTCATGTCTTCATCAGAACCTTATCACACTGTGCTTGGTGCCCTTGTTGCCCTAGGCACCAGGGAGCAGCTTGAGGACAGGCCTGTATGTTATCTTTATTTAGTGCAATGCCTGACACACAGTAGGTATTCAGCAAATAGTTGCTTAGTAAGAAAGATTGCTTTCTTTTTTTTTTTGAAAGGCATCTACATTTACTGCTGCTTCCTAACCGCCCCTATCCTTTCATTCCCACAGTTCAGCCTTATTATGCTACTGAAAAAGCTCTTGAGGACAAAGACGTGCTGGCTTTATTTCTCATCTTCTTAACTTCTCTGTAGCAGTGAACCACCTATTTTTCAAAAAGTTCCCTTTCCCGTGTTCCTCAACTGATGCTTTTTGAACTCCCTTTACTTTATGGTCTGCGTTCGCACTGGTTCCCTTCCTTCTCCACACTTGTTGCAACTGCTCTGCATTACAGTGAGTACAGGGGTGGCTGGTGGTGGTGGTGGTGGTGGTATTCGTACAGTGACATGCTGGTAGCGGGCTCCCTGGGAGAAAAAGGCCCTGATTTGTGGCTTTTGTCTCTTCCCTGGTGTAAAGACTCTCATCAGGACCGATTTCAAGCTACGAACATTTTAATGACCAGCTCACAAAATTCCCGAGTATTTAATAATTGGCTCTCACAAGCATACCACTGGGTATGCAGAGATGAGTAAGACCAGTTTGACATCTAGGAGGATACAATCTGGTGGAGGGAATATGGAAAAAATTATGAGACAAATGTGATAAGCACTTTTGAGGGCATTTAAACAAGGCACCATGCATGGGGCTGAGTGGAAGGCTTAATTAGGAAAATCTGTTAATACCTCCTATGGGAAGGTAGGAGGGTTTGAACTGAACCTTAAAAATGATATGTAGAGGAATGGCTAGTAGACCAGGAAGACTGGGGTGCAAAGAATGCGGGGTACCAGAATGGATTCTGCCACTAGTTTTGTGACCTTGGTCAAATTGGTTAACTTCCTCAGGACAGTTTCTGCATCTTGAAAATAAGAATTTGATTTCCATGGCCCATTCTGCCTGGATTTGATGATGGTCCTTGGGAAGAGAAAAATATAAGTGGAGGAAGAAGGAAAAAGGAAGAAATATACTTAGTGTGAAGCTTTTAGGAGGCCAAATGCTGCAGGAATCTCTCTTCTAACTAGTCCTCCCTGCTAACTTCTGGCTCAGTCCCAATTTTGAAAATCCCAATCCCATGTCTGAGTGATTGCGCAATATGCTGAAAGCTCAGTTCTGGTCTTTTCACCTGAATGACTATAGTGAATCCTGACAGTATATGTGGATGTAAGTCAGTTCATCCTTCTGTGTTGAGGGAACAGAGGATTTTCCTTTTTCCTTTGAAAGTGTTAAAAAGAGTAGTAGCTTATTCCATTTGAATAACTGTTATTATCAAATCTATCTAGAATTTCCCCATCCCCGCTTCTTGCCTGATCTTCTCTCAAGATCTGAACTTCATTCCTTTTCAAAAACCTTTAAAAACATGAATCATAAAACAGATAGAAATATGCATAAAACATAAATGTAAGGCATAATTATAAAGCAAACACCCATGTAACCACCAAGCAGGGGAAGAGAGAACCTTGCCATAACCTAGCAAGTCCTCCCTGTGTTATTCCCCAAGTACAACCTTCCAGAAGGATCCACTATCTCGATTTATTGTGATAATGATCTTTGTTTTGCCCTTTACCATCCATGTATGTATCCTTCAATCCTACTTCAGTACGGCATTTTTTGTTAACACCCGATATGAAGAGAATCATACTGCATGCATTCCCTTGTTTCTTGCTTCTTTTGTTCACCATTCTAACATTCATTCATTTTGTGTGTAGCTAGTTTATTCTTTTTTGTTTCATGGTTACATAGTATTCGACCATGAGTATTCCAGTTTACCAATTCTACTGTGGATGGATATTTGGGTTGTTTCCAGCCTTTGGCCAATATAAACAATGCTGCTCTGAACATCTTCGTTGTGCCCAGTGCATGTGAGCTTCCCAAGGGTACAGGGGGAGAATCATTAGGTCACAGGGTATGTATATCCTCATCTCAATTCTTCATTCTTTCCCCTACATTAGTGAGCAAGCCTTTCTCTTTTTCTTTTCTGAAGAATTTTAACTCCTGTGCTTTTGTTCCTGTTTTTCTAATTTTCAATCATCTTTGTTAATCTTATGTTCCTATAACATACATTATCAGTACTGATTCTAGCTTCTAGCCCTGTATATTACCTTCCTCTGGTAGTTGAGAATGGTGTCCTCTCCAAGACATAACATTATTTCATTTATTACTCAAAGAGCAAATGTATCTGGAACATTTTGAGAGTTCTTATTTGAATATGTGCAAAATAGAAATCCTGTATTTGATTAATAGAGGGCCAGGAACAAGTTTCTTTCTCTGAGGCATTATAGTATGGGAATTAAGACTGTGGGCTTTGAGTCAGACCAAATCCACGAGCTGCTGGCTATGTGTCCTTGGGCTAATTACCTAACTTCTCTGTGCTTTAGTTTCCTCATCTGTCAAAATGTGGATAATAAACTATATCCACCCACAGGGTTACTGTGTGCATTACATGAAACAATCTACAAGTTTATCAAAAGAGGTTTATTAACTTGGTCTTTAGGGAGAAAGACAAGGAAAGACAGGCTTTCAGAATGCCTACAAGTTATGTAGTGAGGATACATATTATGAGTTTGTCTCTGGGGTTTATACTGAGCCTAAACACTTTTTCCACTCCTCTTTCTTTTTTTTTTTAAAGATTTTATTTATTTATTTGACAGTGAGAGAGACAGCAAGAGAGGGAACACAAGCAGGGGGAGTGGGAGTGGGAGAAGCAGGCTTCCCGCTGAGCAGGTAGGCCAACGTAGGGCTCGATCCCAGGACCCTGGGACCATGACCTGAGCTGGAGGCAGACGCCCAACGCCTGAGCCCCCCAGGCACCCCTCCACTCCTCCTTCTGGAGCAGATGGCTAGCATAGGTAAGTGGGAGGCTGCTAAGGGCCATGAACAGAGTGAAGTGAATTGGCCCATTTGGGAATCAAATCCACAACTGGCTTTAATTACTATTCAACTGAGTTCAGTGGGCAACACAACATGAAAAAGGAGAAAATGAATGGGACTAGAAATACTGACAAAGTAAACAGGAGGGCAAGAGGACACTATAGGATAACTCAAATCAACAAGCTGCTAGATAAACAGCATCCTCTCTTTGTGAAATTTATTTTACAGGAGAGTTGGCTGTAACAGAAACCATTCTTAATCATCAAAAAACCACATTCTGATTTTCCTTATCCTCCCGACTCTCCATGTATAATTCTAGACTTCATCGCTTACATCTCTTGGTTTTAGGATATAGTCTTCCAAAGCTAGAAACTTAATTACAGATTCAACACTTCAAGGCCAATACCTAATTGCCTAATTAGGGAGCTGAGAAATGTTTAGCATAACCACCCTCCTTCCTACCCCTACCCTGAAGTTATTAATGTTCACTTCAGATGGTTTCCTAGTCAACCCTTGTGAAGATACTGATTTTTGGACTCTGAGTCTCTTACTCCTACATAAAGCTATCTAAATTCAATAAGGCTTTTGAGGAAGCAGCATTTCCAACTTCACATTAACTGGTGGGCCAAATAACGACCCATTACAGAGACAACAATGCCTACTGGATTTTAATTTTAATTATTTCAGTTCCTGTACCACTGTTATTTCACAGTTACACTTAATAAACTCTATTATGCTTATTAAATAATTCATGGAAAATTGTGAGTGCATGGTAGGTTATGGAAAAAAGGTGGAAGAGAAAAAGGGGAAGAATGGTTCTGAACAATTATTGAATGATGTGGTGTGACAATATTTGTTAACTTCATGTCAACACAGCAAGGCCAGATGATTTATTTATAGTTCACTGTTTCAGTAACATATATTATCTGGTAGTATATTGCTGGGGGAAGGGCTGATTTGTATAATTACTGTACTTTCACACTATGACTTGGAAAGTGAGTAGGCTGATAACAGGGAAACAAAAAGCAGCCCTTAACATCTTCATTTGAACTGACAGTTTTGGCACCAACCCACGAAGGGGGCTGAGCATGGGGGGACTATCTGTTTACAGAGGTGCGGATGCCAGCTCCTAATCAGAGAACACCACATTTTGTAAGTTCCTGGAAATTTGGAAACCAGAGTCTTTAACAGTAGCAGTGGCAGCATAATTTGGTGCTCAGATGCTAAGTGAAACCCCAATGCTGGGTTTCTCCACCATAATGTCAAAGAAACCTCCATGGCTGGTATTTTGGCACTGATGTGACACTGGCAACAGGTATTATTGGCATCAAAAAGCAGCCCAGGGAAGAATCTCATTAAGTGAGAAAAAAGAATCTAGAGTCTACACATTACTCCTCAACCAAATGTTTGAATCTTGCATCCTACAAAATCAGAGCTACTAAGAGAGCAACATGGCCTGCTTTGAGCTTCATCTCTTATGTGCCTACTCACTGGCCATGGAACACAATAGTCTAACAAGTGATCAAGAATTGGCACTAACGGCCAGCCAGCTGCAGCTTCCTCCCCAAAGGTGAACACATGCTAAACAATGTAGCAGAGCTGGGGGCAGCGGTCAGGAAATGGGAGGTGGGTTCTATGAGAGCAATCACTTTGGCTTGCTTAGGAGTCCAGGGAACAGATTTGCAAATTATAACCTCTTTGAACACTGGCTGAGACCACATATGAAATAACCTTTGTAATTTTAATGTGTACTTGGTAGGTAGGAATCATGAATCTCAAACACCTACGGAACCTGAGTTGCTTTTGTTTTCGTTTTGTTTTTCTAGAGGTCTACTTGCTCCTTTTGAAAAGCACTAGGAATGGGAGACTCAGGCAACATTGGAAAAAAAAAAAAGCTTCTCAGGTGATTTTTATTTAGTTCCCATACCTTTGAGGACCATGGTTCTAGTGGAACAGGAATGAACAGGAATGAGTTAGAACTGAAAAGTTAAACCTTTATGCTCATTTATCAAATAAGGATAGAATCCCTTCTCTCCCGATCTTGAGACTAATAGCTAACAGTAATTGTTCAACAAACGTTAGCTATTGTGTGCCAGGCACTGTCCTAAGAGCTATATTTGTGTGATAACCACACAATCCCATTTTATAAACGAGAAAACTGATTCACAGAGAGGTTAAGGAATTTGCCCAAGGTCACACAGCTAGGGCTTGGATTCAAAGCTAGGCAGTTTGGCTACAGAGATCATGCTTTTAACTATTATTCATAATATTGTAAAGAACATAATAAAAACATGCATGAGAAAAGCATTTTTTTTTTTTTTTTTTTTTTTTAAAGATTTTATTTATTTGACAGAGAGAGACACAGCGAGAGAGGGAACACAAGCAGGGGGAGTGGGAGAGGGAGAAGCAGGCTTCCCGCCGAGCAGGGAGCCCGATGCGGGGCTCGATCCCAGGACTCTGGGATCATGACCTGAGCCGAAGGCAGACGCTTAACGACTGAGCCACCCAGGCGCCCCGAGAAAAGCATTTTACTTTGAAAAGTTCAGGTGCTCTAAGCAGCTGCTGAATGAAGCTCCTGAAGGGAAGAGTCTGCATTGCATCTAGACAGCACTTGCTACATTAATAGCTGCTCACAAAAAACTTCACTCAAAGGACTTGAAAATCGGATCTTTGCCTGTTTCTCTCAAATGCTGACTTCACCCACTGACGTGCCATAGATAAAGTGACTCCTCTGACAACAAAAAAATAAAGAGAAGAACTCTCCAGTCCAGGTGCCTCACACAGGGCTTGGCACCCAGGTGATGAATAAAATGCTGACTGAATTGAAAGCCTTCCAATCAAAGGCATTTTGAAATGTGCTATTCATAGTCCACAAAACGACTTGAATACAAATTATTTAGAATGTCAAAACAGGAAGGGGCATGTGGCAAGTTAAGGAAATTAAAGAGAAATGAAGTATAAATGGAATACTAAACCTTTGAAATTTAAAATAAAGAACCTGGCTATATATCCTTGAAATCCTCTTTCTTGGCTAGCCGGGAAATGGGAGGGATAAGCGTTGGGGATCGAACAAGCCTATTCTTTAATAATATAATACTTATTTGTGTACTATGTACTTGCTGTAAGCCTACAGATCTGAACAAGCTGCTTAATATGCTCAGGTGATTTTTGAAAAGGCTGACTTTACCCTACATCATTCCCTAACGACCCTCGTGTTTTTTAGCAGGCACTCAAACATAGCTCAGAAATAAAACAGGTTTTTCTACCACTTTAGACAACAAAATGGATCCCTTATAACAAGCTGGGCTTGTATTCCTAGCATCAAATCTAATGAAACATTAGACTCACCTCATGTCCAATGTAGTGTTTGGCCTCCCTATAACTTTCAACCAGTATCTAAAGAGCTAATGCATAAAGCAGGGTTTTCCATAATTCTCAAGAATTTAATGACTGGTTATTTCATGATGTGGCTTGATCCAAACCTGGGGCAGCCAAAGAATCTCCTATGAAGACCTGTTGAGAAGTAGTGAGACTTGATGAGCAAGAGCTCACTGGGCCTACATTCATCCCTTTAATTACCATAAGGAGGACAACTCAGTTTCCCCAGCATGACATTCTCACTCAGTCTCTCTTCTGATGCACATCTGTAAAATGTTGTGCATGCTACTTAGTTGTGGAACTGATTCTATGAGACTACCTGGCCTTTGCTTTAAGAGCAGTGTGAAAGAAAGTCCAGACCCTCTTGGGACTAGGAAAAGCAGAAAAACAGACCTGAGAGCAGCAGTTTATCTGCTATGATAGGCTCTCAAAAAGCACATGTTGCCCTGATATGTGACCTATACAAGATCATGACCATAGGCTGGGGGTTAAAGCAACACACACACACACACACACATACACACACACACACACACTTTAAAAAGTTACCTCCAGGCATCCATATTGCACAGTTGAGGATTTAAAAAGTGATTCCTATACAGGATGTTCCAAAAGTCTTAGTGAAGTTTTAAGCTATTAGGGCTGGGGTTGGGGTGGTGAGCTGAACTCGCTCTCTGCCAGTCCAACAGGGGTAGCTACAGATGGTCTTGATTTATCATCATTTAAATGTGCAGCCCAGATTAAAGGAAACATTTTAAAGGACTAATTAGTCAACCCTCACAAAAGTAAATTAAGGGCCTGTGTTGAAACAGCCGAAGGAAACTCTAATACAGCACTGTAGCAATAATGCTTGGAGTGTATTCAAATGGAAAAGCTTGGGCTGGAAATACTTGTTTAGAAAAATAAGTACATCACTCCACCCTACTTCATCAAGTAATCCAAGCCATCTTACACACTCAAGGTCTGACCAAGCAAGACGTATTTTATTAAAACCTCTTTCAGCTTGAACTAGATCGTATCCTTGGGAATAAACAAATTTTATTCAATGAACAAGTAGAAGGGATTCTTGATTACTACTAGAGCTCTTTTGTGTAGACTGCTTCTAGGTTAATGCAAAAAGCTCAGAAAAGGATGTCAGATAAGGTAAAAGGCTTTATTATTCAGGATCAGCTCAAAGTCTGACACTGACAGAGGCAGGAATAATTATTATCTCATTACATTTGACCTTTGGTACCCATTTGAAGTACTAGTTTTCCAAGTGGGATGTGTTACAGCCAGGAGACTCTCAGCACAGTTTCTGTCAGCCACATTTACCCCAATTTTACTCGGTAGAGCTGTTAGGAGATGTTCAAGGATACAAAGAATATAATCATCTACTTTAGTTATCCTACCCCCTACCCCCACTGGCTTTCAAAGCAAGAGATAGGTAGCATTATTAGCAGATATGGTCATAAATAACACCTTTCCATAACCTAACATTAAAAAATCAAACACTAATTATAAGTAGAGTTTCTAAATATTCAGTTAATGCTATGGAGTGCTTTGTTTCAAAAACAGCAATTCTGAGGCTTCTCTTTATTTTTCTCCTTGCATAAAACCACGGAGAATCCATGTTTAATTCACATATGTAGTTCTTGTTGGTACAAGCTTAACTTACAGGAATCAAAGGAATTAAAATTTGTCATTAAGAACAGATTTTTAAATTTTGACAAAAATATGAATAAAATCTACATATTTGTTAGGGATATGGATAAAATGAATCAAGTGTCATGATTGTTGGGGGATCCCCTTCCAAGGACACAGTACATAGAAGGTACATGGAGCTTGTGTCTCTGAGGTTATAAAGGGGAAAAACAGAAAACAACAGTTCAAGATGACTGATATGTAATTGCTGATTAAAGGGAAGATGTTCAAAATATTTTGCACATTATTACCTTAGAATCAATCTAAACACCTTCTATATTATTTAGAGAAATTTCCATGACTTTTCAGCTCAGGGCTATACTAGACGGTTACTGTTTTTTATGTATATGAAGAGAATCCAAAAATTCCAGTTAAAGCCAAAAATTGTTTTTTAGGTTCTGGATTTTCAGTTCAGAGCTATGTTCTTTTAATAAAAGTACCAGTAAGAAATCATTACTTTTTCTTAAATTGATGACATATTTTTAAAAAGTTGCAGCCCCTAGAGAACTGAATTCAAGTTGAATTCAAACTCCAACTTTAATGTATGACTATTGATTTTATAAATATCTTTGTCTAGTAAATGGCAAAAATTGTAACCTCTTATAGAACACGATGTTGGATTGGTACCATAGTAAATTGCTTAGTAAAAATAGAAGGACCTTAAGTCTCATATGGGAGACATATTTGGGGGAAAAAAGATAAGTAAAGGTTTCTAGTGTTGTTCTCCTAGTTTCTCCAAAGAGCTGACATTTATCACTGCTCTTAAAAAAAAGATGATTTTAACTTAAGAGACTGTATTTTAACACTGAACACTGAATCAAGATAAATGCACTTATCTGAACATCACATTTTTACATATACTAAAAAAACAAAAAAAGCTCCCAAAAGTGTAGTGAAAAGATTATATAAATTTTAAATGAAATTATATTTGTTTGAGGCAGCACAGATCCAGAGGTCTCCAGCAGAAGACTTCTTCAGCAACCAGCCTTCACAGACAGGCCTCCTGCTGTGACCAGCAGATATTTTCCACTGTGCACCCACAGTCTCAGACTAATAAGAGACAAGTCTTGCTTTTTGCCTCTATGAGCTGGGATGTCATTATTGTAGAGAAGAGGCATAATTTAAAAAGTGAAGACTACTCATTCAAAAAGTTACAGAGTGATAAACTTACTTTATGGAATTAAACACAGCATTCATCCCAAGGAAGCTGCATATAAGCTATGGTAGAACCAGAGTAGGTAAACTTCAGAGTTGAAAGGATTTTCTCTGAAAATGAAAAAAACGGTAGCTTTCTTAAAGATTAGAGTTATAGAATCACTCTGTTGTATTTTTTGTCTTGTTTTAATGGGCCAAAGTTCAGTTAACTCACTCAGATTAGAATCTACAATTCTGTTGATTGTTCAGGACTGCAGTAGTCGTCTTGGGATTTTCTATGGAAGTATGTACAGATTTTCCTCATGGAGCTGGGAGTAATAGTAACCTAGAAAAAGAAAGTTTAGATTTCAGAGATTTTCTAAGATAAAGTTCAGCTGTTAACTTCAGCAAGTTAGCACTAAAGGGTATTTTAAATTGCAATGCCTAGAAATTTGATTATTTAGTCAGTCAGCTTTCAGTCCCAAATATTTTGATGGCAATGTGTCTTCTGGCTGATTTGTACTGAATTTAATAAAAATTGAATAGACAGTATTCAAGGATGGAAGGGATAGATTTTTCATGTGAACAGAAAATATTTACCAGTTAAACCTCCTAGAGGAACGAAAGGTTAAAATAATCCTTCTTCTTGAAACAAATTAGTAAATCACTCTCTCAAATTTACAAATGGGATAGTGATTCAAATGGCAGCCGCTACCCTCTTCTGAAGGAATCTACATCATCATGCACATAAAGCAGAAAATTCTTTTAAAGAAACTTTAGCTTCAAAGACTGAAATTATAAAACCAGAAATATATGGGACCAGCACACTATTTTTAAAAGCCTTTAAAATTCACACATTAGTGAAAACAGTTTTTCATTGAAATTATTTTTCTGCTAACACACAGCTGAGACCAGTTCCTCTGGGGGGAAAAAAAATTTTTGTTAGGGGCAAAAAACAGATACAGTGATAATTTTTTTTTTTTAAAGATTTTATTTATTTATTTGAGAGAGAGAGAATGAGAGAAAGCACATGAGAGGGGGGAAGGTCAGAGGGAGAAGCAGACTCCCTGCCGAGCAGGGAGCCCGATGCGGGACTCGATCCAGGGACTCCAGGATCATGACCTGAGCCGAAGGCAGTTGCTTAACCAACTGAGCCACCCAGGCGCCCCGATACAGTGATAATTTTGAGAAGAAAGGAAAGATTCCTATATTATAGCTGATTTTTTTTTTTTCGTTTTCTGTAGCAAGGTCTTGGTTGGAGCTTGTGTTTGAAATAATCTTTAGAATATTTCTAGTTTATTTTCCCTCTAATTATGGGATAGGCTTCATGACAGTAGGAGGGGGATATGAACACTTATTAAACTAGAACCGGCCTGAGGTTATCCAGTTTCTGCCTTTTAGATTCTTGGAGTGGATTTTAATCATTCTACCACCTTCTCCTTAACACAGAGCAAGAGCTACTATGAAGCACAGCAGAACCTTCCTTAACCCATCCCACCTTAACTTGCAAACTGATTACCTGAAGCTTTTTAGTTCTGACTGGTGCCCATACTCACCCAACGCTCATAGCTACTTCTTCCGCCATTAGTAAGGAGTCACTTGCTTTCCCAAGTTCACAAACCTATTTTCTGCCAGCAGTACGTGTTTTTGAAATTATTTAACTTAAATTTATGCTAGTCAATGAAATGAGTCCTAAAAAGGTAAGTGAAACTAAGCTGAATGTTTTAAAAGTATAGATAATAGGTGAATTGCCAAAAATATTGGTGTGAGCAAGAGGACTGTAAAAAAGATTGGAGAAAATCATAAAAATCCGGAAGGATTCTTCATTTAAATTGCTTTGTAAGTATCTAAGTTTCACTGTATTTTAAATAATCAAACTGTAATTACAAACTGGAAATCTATTTATGGATGTTGGCAACTTGCCCACGAATGTCAGCTTTATCCACAAAAAGGGGAGGGAATCTATAAAAAGTGGTGGCCAGGGGCTTGGGGGGTGGTGGAGAAAATAAAAAGAAAAGGTGGGGGTGGGGTGGGGAGGGAATTATATCAAACAAAGAAGAGGGAAGGTATCTTTGAATTGATATACTAGAGGATGATGAAGGCTTTGAGGAATCAAGCAAGAGGGCTGAGGGCTATGGACCTAGACAAGAGGTTTTTTTTTTTTTTTAATTAATTAATTTATTTGAAAGAGAGGGAGAGAGAGTGAAAGCGCCCACCGTCCGAGAGAGTGGGGAGGGAGGGTAGGGGCAGAGGGAGAGAAGTAGACTCCCTGCTCAGCTGGGAGCCAGGAGGGCTGGATCTCACAACCCTGGGATCAAGACCTGAGCCGCAATCAAGAGTCAGAAGCTTAATGGACTGAGCCACTCAGGCACCCCTGGACCTTGACAGAAGGCATTTAATGGGAATAAATAGGGTTGCTAGATAATAAAATACAGCAACACCCAGTTACATTTGAATTTCAAACAAATAAGGGATTTTTAGTATAAATAAGTCCCATGCAATATTTGTCCTGAATTTTTATGTGCTAAATTTGGCAACCCTAGGTATAAATAGATTTACTTAAAAAAAAAAGAAAAGAAAGCATCCTGACTCCTGAGAAGGGATTTGTGTCTGACCTCTTCAAGTTAGGGAATGTATCCTCTCACTGGCCCCATATGAGTTAGAAAATGCATCTTCCCACCACTGCCAACTTACCGGGCCTGGAGAAGTCTTTCCGCTCTGTCTCCTGGAACTGGGGGTCTGGGAGGATGGACTTCGCGGAGATGAATTCTCAGCCTTCCGTTTGGCTGCCATGGCCAATAACCAGTTTTTATTCTCTGGGGAGCTATTCTCTTTGCCTACCACCTCAGACCCTTCTCCACAAGATCCCAAAGGAAGAGGTAGTGTTCCACAGCTTTCTGAAGCGTAAGGACTGGCAGGAGAAGGAGGCTCTGAGATACTCATACTAGCTCCTTCAATCTTGCTTGGTTTGGTAGGACCTAGAGAGTCCTTACCAAGGTCTTCCTGGTTACCAGCAAGGCAGCACAGATCCAAATGAAGCTTTTCAACTGGGTCATCAAGCTCAGTCACACAGTTGCAACTCTTCACACACTTCTGTTTCACACTCTCCAGACAACTTGAGTCTAGCCTCCTCTTTACTCGGTTTCTAGACTCTGAGCAAGCCACTGCTTGGGATGATTTCAGACTCACAGGAATGAGGGCTTTTCTTGGAGATGTGATCTTGGTCTCAGAAGCAGGTGGAGTGATAGGTGGTGACGAGGATGGTGTTCGGGTCATCCAGTTTCTAATGGACATCTTGAAAGATGAGGGTGGCTTGGGAGAGCTAGAGGAGACAGAGCCTCTTCTGCTGATGGGAGACCGGGCTTTGGCAGGAGGGGTTTTAATAGAGAATGTGGGAGTATTTGAAGGAAGAGGGAGGTCTCCTGCACAGCTTGGAGCACAAGCTGCTGATGATGGGGAGGAAATGGATGGACTGCTCTTTACTCTGGGTGCTTTGGCAGGAGTACTCTGGCTACTTGTCACTGTCACTAAAAAAAAAAAAAAAAAAAGAGGGTCACAAAAATCAGAAGTGAAAGTCATAGAAAATTCCTGAATTCTCATCAAGGAAAATGATAGCTAACTTACTCATATAGAAATGGGTTTCCCAGTGAGTAGGTTACATAGATCACTGGATTCTTAACACACCCTTGCAACATTTTCCTTCCCCTTTCCTAACTGCCAGCCTCCCAACCACTGTTGTAAAACATATACTTTTAAATCTAGAAAATACAGAAAAATTAAAAAAAATTCAAAGTATTCAGGTAAACCACTTTTAGCATTTTTTCTATACTTGTGCATGTAATACATACATTATACACTTCAAATTTTTTCTATATAAAAACAAGACCATAATGTATATACTATTTAGTAACCTGCTTCTTAGCATATCATGACTATTTCTCACATTAATACAGATTTATATTATCATTTTTAATAGCTACCAAGTATTCTAAGGTAACAGTTAGACATCAGGTTGTTAATGATATTTTGTTTTCATAAGTAAAGTTGCCATTAGGATTCCCATATATACTTTTCAGCAATGCTAGGGCAGAGAGGCACTGCACAATGGCTCCCAAACAGAAGTATACTGGTCTAAAATTTGGCACATTCATTTACTATTGACTTGAACACAACCCTTTACCTCCTCTACTTCAGTTTCCATATCTGTTAAATGGAGAGCTTTTAATCTCCACAAGAAATAACCCCATCAATTACTTGTTAAGGTTATTAGGCCTCACTTGGTTTTCCACCTTAATTTACAAATGGCTACTTTCTACAAGCCAAAGAATGCCAAAGAACATTTTAGAAACTAAATGCTTGCTTGCTTTTAGTAAAACAAATCAAACAGTGGACAGAACTCTTCTCTATGTGTCCTGTCTCTTGTTTACAAGCAATGGCAAGTACTTTAGGCAAATTCTTATAAACTTTATGCTTCTTCCCCCTTGGGCCCCACCACAGACAACTCCATATTTTCTTATGTTCCTTCTGAGCTTTGGAGATTTCTGAAACAGTGTTCCTATCTCCAATAACAAGGAAAGGCCATCAGTTTATTTTCTAAGTCACCAACTCTTTGAATTATCACTCTGATATTTAATTCAGTTTAATTATTGAATTGCATTTATATGCAATTGAATTTAAGATGAGCTGACATAAAAATACAATCTCTCTTTTAACTAGAATACAGATTTACAAGGATTAATTTCAGGCATTTAATTACCCTTTATGTTCTACCCTGTGCTTTTTACTAATCAAGCAGTTTTGCCTTGCAACAGAGAAATTCTACACACTGACTTTTGCCTAAACTTTCCCCATCAACCATAAGTTTAGAAATGGCCAAGGTGATACTGCTCCTTCTACGCATCAGTACTGGAAAACCCCATTTTTGTCGTAACACGCTATATAAGGGAAATTAGTGACAGGGACCTGTCCCTGAAGCATCTGGTCATAGTTCTCATACTCATGTTCTAGAGCTTGATTTGTTATTATTTCAGGAGGACAGAAACTTTTCATTTGTTTCACTCCTCAGTGCAGGTCTACAGTCACTACATAGCCCCTGTAGTCTTTAGTTCCATTAAAGTGGGCTGAAGGGTATGGTTAAGGCAGAACAGAAAGCCCTAAAATAGTATGGGTCTTACAACATGCAGATTCTAAGACAGGATTAGGGGAGAAGGAAAAGCTGGGCCAGGGGCAGCTGGGCTTGGGCCACACAGATATCTAAGTTTCTGAAGTGTTTACTAAAGGTCAGCAGGAGATCTGATGTGGTGGAAAGCTAGGGCATTTCTCTTCCTTTAGGATGTTAAAATGAAAGAAGGAGCGGACCGTGTTCAAAGAGAAGATTTTATTAACTTGGAAGGCTAACAAAACTCTAGGCCAAATTTAAATCTTTTTTTTAAAAATAGTAATTAGATTATTAAGATAATAAAAGTTCATGGTAAAAAAAAAAAGAACCAAACAGTTAAAGAGGGGAATAAGGTGAAAAGTAAAAAGTCCTCTTTTTAATCTTCTCGTTTTACTCACGTTCTTATGCAACCCACAATTTTCTATATGTCTGTTAATACACACAAGGCATATCATACTTTAAAAACACAACAATGGGGGTGCCTGGGTGGCTCAGTTGGTTAAGCATCTGCCTTCGGCTCAGGTCATGATCCCAGGGTCCTGGGATCGAGCCCCACATCGGGCTCCCTGCTCAGCAGAAAGCCTGCTTCTCCCTCTTCCATTCCCCCTGCTTGTGTTCCCTCTCTCGCTGTGTCTCTCTCTGTCAAATAAATAAATAAAATCTTTAAAAATAAATAAATAAATAAATAAAATAAAATAAAAACCCAACAATGGATTATTACACACATACACCACATACTCCCTCACGTACATTCTGCAATTTGCTCTTTTCTCTTAAAAATGTTATCTTTTTCTCTATATCTCTACAAGTACGTTAGATGTACTGCATTCTTTTTAACAGCTATACAGTATGTCATATTGATCCATCGATTTAATAGGACATGCCCATTTAGCACATCATCTACTGAATTTCCACTGACCCTAAGCACTGCATGAGATCTGATGACACGGTAGCATAGACTGCTTTACTATCCTAAAAGCTTCCTGAAAGTCAGTTCCTTTAGGAATTATAAGAGAGCTTACTAATAATTGGTCACTTTGCAGCTCCTTTCTGTATAAGGGTTTGCCATCTGGCCTCACCCCACCTTTTCGGTCATATCATGTACTCTGCTATTTTAGGATCCTGTTACAGGAGACTACTCATTGCTTCCTGAACAAGCTGCACACTGTCACATCTCTGTCTTTGTTCATGTGGCTTTCTTGCCAAGTCTGTCCCTTCTTGGCCAGGCAAAAATTCTCATGTTTCAGGCTCTGATGACATCATTAACTTCATTGCTACACAATTCACAAACTTCTTTTCACTATGAAGAATTCACAAACTTCTTTCCTCCTCTCCCAGAGTAAGTAGGTTCTTTTGTTTATATAACTAGGAACAATGTCAGTAATGTACCACAGCTTTTGTAGCTGCCTCCTGGACTAGACTGTGAGCACCTAGGGGGCAGGTGATGATGATTTACTCATTTTTAAGTCTAGTGCCCCTATAGCAACCCAGCAAGGAATTATTAAACCATTTTTGTTAAATGTCATTCCTGCTGAGAGAGGACGGTGAGGTTCCAGGCATCAAAAAACAGGCTCTAAGTATTCTGCTGATTGGTGAGACTATAGCAAGCACATGAGATAGAACAGGTAAGGTTTCTTTCCTTTCAGATAAGGACAATCATTGTCCTTTGTCATTCAGTAATGCCTAAACCAGATGTTCTCAAGCCTGGCTACATAACAGAATTACTTGGAGCTTTATAAACATACAGGTACTTGGTCCCCACCCCAGACCTACTGAACAATCTCTGGGGATACACAAACTTTTAAAAAGCTCCACCACTGGTTATGATGCACAGCTGGGGTTCAGAACCATTCACCTCGACAGTGCTGAGATTGCTGGCGGAAAGAGTGAAACACCAGGAAGTGACAGAGCAGGTGCTGGCTGGGAGAAGTAGGGCAGAGGGAAAAGGGGCCGTGCCTTGGATTTAAAGCCTTCTGGCTGGGGTGTTAAAAGGGCCAGAAGAGAAGATACGAAGCCCAGGATAGCAGTGAAGCTTGGGGTGACAATGAGAAGTTGGGAAAGCAGAGGACCGTAATTTTCAAAATGGAAGTGTGATTAGCAGCAGCCAATCTGTTGCTGGAAGCTGGGCTACAGGGCTGAATAGCCAATGTGCCAGCCCTTGGCATTCACTGGGGTTGCTGCTCTGTAGTGCTCTTCAGAGGAACTCTAGCAGCATCCAGAAATGGAGAAATCTAGGTATTAACTCTTGGTCAGGTTTTTTCTCTTTTTTAAAAAAAATATTTTATTTACTTATTAGAGAGAGAGAAAGCACAAGCAGGGAGAGTGGTACAGGGAGAGGGAGAAGCAGGCTCCCCGCTGAGGAGGGAGCCCGATGCGGGACTGGAGCCCAGCACCCTGGGATCATGACCTGAGCCGAAGGCAGACAACCAACTGAGCCACCCAGGTGCCCCCCTTGGTCAGGTCTTAACTCAAATTTTGCTTTCCTGTGTGGAGTTCTAAAGGAGGCAGTGCTGCAGAGTGCTTGCAAGCAAGTGCTCCAAACCCAGGCTGCAAGTGTTTAAACTCTGGTTCTACTACAACTTCAAGGCTGTGTGATCTGAGGCAAGTCTAACTTCCTTGAGCTTCAGTTTTGGTTGTTTGGGGCACTAAATAAGATAATCCATGTGGGTCCCTAGAATGATTGTGCTAATACTCAATAATGGCTAAATGTTGTTGTTATTATTTTGGTCCAAACTTAGACAACATACGTAACTTTTTTTGTGACTTGGCTTCCAAAACTAAGAATAATTAATGACACACTAAAAATACTTAGTTAAGCAACTCACTTTTCATTAATACTCTTAAAATGGTTATTGCAATTAACATAGAAATGCCACCTCTGGGAATCTATTTTAATGGGATGGAGGAACCCTTAATTCAGAAAAAAATTTTCACAAAATATTGGAAACAAAATGTCCAACTATGATAGAATAGCTAGATAAACTACGGAACATTTACTCAGTGGACTATTTTAAATATTTTGCTAAAAAGATAACAAAAAGTGCTTAGGACATCATGTTCAGTGAAAACATCCCCAAGAAATCCAAATGTATTTACAGTGTAAACATGATTCTGTTGATAAGACTCTGTGGAAAAGGAGGAAAATCTCAAAAAAGTTAAAATGTTAATTAAAATTGTGAGTGGTGGAAACACTGAGGGCTTTTTCCTCATATGATTCTTCGCTTTTTCGTTTTCCAAAATTAGGGAGAGATAAGTAAATATAAAGACAAGGCAGCAAATAGACATCCATGTTCATGGATCACAAGACTTAACACATCATTAAGATGGCAATATTCCCCAAACTGAGCTATAGATTTGATGCAATCCATATCAAAATCCTAGAGGACTATTTTGCAGAAATTGACAAGCTGGTTCTAAAATTTGTATAGAAATATAAGAGGACAAGAATAGTCATAATAACTTTGAAAAAGAAGAAAATTGGGGGACTCAGACTTTCTGACTTCCAAACCTGCTACAAAGCTACAATAATCAAGACAATGTGGTATCGCATAAGGATAGACATATACAGCAATGGAACAGAAATGAGAATCTAAAAATAAACCCTTACGTTTATGGTCAATTAAGTTTTGGCAAGGGTGTGAAAACAATTTAATGGAGTAAAGAATAGTCTCTTTCAAAAATTATACCGAGAGGGGCACCTGGGTGGCTCAGTCGTTAAGCATCTGACTTTGGCTCAGGTCACGATCCCCGGGTCCTGGGATCGAGTCCCACATCGGGCTCCCTGCTCAGCAGGAAGCCTGCTTCTCCCTCTCCCACTCCCCCTGCTTGTGTTCCTGCTCTCTCTCTCTCTGTCAAATAAATAAAATCTTTAAAAAAATAAAAAATAAAAATGATACCAAGAAAGCTGGATATCCATGTATAAAAGAGTGAATTTGGATCCTTACCTCACATCATACACAAAAATAAACACACAACGGACCAGATAGCCTTAAAACTAAAAAACTCCCAGAATAAAACATAGGAGTAAATCTTTGTGACCTTGAGTTAAGCAATGGTTTCATTAGATACAACATCAAAAGCACAAATGACAAAGGAAAAAATAGATAAACTGGATTTCAACAAAATTAGAAAATTTTGTATCAAACAACACCATTAAGCAAGTAAAAAGACAACCTATAGAATAAGAGAAGATATTTTCAAATCATTGTATGACAAGGGGCTTATATCCAGAGTATATAAAGAACACTTATAACTCAACATTACTCCAAAGAAAATATACAAATGGCAAATAAGCACATGAAAAAATGCTTTACATCGTTAGCCATTAGGGAAATTCAAATTTAAACTACAATGGGATGCTCCTTCACATTCACTAGAAGGGCTATATTAAGAAGAGAAACAATAAGAAGTGCTAATAAGGATACAGAGAAATTGGAACCCTCATTTTGGATGCTGAAAAAATTCTAGAATTAGATTGTGTTGATGACTGCCTAACTCTGACCATCCTAAAGACCCTGCACTGTATACTTTAAATGAGTGGACTTGTGATATGTGACTATACCTTGACAAGGCTCTAAAAAAAAAGCCTCAAGGGGAAAAAAAGTAGAGGAAATAAAAAGTATGTAACTCCTTTCTGAATAGAAAAAAATAATAATACTCTTGATCAAACCAAAATTATGATCCTGTATTGGGAAGATAGGGGAATGCAGAGCATGCAGAGGTTTGCTAGTGGTGGAGACACAGAGAGCTAAATCCTCATCTCACATAGTAAGAAGTCAACAGATAATGTTGAAAACTGCAACAAAATAAAACAAAACCCTGAAGAAATAGAAATGCACAAATATTATTTAGAGATATAGACACACATCAAAGAATCAGCTAAAAGATTTGACAGTGGCTACCCCTAAAAAAGGGGAACTGTGGGGCAGGGTGTCTGGGGACTGCTTTTTATCTTATTCACTGCTGTAGAACTAGTTGACTTGTTAAACTATGATACTAATAAAAATTTTTTTTTTAAAGAGAGGAAAAACCAAAACCAAAAATGAAGGCATCAAAGGTTTTACTGAAGTAGACTTAGAACAAAAGACCCCTCTGGAGTCCAGTTCTGCTTATAACAACTTGTAAGAGACTAAATAAGTAAGTCACTAGAAAAATGAGCATATATTTGGTCTCACCTTCAACTCCCCATTACCTTAGGCCTTGATGGCTAATGTAAAATGAATCTTTAAGCTTGAATTTCAAGCTTACTACTATATATCTGTTGATAACATCAGAATCCCCTCTGGCTGGCTCAGTGCTTGGAAGACTTTTGCTCTTGGTGCATTGTCCCACTCTTCAACACTGTCTCTGTCAATTCATGGTTATTACAAAATCCACATACATGATCTTTCCAATACCTTGCTTGCTCTGTCTCTTGGCCTCCTTCTACACGGCTTTGTCCTTTCACTCACTCAAGCCCCTTATTCCTTGACCTTATTACTACCAACCTGCAAATCCTCCATTTTCTCAATTTCAATCACCACCTGTTTTCCAGCTCACTTTTGTGAGCAATTCCAAATTCCAATTCCAAAAACCCTTCATTCTCGGGGATCTCAATTCATTCATCTTCCGACTTCGATACTGTACCCCAGTGCCACTATATCCTCACTTCTCTCCTCACCCAGTTTCAATCCTATAGTCAGTCATTACAGTCATCCTCTCATATCTACCCTCAACTTCCTTGGCCCCCCCTCACTTCACACTTGTGGATTTAAACCACATCCCTGGTTAAATGCAACTCCCCACCTACAGTGTATCTGTACCTGGGCAGCAGACACACAACCATGCTGACTGCTCACTTTTAATTCATGGCTACTAGCCTCAAGTTGACCCATAGCCCAACAACCGTATTTCCCCAGTCCATTCACTCTTCTTTTCTCTGCATGACTCATGTCACACTTTTTTATCTCTCCTCAGATCTCAACCACCTCCTCCCTTATCCTTATTTTCACTTGATGATCTTGATTCCTATCTCAGCTAAGAAAAGAGAAGCTATCAACTTCCATAGGTTCTGACCATCCCTCTATCCACCTACCTTCACTGTGCTTATATATTCTACCTTTTCTCTAATTACTATGGATGAACTTTCCACACCCCTGGCAAAGGCCTACCCTTTTACTTGTAAATTTGATATCACCCCCTCACACTTGAGAACATTGCTCCAGCAAATTTCCCTGCATCAAGTTTCCCCCTCTCCATAGGATCCTTCCAGTCACATACAAAATGCTATATTCCTATTAACACAAAACAAAAACAAATTTCAACACTGCTTCTTCCTTCAGCTACCACTTCATTTCTCTCCTTTTCTTTCTAGCAAAAACTCCTTGAAGGAACCCTCTATACTTACAGTCTCCGAGTCCTCTTCTCTGATCCTCCTTAACACCTCCTTGACACTCTGCCAACTGCTCTCATTAAAGTCACCAAATAATCCCCATATTGCCAAATCCAAAGGCCAATTTTTACATGGAATGCTAAAAACATTTGAACAAATTCATCCCCCTCTCCATTTACTTACTTGGCTTCCAGGATACAATACTCTCCTAATTTTTCTCTATCTCTGGTTGTGTCTGTTCCTTCACCCCTCCAATCTCTAAACATTGGGGTGTTCCAAGGGTCAGAACCTAGACCTATCCTCTTTTCTTAACTATAGCTTCCTTCACCTATATGATGAATCCCAAATTTACAGCTCTAGCCTTGAACTGCAGAATTAAACATCTAACCCCCTCTCTGACCTCTTCATTTGAATGTCTAATAATTATATCAAACAACATATCCAAATGGAACTTTGGCTATTCTCTCCCAAACCTGTTTCTTCTGCAATGATTCCTATCTAGATTAATAGCAATTCCATTCTTCTAGCTTCTCAAGTCCTAAACTCTGAAGTGATCCTTGATAACTCTCCCTTACATCCCATATCTGATTCCACGCTATATTTACAATATATCCAGAACTTGAAGACTTTTACCATGTCTTTTGCTACCCCTCTGTCCAAGTCACCATCATTGCTTCCTGGATTATTTCAAAGGACTTCACAATTAGCTTCCACCTGTTACACTGATCCCTTTATAATTTGTTTTCAACACAGGAGTAAAAATGGTCAAGCTAGGAAAAGTCAGATCATGACACTCCTCTATTTAAAACCCTGCAATAGCTTTTTATCTGTCAGAATAAAAGCCCAAATCATATAAGAACCTCATTTTCCATTACTATTCCCCTCCCTCTCCTTAGCTTGCTCCAGTTAGAGGGGCTATACCCACATTAGCCTCCTCGAGGAACAAAAAATGTCAGGCCTACTCCTGCTTCAGGGCTTCTGTGCTTGCTGTTTTATCTGCCTGGAATGTTCTTCAAAATGTGCACATGGCTCACTATTTCACTTCCCTTACTCAAATGTCATCTAAACATTGAGGCTTCCCTGGGCACCTAATTTTCCAGTGTTCCTTTTTTTCCGAAGTATTTATTATTACCTGACATAGTACATATTTTACTTTATTTATTTTTAAAGATTTTATTTATTTATTTGACAGAGACAGAGATAGGAGAGCAGGAACACAAGCAGGGGGAGTGGGAGAGGGATAAACAGGCTCCCCGCCGGGCAGGGTGCCTGATGTGGGACTCAATCCCAGGGTCCTGGGATCATGACCTGAGCTGAAGGCAGACGCTTAACGACTAAGCCACCCAGGCGCCCCATATTTTACTTTAACTTGTTTCTTTGCCTCTCATACTAATCTGTACACTTTATTTACATCTTTGGGATTTTTGATTCTTTTGTTCATTGCTAAAAGTCCAGCAACTCAGAGCAATGCCTAGCACATCATAGGTGTTCAATACTTTGAAAGTAAATCCACCACTGTATTCCAGTGCCTCGTGTAGATGATAAACCTAGTAGTTCTCAGAAAACATTTATTGAAAAGAATGAATGTCAAAACGATGGTGCTTTCCTTTAAAAATATACCAAACAAGATCAAATTTAGCTTATCACTCTGTATTGTAGAATGAAACCAATCAAACTATAAACAACGTAGAAAAATGCACGGGATCCTTACCTAGGTCAGCTCTCGCTTCTTTTTTCTTCTGAGAAGCCCAACCCACTATGGAGAGTTTATCTCCTCCTGATTTCTCCTCTAAGCCTCTATTCAAGCGCCAGATTTTCAGTGTATTGTCATCAGAGCAGGTAGCAATCTAATGAGAATCAGGAAGGGAGTTAAGAAGTCTCAGTCAAAGATTTACAACAAAGTAAAAAGTAGATCTTAAGGACTCATGACTAGAGAATTATTCCATCTAATATACCAGGATGTAGAAAATGATCATATAGTCATCCCTTGCTTTCAGGAATCACTCCAAATTTCCAAAGGACTCTTGTTTCTTTCTAATTCTGATGGTATGTCTTTCGTTACCAGTCATGTCTTACCTGACCTAAAGCCCTACTATAAAATCAGGTTCATTTCATTTTACTCTCAAAAACCTGGGCAAGTCATCATCTTCATCACCTTCTATATAACTATGAAATAAATAATTACAACCCCTTTTTTATTTTCTCTCTTAAATGATAAACCAGTGTATGCCACCAACATTCAATTTCTACCACTTCCTTCTGAATTCTACATGTTCTGGCTTACTGCGGAAATAATGGGATCATTTCCAAGATCAGGCTTAGTCGGTGACTCTAGTAGGCTGTGACAAGTAGAATGAAACCATTCCTTTGAGATTCTTTTTCAGATAGGTAAAGGAGTAATCTGGGAAAACAACAAGTTCACTAGGCTGAAAGAAGTTAAAAATAACCTTTGTCCCTTTAAAAATATCTGACCATTCCCGATCTTGGTCCCAAGCCTTTTATGGCAGAGAAAGTCCAGCTTGAAGAGCTTGTGGCAAATGGCCACTGGTACCAGAGCTGTTCCCCAGCATTTGTTTATATAATTTCTCTATTTCAGTCACTGAAGAGACAGAAAAAAAAGAACACACGTTCTTCTTAAATCTTGGCCCCCAAGAGACTGGCAGCTTTTTCCTTTCCTTACTGGGAGGCCAAAAGAAGACACACATATTTAACTGCTCTACAAGAAATGCCTGGAATCCCCAGTTACTCTATGGTCTATTAACAAGAATTATTTCCAGAGCACCTACTGTGAGTCTGACAATTTACATATTTTATGTTGTTTAATTCTCACAATGTAAAAAGCCTTGAACTCAAATAACCTCATCTACAAAATAAGAATAAAGTTATTTGCCCAAGGTCACCACAATTAAGTGGCAGAGCTAGAACTGAAATCTAAATTTTTCCAATTTCAAAGGCTAGATTTTAAAACCATATTTTACCTTAACTCTAGGCTGGGAACAAAGTTATTAAAACAAATAAACAAACAAACAAAAACTTTTAAAGTAGGGGTCATTAGATTAGTATAGGTAAACAGCCCTGTCATTACCTATGAGTCTTTTCTGTGCATATAGTTAAGGGCAATATATGATAGTTGAAAAAAGAGAACACAAATAACTGAGTAATTAAAAAACTCTCTTAGTTCTCCAAAGATACAAAACTCCATGTTAAAAGTAGGTATTTCACTGGCAGTTACATGGAATCTCAGAAGAAAAATGTCATTAGGATTTAATTATTGGTGATTAAAGCAAGGAGTTAAAAAAAAAAAAAGAGTCTATCATAGGCTGACCACAGAAATGGTTATACAGATATAGAAATAAAAAGAAATCCACAGCAGTACTGGAAAGCTAGTAGGGATGCCATGAGTAGTAGACCAGACCATAAGAAGTTTCTGGAAGATAAAAAACAGATGGGAACAAAACCTCAAAATGTCATAAATGAAAGGGGAGATATCCACAGAAGTGATATTTCTTGTAAGCCCCAAATAACCCAAAGACCAGAGGCAGTAGGGACTGGGAGAATCAGTGGAACTTGGGCCACTATTGTATGAAATCCCTATATAGTCACGAAGTTTATGTTTCTGGCCTTTTTACATTTCAGGTATTTTGTTTGTTTGTCTTTAAGTATTATTGTAAAGAAATTTCTTTAAGTGAGAAATGTCTACGACATTTTGGAGCCAATTACATAGTGTAGCCACAGACAACCTAACACAGTACGACTTCACAGCGAGCACGGTTTAGGCATGTGAAAACTAAATTGGACTGTGAAGGACAGTCAAGATGTTACATTTAACATACCACATTGATAATACGTAGAAAGTTAATAAAAACTAGTTTTCCCACCTTAGATTTTCTTTTTATCTTAGATTTTCAGATGAAATTTAATTACATTAAAAACTTAATTCTATGTTTAGGAAAGAAATTACTCTAGGGAATCAAGAAATCCATTCTTATCTTGCCATTTGCAATGATGTGGATGGAACTAGAGGGTATTATGCTAAGTGAAATAAGTCAGTCAGAGAAAGACAGTTATCATATGATCTTACTTATACATGGAATTTAGGAAACAAAACAGAGGATCATAGGGGAAGAGAGGAAAAAATAAAACAAGATGAAATCAGAGAGGGAGACAAACCACAAGGGACTCTTAATCATAGGAAACAAACTGAGGGTTGCTGGAGGGGAGGGGGGTGGGGAGATGGGATAACTGGGTGATGGATATTAAGGAGGGCATGTGATGTAATGAGCACTGGGTATTATATAAGACTGATGAGTCATTGATCTCTACCTCTGAAACCAATAATATATGTTAACTGAGTTTAAATTAAAAAAAAAAAATCCATTTTTATTCCTTAGTGTAAGTTTCTCTATTGGTAGAGAAAAGTAGAATATGTATGGTTAATGCTGACATAGATCCTGGATGGCCTCTAGATCTTTCAATCTCTAAGCATAAAAGTCTGTGTAACTCTCAAACTAACCTTGGGAAAATCTACAAATCTGTGATCTACTTTTTAAACCAATGACAGAGATTTATTTACAAACCTTTGTGAAGTCTGATGGACACCAGCACACAGATGTGACTTCTTGAGAGTGACCCTGGAGCACAGTAGGAGGATGCCAGGGTGTGGAGACCTATCACACCATCAAAAAAGAAAAAACAAGTCAGCAGAGCAGTATTAGGTCTTCCAGATAGAGCCTTTGAACCTCTCCATATTTGTGTCTTACAGAGCTTCAGGGTTGTTACCAAAGATCTCTCTAGGTATGCCTAGTTATAGCTCAGAAAAGAGTCCCAATGGGCAATAAAAGTATTTCTGTCATTGATCTGAGAAAACAGAATGAAAATAGCCAAAATAAGTAAAATAATATGAACTTAAATACCAGGACAGGTCTTATTTCAATTCAAGACTACCTAGCTATATATATTTTGACTAAAATTCAAGAATGACATTGTTCCTCACCTCTTAGCTGGTAAACTTTCTATAAGGATAGGGTTCAGCTGCTAGGTAGTATGAACTTCAAGTGGAGTCCTGTTTTTACATAGTCTAGACATTTTCAGATCTTCTCTAATCGGCTACTTCCAGGAACACTACATTAAATAAATGCTGAAGGCATCTCAGACATAGTACCAGTTCTCCTCTGACAAGAGGACAGTCTTTCATCCAAAAGACTCACTGATTTTTACCAAAGTCCCTAGAATTATACCCCTTCATTTTGAGGGAATATAAACTATATACTTTTACATGGCACTTCCACATGGCACTTTTTTTTTGGGAAAAAAAAAAAATCCCCTAAAATTTCATTTTGGTAAATTTGCTTAAAGAAATCTTGAATTTTCAGTTAAGTACTGCCATATCTTAATGAATCAAGAAGGGTCATATTGTGCAGTACTATACACGTGACAACGGATCAGATTTCCCCCCTCACTGGATGCTACTTGTGATATGCATTTGACAGTTGACTCATTCAAGAGTTGTCAATCCCTTTCAGAGGCCACGGGAATTAATCAGCACAATATGGCATATAAACTCACATAACTATTATTAGCATGTGTTCGGAAAAAAAATTATTCTCTTTTCATTTTCCTGAGGCTATGAATCATTGCTCATCTGTATGAAGAAAGTGGAGGCGACTCTGGAAAGAGTATTTGCAGAGAATGACTAAGAAAACTTAATAGATTCCTTCAATTGTAGTGAAGAGAGTCAACACACTGATTCATAAGGTCATCCAACTCAATTATTACTACTCCTCTCTTGGGTTAAATGGCACATGTAATGATTCAAAAAGCAAAAGAAGAGAAAGAGTAGAGTCTAATTCGCCTTGCCGGGTTAATTAGAGTTTAACAGAAAAAGCTTTTTCCTGAGTATTATCTAAAAGGATCTCACTCTTTGCCTCCTACAATAGCACAGGGAACAATAACTCATTCCCTCACAAGGTAGCGTATTTTAGGAAAGACTTTCAAGATAGTCTCTAGCTATCTCAGGAGCCACAGAAATTTTCCTTCCTCCTGCATTTGGGATGGCCCCAGCCCATTAAATTTCTCTTCATGCAAGGCCCAAGCAGGCCAGGTAGGAGCAAATTAAAAAGGAGAGAAAATCCTAATGTCCTCTTGACTGCACCTCCCTGGTAGGAACACATTATTCTACTCCACTGGTTTACTCTGCTTGTGGCCTCTAGCTTGTCATTTCAAGATACTGCCTCTTCTTCAATTTTCTAGGCATTACAGTACCTAAGGGAACCTAAACATGTACACAAAGGATTAAAATAAATCTCAAGAAAACCAAACATCCGCCAATAGAATACATACACTTTTTTTGCATTTATCTATAGGATCTAAAAGAAAAAACGAAAGATCCCTTGGAAAAACTTTTTACAAACTGGTAATAAGGTAGAAATAATAATGACAATAAAAGTCAGCATTTGTTGAGGCAGGCACTTTGTATAGCATTAAAGTAGGGAGAAGGTTCCTCAAAAAGTTAAACACAGAATTAATTACTATATGACCCAGCAATTTTTTTAAAAGATCTATTCATCCATTTGAGAGAGAGAATGAGACAGCACGTGTGCACGCAAGTGGGGGTGGGGGGAAGGGGGAGATGGAGAGAGAGAATCTCAAGCAGACTCCCTACCCAGCTAGGAGCCCAATGTGGGGCTCAGTTCCACGACCTGGAGATCATGACCTGAGCCGAAATCAAGAGTTGGACGCTCAACCCCGACTAGCCAACCAGGCGCCCCAGGACGCAGCAATTCTATTCTTAGGTATACACACAGCAAAACTGAAAATATATGTTCAAACAGAAACTTGTACATGAATGTTCATAGTAGCTTTATTTATAAAGCCAAAAAGTGGAATAATTCACATGTCCACCAACTAATAAATGGATAAATAAAATGTGGTCTATCCATACAATGGATATTCAGCCATAAAAAGGAATGAAGTACTGATACGTGCAACAACAAACAAATCTGGAAAACATTATGCTCAGTGAAACAAGCCAGACATAAAAAATCACATATTGTATGATTCCATTTATAGGATATGTCCAGAATAGGCAAATCCACAGACAGAACATAGGTTAGTGGTTGCCAGGGGCTGAGAGCAGAGGAGAATGAAGAGTGACTCTTCAAGGGTACAGTGTTTCTTTTTGGAGTAATGAGCATGTCTGGGAATGAGACAGTGGCGATGGCTACTCAAAATCAACTGTACATTTAAAAATGACTAAAATGGGGCGCCTGGGTGGCTCAGTTGGTTGGGCGTCTGCCTTCGGCTCAGGTCATGATCCTGGAGTCCCTGGATTGAGTCCTGCATCGGGCTCCCTGCTCGGCAGGGAGTCTGCTTCGTCCTCTGACCCTATCCCCTCTCATGTGTTCTCTCGCTCTCATTCTCTGTCTCTCAAATAAATAAATAAAATCTTTAAAAAAAAAAAAATGACTAAAATGATGAATTTTATATTATGTGAATTCTATCTCAATAAAAAAAAAAGGGTGGAGAGAAGGGCATGTTGTGGGCTGAAATGAGTACTAATGTCCATCAAGTTTGTATGAATGGTAGTTACAGGAGCTTTCACAGTTTAGGACTACCCTACATGGTATAGTATACTTGTTGACTACTTCAAAGAAGATGAATTTCCCCTAGTGAAACTCAACTTGTTTTCAAATCCTTCATTTTTATTCAAATAAGTTTTTATTGTCACTTTGTTATGATAAAACATTACCGTAATTACAGGATTTCATTTTTTAAAAACCTCCCTCTACTTTTAAGTAATTAGAGGAAACTATTAAGTCCAAGAGACATTTACACCTATGCATTCTGGAGATGGTCAAAACACAGAAAACTGTCCTTTCTTACATATTCTAGTTGTTATATAGACTTTAATTCAAGACATGAAGAATCCCCAAGTTAAAACTCTTAGAACTATGAAGGTTACCACTAGAAATAACTGGCTCTAAGCTACACATCTAATAAAACATTCTGTATCCTTAAACATGCAAAAGACCAGCACCTTTCCTCAAAAAAATCTCCTTACTCTGCCCAGTCAGAAACCAAATCTCATCTTTATTTCTGCCATGAGATCATCTACACTTCCTAAAGTGTCAGGCTCAATGTTTCGCCAGTCAGCGGTAGAATGACTGTGCCAAATGAGTTTATTTATAACCACTTCAATACTATTCAGTGGCTATAACAGAAATGAACCAGGGAAGGGAGGGGAGAGGAAGGGGTGGGACATAGGGTAAGAAATTAAAAAGAAAAAAATATATTAACTGTTTTTATTTTTAAGTCTTGGTCCTTAGTATCAGAGAGTCTAACTATATTACACCTCCCTTTTGCTGAGCACTGGTAAAGATTAAAAGGCCATTCTCTTCTGTCTTAAGATCTGCAACTCTTTTCTTTCACTCTGTTTTCTTGTGCCCATGGGCTTTTTAACATAGGAAAAATCCCAACACTTGAGAGAATTCTGACCTTTTGGAAACATAGCAGAACTACAAGATAAACTAACAGCATGATACTCAGCTTGCATGGAATGGTTTTTAAACTACACCCCCACCCCTTTTTTTAATCATGGAAAAGAGAAACTGAGCCACCTCACTAGGCAAATTCAATTTTAGGAGCAGTAAGCTTGCCAGGATCTCAAATATCAGAGCCTGCACACTGAGTTATGTGTGGACAGGCAGGAGAACATCATGTCTGAACCACATCATTCAGCACTGACATGTGACCCAGCCTAGGAATTTAGAAAGGGTCACCCATGTATGTGATAGCCCCTGACTGGATATCTGAAAATGGGTTACTAACAACAGCCAAATTTCTTTACTGCATGTCTTTAGAGAGAGAAACTATACCTCAACCCTCATTCCCTGAAACAAACAAACAAAAAGCCTTTGTACTAGAGAAGATAGCTAGAGAGGAACTTTCAGAATCAACAATAAAACTCCATATCCACATGCAAACACATATATGTAGAATATATAATCATATGCATAATTATGTATACATAATTTAAAAACTGATTTTAAATGATTTTTTAAAAACGATCAGTGCAGGGCGCCTGGGTGGCTCAGTTGGTTAAGCGACTGCCTTCGGCTCAGGTCATGATCCTGGAGTCCTTGGATCGAGTCCCGCATTGGGCTCCCTGCTCAGCAGGGAGTCTGCTTCTCCCTCTGACCCTAACCCCTCTCATGTGCTCTCTCTCATTCTCTCTCTCAAATAAATAAATAAAATCTTTAAAAAAATAAAAAAAAATAAGAAATAAAAATGATCAGTGCAGAAGTATTTCTTGCATAATCTTTTATTATGTTTTTCATATAATTTTTTTTAAAGAATTAAAAAATTTAAAAAGATACAGACTTTGGTAGGAATAAAATCTTCCTGCTAAGTTGGGAGCCATAATAAAATAAGGAATGAAGATAAAACAGTGAGAGAAGGAGAAAGGAAAAACAAAGATAGTAAAATAAGAAGCATTAAGACCAAATTTAAAACTCAAAATTTTAAGTATAAGAAGAAAGCATTAGTGTTAGTAACACATATCGTTAAAGTTTAAAACTCAAGTCAGAAAATTTTATAGACAAGAAACTAGGTACAAACTCTTATGGATGAGAGTCTCAAGTATATATTTTATAAGCAAATTTTCGTTTTAAAATACAATACATGAAAGAAATGTGCTTGTAGAAAGAGGAAAGTACAACACAAAAAAGCATCTTGGATAGAACAACATCTCCACCATGTGACCATCTAGGATATAATCACTAAACACCCTTAAGTTTGTGTTGTATTTTTGCACCTCTAGGTATACAGAGAAGTCATTTTTAGTATGTCCTCCAGGACCAAATGAAATTAAGCAGAATTATGCTTCATACTTGACAGGTTCTACCCCATCCTAAGCCAACATTAAAGATATGACTTCCTAGAGGTTGGCAGGACTAATAATGATATAATTTCCTCTTGAGAAGGGATTTGATAACATTGAACCTATGAATCTATCAAGTTTTAGACATTATGACTCTAAAATCCAAAATGTGGGGCGCCTGGGTGGCTTGGTTGGTTAGGCATCCAACTCTCGATTTCAGCTCAAGTCATGATCTTGGGGTCGTGGGATTGGACCCCATGTGGGGCACTGCATTGAGTGCAGAGCCTGCTTGTCCCTCTCCCTCTGCTCCTTCCCCTGCTCACTTGCTCTCTCTCTCTCTCTTAAATAAATTAATTAAAAAAAATAACAATAAAAAATAAAAATCCAAAATGTGTTAACTCTGATCATTCAACTCACCAATGCCAAGGACATTTATGATATTACAACGGCAATCTAGAAGATAATTAATTTTTAGCCCTTGGAAAACAATGCCATGATGCTCTTATATCTCTGAACTCCCAGACATTTCTATAATTAATTAGTCCCACAAGAGCTATTTTTCAGTAATCAGCAAGTGCTACTCGTGTGATATTTCAGTTTTCTCCACTGAACCTTATATGGACAAATTTAAATTTCTTAGCTTACAGTAGTCACTTTAGGTATCACTGTTATTTAAAAAGTAAGAAAAAAGAGAAAATAAACTTGTGAACAGAAATGAAATCTGTAAAATAAATTAAGTAATGCTATTAAATATATACAAAACTGATAAAGTAGCCACATCTATTCTAGTAACCTTAAGACTGGCCACAGAGAGGAAAGAACACAATTACCATACAAATATCTTTTAGTGTTTTGTGCAAGGCTCTATGGTTGATTTGGGCATAGGATCCTGGGAATTAAAATACTGTATTTTGAATGAAGAGTTTGAAAACACAGAGCTGAAAGGCAATCCAACATATTTTTCCAGGAAGCAGGACAAGGTAGTTAAGGTTCTCTCTAGTCTTCTGAATTCTGAATTTCCTGATAATCCGTGAAACTGCTGGAATACATGGATTATCAATTTCTGAGAATCTTTGGCCATGAAAGTATGATATATTCTGACAATCAGAGTAAGTTTTGGCTGTGTTAAGAAGCAAGAAGCAACTTTTACTGAACATCTAATGTAGAAAAAGTTAATAGTATGTGTTTACATTAAACTTACTCATCTGAGAAGAAATATTTGTAAGAATACTTTAGTCTTACATTTGTGAGGGAAGTTTGATAACTTACCTTCCAGATGTAGGCAGCTTCATCACTTGAGCCACTAACTAAAAACTGGTCATCTGGACTAAGACTTGATTTAACATAAAAGGTAGAGTTTTGATGTCCATTGAAGATAGCCACTGCCAGAGGGGGGAAAAAACCCAACAAATTACTTGGTTCTTGTTATTTCTAGTGTTCACATAAACGCAGACAAGTATACATGTTCCAGTAAGTTTTATTAGTGTATTAACTATTGAATATTGAAACAGATAGTCAAGCTATATTCAGTAAATTAAAGGGAAATGGACATTGGCAGAAAAGTAAAGGAAGACTCAGAAAGAGGTTTTATATTAGACCCAATCTCATGATCTAAGCCCAGATACTTGGTATGGAGCTGGCTATGGAAGAGAAAGTGATGGAAAACATTCTTAAGAAGAACACAACCAGTGTCCACTCTTTTAGTAAAATGCCTTTATTAGACCCCTTTTCCCCACACTAGGATAGGGCTTTCCCTATTATAATACATTGGTCCTTCTTCCTCTTAGACTTCAAATCTTGAGGGTAAATTTCATATTTCATTCTTTACTCACTATATCTCACAGTGCTTTGAACAGAGATCTTCAAATATCTGTTGCATTAATAGGTAAGAATCAGTGGAAAGAGTTAAGATTTGTGGATAGCTCATTTGGGATGTGGGAATCAATCAATCTATTTATTTATTTATTGTGGGAATCTTTTTTTTTTTTTTTTTAAGATTTTATTTATTTATTTGACAGAGAGATAGAGAACAGGTAGGCAGAGAGGCAGGCAGAGGGAGACAGAGAGGCAGGCTCCCCGCTGAGCAGGGAGCCCGATGTGGGGCTCGATCCCGGGGACCCTGGGATCATGACCTGAGCCGAAGGCAGCCGCTTAACCGACTGAGCCACCCAGGCACCCCTATTGTGGGAATCTTTTTAATCCAAAACTTTAAGCAGGCTGAAAAGAAGTAGCTAGTGGGGTAAGCTATATGTCTGTAGGTAAGATACTCCAACTAGGTTAGGGTTAGCCTTCAGTTTTAGACTTCTTACTATCTGTGGTAAAAGGGCAAGTAATCCAATCTAGCACAATGTGCTTGATGGGTTCTACTATCCTAAGAAGACCAAAACCTGAGGCCTCTGGTATCAGTACACTAATACGAAATACAAAAAAAAAAATCTTAGTTACTGGAAAATTTAAGGATACATTTAAGCAGGAAAAAAAGTTCACTCCAATCTTTTAACAGAAAGGAAGTAAGAATTATCAAGGGACTTAGTAGCTTTCCTTTAGTGCTCACAGACATCTATTCCTTTTGCCAGAACTGGAAAAAGACTTTGCATTTCTAGCTTTTCAAGAAAAAGCCTACATATCAAATACTCTCCACATCAACACTTCCACTGTGGACGTTAAGCAGAATATGAATCAATTCAGATATGCATTTTCTTTTTATCTACTGTGATAGGTAAATCCCCACACAATAAACAGGGTCCGTTGCTCTGAATACAACTCTAAAACTATAATTGTTTATCTTAACTCTACAAATGGAAAAATACAGACCAAATTTCCCACTAGACCTGTAAGTATTTATTGCCCTCTGCTGGTCTAATCAAGTACACTGTAAATGCTTCAAACTATTCAAAAAATCCTAAAACCTGTATTGGCATTGATTAGCTCAACTTAATCTTTCTTTGATAATATGGGCTCCGAAAATGCTTCAATGAAGTGCTTCAGAGTCATCTTTATGAACATCACTTAGTATAATAAAACACTGTAAATTAAAAGTACAGGAGATGAAGAATTAAGCCCAGGACGCTTTCTGATGTTTTGAAAAAGATAAGCAATTACCCAATGTCATACACATGTCTATCTGTCACTCAATATCTAAAGAACATATCTACCTACGTATCTATCTATAGGAGCCAATAAAATAACTTTAGGAGCACAGGAAAAAGGTTACTAAATTTTTAGTAAAGTAGCCTTGGGCATATTTGTTTGACTAAACTTAAGGCCCCCTTTAAGGCCACACTACAAAAAAATGACACAGACAGAGCTCTTGTACATTTGATAATACAATTAGGATTATGCTTTTATCTTCTGGAGAAAGATTTTGAAAAGTCTATTTTATATGACTATCTAAATTAGAAGCTGTCCAAGTTCTGATTCCATTCAGGAAAACAGCAGGAGAAGTTATAAACTGCTTCCCTTTTCCAAATACTCTTGCTCTTATTTAGACAACACCAGACCTAATCCAGGACATTGGAAATATCAACTGTGAAGCTGTCACAGAACTTAAACTCCTAATACTGGCTTGGGGCAGTCTTTGGAAATTTCTGTAAGAGCCTAGCTAAGGTCTGTACTATTTTAAGATTTCTTATTTATCAGCACATCTTACTTTAGTGGGAAGTAGGTAGCTTTAGGGATTATAGAATCTGTTTCTGACAGAGCTAGAACTAGGTTACTAATATGTGGCTTGCCTAAATAATTGAAAATGTTCTTAAAATTATGTAACCCTAAAAACCTTCTTAGAGTATGCCTGAGAAACTTTCATTTCTTTTTTTAAAGTGCCATGTATCAACTTGAAACACCAGATTCCAATTGTAATTGGAGGAAAAGGAAGGGGAAAAAAAAGGTGAGGTTGGGGAAAACTAGAAATAAAATAGACACTGCTCAACATTAAGAAGGCTAAGGTAAATAAAAACTATTTAGGGACTTAAAAAATTCAGCCAACAAACAGCCCCCGAACAAGACAAAAGCTGAGAACAGCCTTCTATATCCTATAAAATTTAAGACAATTCTAAATATAGTCAAAGGGACATAATTTCAGGAAAGACTCACTGTTAAAATAAAATTAAGTCACCATATACAGCAGGATTCTGTTTACTTGTGAAATATCACAAGGAAAATACACCTATGAAAATATCACTGGAACTAATCAAAGACCCCAGAGCCCTCCTATGTCTTAAAAAATTTGGTTTAGAAAAAAAGATCAATATTAAATTATCATTAACAAAAACCTCTGCATTCATTTCTGGGTAAGAGATTTTATTTCATTTTATTTTTCCAGGTAGAGATTTTAAATGGCTAAGATCTTACCTGGAGAAGTCTTTAATCCGGTCATATTGAACATGTAGATATTGTCATCTGTGCAGTTAGCAAATAAAGTAGAGCCCGTGGAATCCAAAATCAGACTTGAGTATCCTAGAAAAAGGAAACTTTAGTTAGCATGTCCTGATGACAGCAAGTAGAACTGAGATGACAACGTTGTGGCAAGAAAATCATTCCACAAGTTTATCAGAATTCTTCTTCCCTCAAATATATATAAACCAAAAATACTCTTCTGAGTTTTTAACTTTTGAATTTCCAAAAGTTAATGTTAATCTCAAGTATATGTTGCTGAAAACTAGCTTGATATTTATTTTTAAAATTTTAACAAAAACTCACATCTCCAAAAAAGTCCTATAGGGTATAAAAAGGCTTACCTAGTTTTCGAGTGCTGCTACCTGGGTACAGGAAAGACTTGGATGCTATGGGTTCCTGTCGATAAGCAGTATAATTCTTACGTAAATCCCATATTTTGATTACCCTAAAAACCAAGGTAAAGAAAATTATTTTGTAGCCCCCCCCCAACTTCAACCAGTTTCAACTACATTGTGAAATGACTTTTAATCTAACTCCTCTGGCACATCAACCAGGTATAATGAGGGTATCTCATTGGGAAACAGATTGAACTATCTCATACTGTTGTTTCCAATGTCAGGCTAACAACTCAGGCAGAACGGAAACAGATGTGATCTGACCCAGCGATGGGTTACCTTGAGTTTACTTCAAGGGAGCGGAAAAGGAAGATGAAGGTTGGGTTCTGATGGTCATTGTTTCATTGTTTTCAGAGAAAAAAAAACAAAGCAAAACAAATGCTTCCTAAGACTTTAACACTCTGCATGTAACCTCTAACACTGTTAAGTAACAAGCTCTGTCCCTATGGTTTTATCTCTATATGTAACTCCTTAAGTAATCTGGTCTAAACAGCTTTTCCTGTGAAATAAAGTATTTTTTCATTTCGTCTATTGGTATAATTGTCTTAATCCTCAACATGTAGTTTTTTTTTTTTAAATATGTTATTTATTTATTTCTAGAGACAAAGAGCGAGTGAGAGCAGGGGGAGGGGAAGGGGGAGAGAGAGAATCCCAAGCAGACTCCCTGCTGAGCACGGAGCCTTAACTCGGGGCTTGATTTCACAACCCTGAGATCATGACCAGAGCAGAAGGCAAGAGTAGGTCGCCTAACCTACTGAGCCACCCAGGCACCCCATCAACATCTAGTTTATCGGCAACATGAAAACAAAAGCTTGGTCTAAAAGGGCAATATCCTTGGAAACAAACAGCAAGGTTTCACAGCCATTCACAAGCATAACTAGTAACCTTGAGATAATCCTTCATTTGTGCCTGAATATTTGGTCCACAGACCGAGTTTTAGTGTCCAGAAGACACAATGGAAATCCTAGTTCATTAGGCCATCACCTTTTTAAATTTGTTTCGAAGGAAGGGATGTCTTAAGAGATACGATAAGCAAATAAAAGGGCAAAGAAGGGTGCTTAAAAAACACCTCAGAATTTTTATTGTAACAAAGCAAACAATTAAGAAGTACCACAAACTTATCTGCAAGCCAAACATTCAGACCAGTCACAGATGGCAGGTATCTGAAAGCCATTAGGCCTTACTATCAATATTGTTAGATTACTCCCCCAAATGTCCATTATATACCCAGAATCAGATTCCTTCTTTTAGGGTATTACTAAACCTGAGAAGATAAAAATCCAAAATAATAGAAATTTTATTCCTCAAAATAAGACTCACTGCCTAAATTATACTGCATGGACAAGCAAGCTACCCACCCAGCTTCTCTGTAAAAACAGCAGCAGCCAACACTGCTCGTATGTGCTATATAATGTGCTAAGTGTAACATATGGATTCCCTCATTTAATTATTTGAGCAAGAGTCCTAATCAGATATTTTTCAGTGTGATCTGTAGTTCCTCTTCTCAGCTGGATATTCACTATGTCGAAAGTTAAAAGCATATACATTCGATTACAATGGGACTAGGTGACTTCCCTATCACAGTTTATGAAAGACATCTCATCAAAAGAACCAAGAAATAAAGGCTCTTACCCATCTACGGCTCCCGCTGAGACTAACGTATTCTCATCTTGAAAGAGGACCACAGTAACACTCTGCTGGAAATCCTGACAGCACAGGGCAGAAAAAGAAGAAAGTCCTATTTTCGGTACCATAATCTTCATCAAGAGACCAAGGTGCTAAAATGATGGCTTCCCCTCCACCCAAATTCTGAGTTAGACTAAATATTCCCTCTCCAATAATCTTAAGTCAGATATCTATACTGACCAAGAAGTAATTTTAGCATGAAAATGACCTAAACATCATGAAGTTATAGTACATAGTGTTGACTTTGACTTGTACTCAAGAAACAAACAGGTGAATAAAAGATTTGTCTAAACCTACTGGTTCTACTTAAAATCAGTCCTACTAATAAGCTATGTCTCCGTAGGAAACTCATTTAACTTTCTTGTGCCTGTTTCATTCTACAAAACGTCACCATCCACCTAAACTGTCACACAGGAAAGTCTAAAGAATTATTGATGAAAAATGATTATGTGCTCTGAAAAATTTAAAGGATCTCAGTGGAATTCCACCTCCTAATTGCTGTTAACAAGTTTTCCTGGCTCAGATTCTGATTGTCTGAAATGATATTCATTTTAACTCCATCTGGCCTCCAAAAACCACAGTTAATCTTGTCAGTTTCCACTCATGCCTGTGTCCTATTCTTGGTATGCAATTTTAAGTCCTAACATTTTAGTAAACACACTTCTCCAACATATTAATTTGGATCTCACAGACCAGGAATATTAGAAAAATAAACAAATTAAAGTAAAAGCCATGGTGATTTTTTTTTTTAAAGAAAAAAGATTATGGGCAATGTTTAAGCTTTAAGTAAAAGATGCTAGAGAGATATATTTTACCTAAATGTTTCAATATATTTAAATATTTTGCCAAATGTTTAATAAAATATTAAAAACTCACATATTTCCTGTAGTTTGTGTTATGTAAAAAACAGGGATTACTTCCCCCTATAGAAAACTATATCATGGTACTTAATATGCTTCTTCAAACTATCCCCCCTTTTCTAATAAATTACATTATATTGTAGATAGTGTATGCATGGCGATATCTAGGGATGAGGCTCAGGAAGATGAATTTTTAGTATGCTTCCAGGTGACTGTGTTACACACTAGAGTTTGAGAACCACTAATGTAGGTATTGAGCAGTAAGTAATAAACCACTGAATGAAGATTCTCATTCACTTAATCTATAGCTCCCATTTTATGCCCAACAAGTTACCTAAAATGAGATTCTATCTTACTACATGTTAAGATCTGCACACATGTACACAGCTATAAAACCTTACCACAGAAGGAGCAAGTCCTTTTGAATTCTGTTTCTTCTTAGGTTTTGAAGGGGTTTGCTTATCTAAGGTATTATGAGCTCCACTGATTTGATTCACCTGCCTATAAAATCCATCTGAAAGATATTCCAAGCAAACTGATTTAGGTTTCAGAACTTTATTCCCATGCTGAATGTCACATTTACACATAAAATCTCAAAATTAATTATATTCTTAATAGTGAAATTAAAAGCCAGCAGAACTTTCTTTTGGTGCCATTATGATGTATAGAAGAGAAATAAGCATATGGATATTTATAGCAGCTTTATTCCTAAATGCCAAAACTTGGAGGCAATCAAGATGTCCTCTTGATGATGAATGTGTGAATGTATGAATAAACTGTGGTATATCCAGGTAACGGCACATTATTCAATGGTAAGAAATGAGCTACCAAGCCATTAAAAGACAAGGAGGAACCTTAAATACATATTAAGTGAGAGAAGCCAATCTCAAAAGGCTACATACTGTATGATTTCAACTATATGACATTCTGGAAAAGGTAAAATGTTGGAAACAGTAACAAACAGTAAAACAGTAAAAAAAAAAAAATCAGTGGTTGCCAGGAGTTGGCGGGGAGAGCAGGATGAGCACAGGGGATTTTGAGGTTGTGAAACTATTCTGTATACTATAATGCTAGACACATGTCATTACACATTTGTCAAAACCAATAGAATGTGCAATACTAAGAGTTAACCCTCCTGTAAGGTACTGAGGGATACTGGGTGCTAATGGTGTATCCGTGCAGGTGCATCGGTTTAAACGAATGCCGAACTCTGCCATGGGATGCTGATAGTGGGAAAGGCTATGGCGATAGGGAGTATATCAGTACTCAGAGAACTCCCTGTATTTTCTGATCAATTTTGCTGTGCATCTAAAACTGCTCCGAAAAAATAGCCTATTAAAAATAAATTATTTTTAAAAAAGGAAGTAAGCAGTGAGATGATCACTGCATTCTGCTTAATGGCATCATGGGTGTAATGTGAGCATAATTATGTTTAATTTAATCCAATTCTTTAAAGCCAAATAACTTTTAAAAGATCGTTAACCACTGAGCACATGTATTAATAATTCCAATTCTATCAATAATTTAGGTAAGTGGCATAGTTCAGAAGACAATATGAGGTAAATACAGAGGGTAATACTTGCAACAATCACAACAATCCTGAGAATTGGAACAGTGAGCCGAAGACATGGGGGATTATGAACATGTGCCCCCTGGTGGTAACCAGATGAAATCACTAACTCATTCAGAATAAGTATGAGGTGATCCCACACTTACTAAAATCAAAATGGAACTAGGCTACCTTTTTTGTTGCACCTGGTGTCCCAGACCATAATGTTTCCATCTCTTCCACCTGTACAGAAGACAGCTATGGGGAAATAAATAGTTTATCAAGAAGTTAACAAAACCAGGCCAATAATGCATGCATTTCATTATAAGTTTCCTAGAGCATCTATTATATGGTAAGTACTGTAATTGGCACAGGCAATTAAAAATGAAAAAAGATATGGCTTGACAACAAATAAGAGAAAACAAAGCTGTGAAGGGAAAGGATTATGAAGAACTCAAAATGCTTATGCTTTAGAGAATAATCCCTCTGTGTAAATATTCTTAAAACCAAATAAAATACTATATGTAGTACACCTATGGAAAGAATAATGCAAAACCAGTAACCAAAATATACTGGGAGTTTACTAAGTGCTACACACTATCCCATGTGCTTTATATACATTATCTCAATTCTTGTTATCAACCCTATTAGGTGAATATTATTATCCTCATTTTACAGATAAGAAAACTAAGGCATAGAGAAGAGGATAAGTAACTTATAAAGGTATTCCTAGCAGAATAAATCCAGAGCCCACTCTCCAAATCTCCAAGCTGTACTGTCTTCAGTATAAACATATGGACCAGATCCATACAAAACGGTGAAAGAGGATGCCTCTAGGGATGGAAAGAGGGCAAGAGGATTGGAGAAGGGAACATAGGGGAACTTCAATTTATCTGTAATGTTTTATTCTTTAAAATGAAACCAAAAAAACTCTGCTTCCTGAGTGGAAGAGTGAGCACTTACCAAACCAATCCAACTGCATGAGCTATAAACTCTGGACAAAATATAAAAACCAGTAACCTGAGGGCTCTTTAGAAACTGAACAAAAACATGCAATTTTTGGAGGGAAGTCCACACCTGAATCAAGTGATTGGCCTGGGCTAAGTTACTGGCTTTTGTAGTTTTACCTTGAAGGCAGCCACAGTTGCAGCATCAGTACCAAGCAGCTAAGATGCCAATACAGAATCTGCCATCTTTCAAGCCAGAGGAACAAGGAAAAGCAGACTGAGGCAACAAGAGCTGCCAGAGCCAGAGCGAGAGGGGAACCCTGGAGAGAGCCAGAGAAAGGGCTAACTCTAACTCTGTGTTTAAACTTAGCACATGTCTCTGGTTGACCCCTGAACCATATATGCAAGGGAAAACCAAAAGAGGCTTGTAACTAAGGCTTAAATTAAAGAACTGAATTGAGATCAGATCTGATACACCCCCCCCCCCGTATGTCTGACAGTCTGCAATTTGACTCTTACTGAATTAATTGCCTGTTAAAACACCAAAATTGGGGCGCCTGGGTGGCTCAGTCGGGTAAGCATCTGCCTTCGGCTCAGGTCATGATCCCAGGGTCCTGGGATTGAGTCCCACATAGGGCTCCTCACTCAGTGGGGAGTCTGCTTCTCCCTCTGCCTGCCGTTCCCCAATTGTGCTCTTTTTCTCTCTGACAAATAGATAAATAAAATCTTAAAAAAAAAAAAAATCAACAGATGAAAAGTCCAGGGAGATAAAAATGACTTTGCCCAAGAGTTTAGAGGTAGAAACAGGAATAGAACACAGGGATTCTATGTATGATTGTAAAAGTGTGCCCTGTACAAAGGCATTTGGCTGAAGATCTAAAATCTAATCTGTGTTTACCAACCAAACTATGTGGCTATGGGGGCAGTGTCCAACCAGGTAATTCATGCTAGTGCACCTATAGACTATTAGGAGCCTTTGTAAAACCTACCAGCCCCAATTTTTAATTCAATGCTTTTTCTACTGGACTATATTGGCATAGATTTACTGAATAGAATTTTAAAAATTAAGCAAAGGGACCAAAAGATATAGTGTTTTCCTTTTCTGTTATCTTTTAAATAAATTTACCTTTAGTAAGGTTAATTTTCATGATCTTACGTTATTTTTATAAACTCAGAATCAACTCTGACACAGTAGTAAACTAGAACACAACCATACCTAACTTTATATAATAGATGTGTTAATGAAAACTTATGCAGAGATAAAAACTATGCTATATATTCTTCAAGGTTCCACTCTCAAAAGCAACCACAGTCAATTAAATTTGACCTTTTTTTGAGTCCAAATCAGCTCAACAACTGTTTAATATTTCTGAGTGCTCACATGAATAAATTTAAAAATAGAGTATTTCTTAATGATAAAGAAGACTGTAATGTTTGTCTCTATTATTGAGATTAAAGTCAGATTAATTCAGCCACTTCTTTGAGATGAGCATTTGTTGGTCTATTTGTTAAAAAAAAAAAAAAAAAATTCATGAGAAACTAATGCAGGAAGGAGAAAAGAAATGAACAGAAATGAAGAGCTGATTCAGACACTTCTAAGTTTTTCCCTAGCTGCTTTAGTACTGTTCTGTACTATATCACTCTTTAAGTCTTGCTTTTCCACTTTAATAGTAAAACAAATACAGTAAATAATAGTTGAAAACATACTAAGGAATTGGGCCATTTAAAGTAATTAAACGGTAAGTTTTTAGGTAGAGAATCATGTCCATTTTACCAGGTTTTCCACTCTAGCCTCACACTCCATTTAATTTAAATTTTACTAGTAGACTTAAAGTAAATAATTTACAAATAGAGTTAATCAGTGTCCAGTACAGGGTTTTGACTTTAAAGGACACTCAAAGTTGAACAGAGGTATTGTAGCTGTTTATAAGTATTTACCTTATCTTCAAGATTATAGAAAAAAATTATCTGAAGATTCTTAACTTACAGGGACAGGCTAGAGATAATATCCATAAGAATGGGACTAAAAGTCAACTTAATTTCATGGAGGATTTCAGTCATGAGATTCTCAATCTCAACGTAGGAAAAATAGCAACTCTGACAGGGGAAAGGGTGGAAATAAAACTTCTTATTAATTCACCATGAAGGAGGTTAAGGACATGAAAGAGGATAGGCACAGACCTACCTTTCTCAAACTTAGAAAAGGCAACTGACTTAAGGCTGCACTGATGACCTTTGCACGTTCCAATCAGTTCACCAGCTTTTACATCCCAAAATTTGGCTGTTTGGTCACCTGCTGCTGTAACCTTTCAAAAAATAAGGTATCACAATTTAATAAAGCAACGCTTTACCAGTATTTATTTACCCAGATTCCAATAAAATGAAAGTCACTTACAAGTTTAAGTTCACCAGGAACCCAGGCCAGGTCAAAGACAGCATTCCAGTGAGCCATCCATTCTAAACAAAGAAAATGGTGACTGTGAAATGTCTAGACTACATTCAGGGCCATATCAATAGAAGTTTGAATTTCTTGAAAGCCAGAGTGAAAAAATAAGTCATCAGTGCCCTATAATCCATAGGCCAAAGAGAACTTGTATATTCACAGAACTTACATATTTCCTTCACTACTACAGAGAACTACCATTTGATATCAAATTCCTTTCCATGAGGTTACTAGTAATATATTCTCCAAAATGGAATCTTTCTGAAATATTCTCCAGTTCAAAAATCTTCATCATGCTCTCTGAATGGAATCTAAAGTAGTTTGACATTTAAAGTTCTGCATGCTTTGGCCTTTATCTCTGTTGCAAGGTTTATCTCTATCTCCACATACCTATTCCAACCAAACTGGATGCCTCCCCATTCCCTAATTATAGCCTATGCTTTCTTATCTCTAGGCCTTTGCTAATGCTTTCTCTTCCACCTGGTATGTCCTATCCCACCTCCTTAGGTTTAAATACCACCGTTCAACTCAAATGTTCTACTCTTCATGAAAAATTGTCCTTGTCATCTTTACTACATGACAGCTTTCCTTTTGACAACCGTGGCATTTTTTTTCTGCATCTATATCATTTGCAGCCTGTTTTATTTATTTCCACACTTGACTTAACTTGTTCCAAATTATTAGCTTCTTAAGTTCAGTAGAACTTTGCCTTATATAAGGGAGATGCTTGGTCAACATAAATATTTTAAAGTAAAGTTTCCCCCAACCACATCAAGTGTAAAAGATTTAACTTTTTAAAAGAAGAACTGTTCTTTATCCTAAATTGTATTTTTTTTTCAACTTTCAGTAAAGGTATTGCTGTACTTCTAATATTATTGACAGAAGGACCATCTACCATTTTCTTTCAGCTTGGTCCCTACATAGACTTCATTAGAAGTGAATATAATTGGGAATACATTCAAATAACAATTTACTTGAGGCTTTATGAATTTAATATAATGTTAAAACAAAAATTTTAGGCCTAGACTTACCTTTGACACACTTCTTTCTATAGGCTTGTGATTCTGTGTTATACAATCTAACGAAGCCTTCTTCATTGGCAACTGCTAGTATATGCTCCATATTGGGAGCTAAATAAGAAATAAAGAATATGATACATAAAGAGTAATACAAAAATTTTAAAGCTGAGTATAAAGCTATAAAAACAATACAATACAGATTAACTGAAAGCTACAAGTTAAATACAAAGAATCTGAAGAGGGAAGATGATTCTACCCAAATAGCATTTGATATGGTAGAGAGGTAATTTGAATTAAAGACTGCTTAAAATTTGCCATAATATCTAATTCAGTAAATGACTCAAAACCACCAAAACTACCTTCAGATAATCTCTTATTTAGAGAAGGGTAGTACTTAAACAAGAGTGATACTGACCAATGGCAAAGAAAAGTATATGACATAGGCCATCAGCAGGTTGAGTCTATTAGTTAAATTTCCTTTTCATACCCTTTTACTTTTCCCCTCTTAAACTATTAACAGTGGGGGCAAGTACTCTATTTCTGTTCATATGTTCCCCAATGCATCACAGAGAGATTCCATCAGACCAAAAGGTGTATCCATTGGGCAAAACAGTTTTCAAGATGGCTGAACCTTTGCAATCCTTTCCCGGTACCAGTTAAAAAAATAAACAAACAAAAAAACCAATGCTGTAATAGTCCTATGCTTTAGAGGAAATATATAATTATGCATAGAGATTTTAAAAAGTCTATTTCATAAATCAGAGAACAGGTATTAGAAAAACTCTACCATCTATCTAACCTACTTTTCCTTGAAAGAGGGACACTCCAGTATAATTTTTCTTTAAATATGAAATAGATCATTTCTGAGCAAGCCTAGCTTAGATAGTAATTCTCTTACCAGAAGAGAAGGTACATCCAAAAGGAGGAACTGGGACTCCTGTTTCTCCATAAGAAGTGTGCTCATCATTACAGTTGCATTGATAACCAGTTAGAAGTGACTGAAGAGGGTACTGGGAAGACCATCCTAAAGTAAGACACAATTCTTTATAGAATTTCAATATATTATCACATTTCAATACTTTTAACAAGTGCAGAGGTAAATATTTGTTTTTAAAAGCTTTATATACTTTATATAAATCCACTCACTATTCAGGGTCCTCTATGATACAGTTTCTGGTATTTTCCTAAGGGGTCCTAAGGTAGAAATAAAGGGCACTCTCAACTTCTGGTGAGGTACAGGCTTGGGCTTACCATCTTAAATGGAGACTCTTGCTGGTACACTGAAGATTTTAAGAAACAAATGGCCTTTGCACATTAAAAAAGATCTTACCCCTCCTGCACCCTTTGGTGACAACTACAAAACACAACCACAAAGACTACCACAACCATTAAAACTGCCATTCTCTTCAATTAACATTTTGTTTCCAGAGTGTCTAAATCAACATTACTGCAAACTCTTTAATTACCTGCAACATCATAGATAATCCAATGGTCAAAGAGTTAAAGGAAATAATTTATGTAAATTTGCCTCCTACCTACTAACATATTCACAAGTAAATTCTAATTTCACTTCCTCTTTCCAATTGAAATTCTAGGATTCTAAAATGTTAACAAGTCACAGTATCTTAAATTACATTAGAGCAATTTTAAAGTGAGGCATAATGTACCCAACCCTAGAGTACAATCAGTTAAATTCTGGCTAGTAATAGCCGTCAGGGAAGTCTTATAGAGTAGGTGAAATCAAATGTGTAGAGAGATGAGTAAGTTTTTACTGAATATACAAGACAGAGGAAGAAATTCAGGGTAGAGGGAGCATTTATTCTGCTTGGGTCAGAGATCTAATGGGCACTATGGTCCTAAATAAGTAATAAGCAATCTTCAAAGATTTGTTTTATTATTTAGATACGTAGGTCAACACATTTTAAATATATAAAAGAAACATTAAATAAACGGTTACTGAGAACTAAATGTTTATTAAGCATCAGAGGAAACAATGAAGTTACAATCTATTGAGAGCTGTTTAATAAACTCACATTTTAGGGTACTTTCAATTATCACTTTTCATCAAAAATACCCTTTGGAGAAGACATCTCAGTCTGATATAATCTCAGACAAATCTAGCTTTGATGTTCCTAGAGATAACCTGAAGGAATCAGTACAAAAGAGGCAAAGAATACAATCCAGATTTAGTAATTATTCCTGGGGTTATTACCTCAAGGTCAGGCATCAGTGTAAACAAGCTATTTTATTAAAAGACCACTAAAGAAAGAATACAATAGTTATATTGTAGAGTTCACAAATATCCATCTACAGAATGAATTTTAAAACAAAAACCTCTGTATATGTACACTTGTGGTTTGAGATTAAAAATAATAATAATCTAATGATTGCAATATACAAATTCAAAAGGACCAAATCTTGAACAATTCAGTCGGAACTGAACATGATAAGCTCTGGATACCTAATTCTTTGCAATTAAACAGTGATTCCTTCAACTCTACCTCACTGCCTACAGACTAATACCCAAACACCAACAAATGGCCTAACATGGCTTAGTAACTTGTCCCTCCATTTCTGCACTCTCTACAAGACACAGTTGTGGACTGGTCTCTTAAGCAACTTTTGGATCCTTATTGTGCTATGCTGCTTCCAACACGAACATATAATGCTTTCCCCCAAGACACTCATTTGGAAAAGCCTATTCTTTCCTCAATGTACAATTTAAGCCCCTGGAATTACAGGCCAATTTTTCAAGGAGTATCCAAGGACATGAGTTTTCAGAGAATCAGTTGATATAGGTGCATTTCTATAACTAATCTGAGAAGGCTGAAGCTCTTTTTCCTCCTCTCCCTTCATCACTGCTTTTCTTCCACTTTTCAAAAGAAAGGCATTTCCATGCCCCAATTTATACCTTGCATTGATCCAAGGTACAAAAACTTCTGGGACTCCAACTAAGAGACAATAGGATAATTCCTTTAATAAAGGCATCATAAACAGCCAAATCTATTTCTTCAAAAGATACACTTCCAATAAAATTTTACTTTTTGCTTCATTTATTTATCAAAATTAAGTCTATACTGTTTTGATCATTTGCATACTAATAATTGTAACAATTCAATTCAGAGGAAACGCTCGACATTTAGAGCCTTATGATTACAGAAAATACCGAGTTTATTTTTTTCACAGAGGAGTATGACAGCGTGATCAATAAAATAACTTTTCAAACTTAGAATCAAATACATTAGGATAAATTCTGTGAGAAAAATAAAGTGGAAATAAAATCAAGGGGGAAAAAACTATAGTTGACCCTCAAACACAGGTCTGAACTGTGTGAGTCCACTTATCTATGGATTTTTTTCCACAAATATAGTACTATAAATGTATTTTCTCTTCTTTATGATTTTCTTAGTAACATTTTCTTTTCTCTAGCTTTATTGTGAGAATACAGTATACAATATGTATAACATAAAAAGTATGTGTTAATTGACCATTTATGTTATTGGTAAGGCTTCCTTCCAGTCAACAGGAGGCTATTGGTAAAGTTTTGGGAGAGTCAAAGTTATAGGTGACTTTTGACTGTGTGGGGTTTGGTGACTCTAACCCTTATGCTGTTCAAGGTTGAAATGTACCTAGAAAATTTGGCAGTTAAAGAGTTTGTTCATATTTTTAAAAAAGGATTGATATGATCATCAAATCACTATAGTATTCATAGTCTATTAGATACATTTTAAATGACATAGCATTTTTATTTTAAAATTTCAGTAAGTTTAAACCTATGATAAAAACTTTTAGTTAACAACTTAAAAATACATAGAAGAGTAATCAGATTTCCACTTTAGATTGTTGGCAGCAATGTGGAGAATAAACTGGAGAGAGGGAAACTAAGAGGCCATTTGGGAACCTTCTTATAATACAGACAAGTAGTTATTAGGGCCCAACCTAGGGAAATGGAATGGTAAGCACAGAACAGATCCAAGTTAGAGTGATGAGGCAAAATCAGTGGGAATAGAGGACAGATTCAAGAGATTTTAAGGGACCTTTAAGGGAACTTCCTGTATCTTGAGGAAAACAGAGGAAGTTTGATTGACTCAGGTTTCCGGCAGGGAAGACTAGTTTAAAATAATTGGGACCCCTCCCTAGAGTAGGCAATATAGCAGGTTTGGGGAAAAGTGAGCTGTTTTGAGTACTTGAGTTTGAGATGTTTGTGGGACCGACCTGCTGGATGAAGATACTCACACAGCTTTTATAGGAATGGATGTAAAATATAGGGGATGGAAGTTTCAAGTAGTAGTGGAAGAAGCCCTGGTTGTGGCTCATCCATGGGAGTAGGCAGAAGGACAAAAGGGGCCTAGAGTGGAACACTGAGAAGGGGAAAGAAGATGGTCCTATAAAGTTCAGTGCATAATCTATACCAATGAATGAATTTCATTGTCTGACACATAACAATAAATGAGTATTTGTAAATGAGAGAGGGGGGGAAGTAGACAGAAAGATTGGGGAATTAGAAGAATATCTGTTACAAAATAGAGGCTAAGTATAATAAATAGCTTGCCCCAGGTCTCACAGGTGGTAAGGACTGGAGTTGGAATTAAAACTCTGGCAGTTCAATTCCAAAGACAGAGACCTTAATCACTGGGCAGTACTGCCACTCATGACACAGAGCATAGAGAAGATACCCAAACAAGGTTCCAAGAGAGTCAGAGAGAGGGCCAGTTAGGGTATAGTCAGAAAGATTACCTGGGGGGAGGGCGGAGGGGGGGAAGTATGTGAGAAAGGTATGAAGTTCAGGTTGGGGGCAGGAAGTTGTGGGACTGCTCCTCAGTCTACGTCTCAATATCCTCTTCCTAGATCTTTGCCTTGATATGAAAAGTTTCCTTCTCAGATTCTTTTTTGTTTTCCACATGGTTTCAAGGGGAAAGGAGACCTAGTCCCTTTTTAAATGAATGAGATTTCATTTGTATCCATCCTAAGTCTGGGTAGTAACTCCCGCCTCAGAAACTTACCAGAAAGTTTCAGGTCGATGACACCCAAACCTAAGCTCAAAACTCCCACTGCCCATGTTTTAACCTAAGGAACCTCAAGAACTGTAGCGAGGAAGTTGGATTTCTACATACTATGGAAATATCCCCCAAGTTATACCGTTATGGTGAAAAACAAAACAAACAAAACATTTTGATCCCATTTCTGTAAATAACAATACGTATTACTTTTGGCATTGAAGAACATTTGGAATAATCTCATCTATCACGAAGTGGTTATCTTTGGGGGATGTGGTTACGGGCATTTTTCACTCTGTAATTTCGTATTTTTACGCACATGTAGTAATCGGGGGGGACATTGTTTTGACCATGCTAGAAGCAGATGTTGTCTTCTCGGCTAGAATGAGTTCCTTAATAGCGGGTCACACTCGCAAGTATATATAAGCGACTAGTAGGGCTCACTAAAGTTCTACAACACATGAATCAATGAATCAACAAATCAATCAGTGAACACGAGTCCTGACGATCTCCCATAGCTGTGGAACCGCGCACACATACACAAATGCACGCATTTTCCAGTTACTGTGCAACATAGACAGAAGCCGTAAAGAAGGCCAGTCGATTCGACTTACTTCCCTCCGTCAGCCCACATAACGATTTAAAAAATCCCGATTACGATTAAAAGTGTCTCAAGGGCAAGAAAGTGCAGCTTTCTTCAGTAGTCCTCGCTAACACGAACTCACTCTGGCCGTGGGAGAAGTCGGGGACTGGGAAACAGAGTTGGAGTCGGCCTTGGTCCGCCGTGTTGTTCGGGGGAGGTGAAGCCCGCCAGCAAGAAGAAGCGGTTAGGGCCGTTACTCACCATTTCTCGGGACGCCGAACTGGGGCTGGCGAAGCACCGAATTGAAAAGCATCTGGGCCAGAGGAAAAGGTTCAACGGACAGAAAAGCCGTGGAAATGCCCCCCAGGTTCAGCAGAAATCGTATCTTGCGCCCCTCAGAACACGACTAGTTATTGCCTCCAACTCCCGCCACTGTAAGCCCCGGCCACCAAACTCCCCGCCAAACTGACGTCACGCCCTCTGATTGGCTCCCACCGCGGCGTCCGGGCGCCTCCGAGTCACTTCCCCCTTCCAATCCCCGCCTCCTTTTCTCTGAGCCGCGGGAACCCAGAGTTCAGGAGCTCCCTGAGCGCCTGCGCGGGGGGCCGCAGAGGCGCTGGCGAACGGCGGGGTGACCAGGGCGCATGCGTAACAGGGCTTGACAGAGCGCGGAGGAAAAATCCGCGAGAAGGTGGTGGAAGAAGATGGCGGTGCTGGGGCAGAGTTTGCAATCTTTTTAAATAGGCTAGTCGAGTGACTATTCGGGTCATGGCGTCAAACTCAACTAAGTCTTTCCTGGCAGATGCCGGCTATGGCGAACAGGAGCTGGATGCTAACTCTGCCCTTATGGAATTAGACAAAGGTATTCGAAAGAGCGGGCTGAGCGGGTGAAACGGGCGTGGGGGGCTGTGGCGCCACCAGGCGGTAGTAGCCGCCGGCCAGGCGCATGCGCCTAGCTTCCTTGGGCGGGGGCGGGGGCGGGTACCTATGATTTTGGTTGAGTCCAGAGCATTTGCAGCTTTGGGAGATTGCGGGAAAATTGCAGCGTTGCAGGTCTGGCTTTGCACCAGTGAACAAGTAGTGAGCTCCAGTGATGGGCCCTGTTTGACCGCTTGAGGGCACAGTACCCCGATTTTCCAAGCAGTTTGTAAAAATGCTACATTTAAATTGTGAAATTGTCAGTACGTTCAGTTGAGACAAGGTCTTCATCAAGAGTGCTGAATAATAATCTTGCACCCACTTTATAACGATGTATTTTATTTCTGTCATTCTTACTTGCGGGTTACTAGACATTAAACACGGCCAAGAAAATCTGAAAATCATAGCTCCTCTTTCTGTGAATTCCACGAGTTCTGTTTTCCTGTGGGAGGGGGGAGGGGTGTGGAAGGGGGGAGGGCTGCGGAAGGTGGGAGGGCTGCTTGGTGTAGTGGAAGGAGCTTTGGAGTTAGACTGAGTCGAATTACAGTGCCACCAATTTTATGATCATGGACAGGTCACCTAACTTCACCTAACCTCGTTTTTTTTGGTTTACAAATTGCAGTACCATTGAGGTTGCAAGACTTGCAAATATTAAGTGATATATAATTGTATGTAAAAGAAGCCTTTACTAAATGCTAAAGAGATATGCCTTCTTATATAAGGCTGTGGGAGGCAGAGGCAAATGTTTGACAGTAAAGAACTCAAATATTAAACCTTTGTTTCAGTGATTTTTATTGAATGGGGGAAACATTTTGTCACCTGGTATACAGTTAATTCTTCATTAACCATAGCCAATATATAATATATTGAGAATTGGGACTACAGGTTAGAAGGATCTTCTTTAAGTCCACTTTGAGCCAGTTCCCTGCTCTGACTTGGACACTCTGTTAACTTTTTTGGGATTTCGGTTTTTTTGTTTTGTTTTTTAACCTGTAAACATTTCTAGTAGGTAGGTCTAGATAAGAGTTTCTTAGACTTTTTAAAAAGCTTTTAACTCTTTTTGATCAACATAAAAATGTCACAGCACTCCAATGAGATATTCTTTGGTTGAGTCACAGTATCTTTAGTGCATCCTCATCAGTCAAGAAAATGGTGTTGAACTTTTTACTTTCTCTTACCAAAGCTGTAGGGCTTTTCCTCTATGAAATATAAAATTATAATATTAGATGTGTTTTTTAAACACTACATAACCCTTTTCTTTCCATCCTGGAAATTTCTTCCTTATTCCCCAGTAAGAGTTACAGGTCCAGATATCTAATAACCCCACCAAATCTAAAGACATTATCGATTTATTAAGCTATGGGTTGTTAGGTTACCTTCTAATGTGTGGTGCATACTTGTGTTCCTATTTTTTCCTGCTCTTACCCCCATTTTTAATGACTACACTTTAAGATATATATGTATTATGTTTCCTTTTTGAGTCATCCTCACACCTTAGCTAAAGCTAATGTGTATAACAAACTCTTCTAAAATGTGCTTGTGAGGTAATGTGTATTAGCAGTGTTCTTTGTAATGGGTATTCCTCGTGTTGGTGGTCGCTTAGCATCTTGTAGTCACTCCTCCTGTGCTTGAGGAATGACCCACACTATATGCCCTGCCTCACCAGGGTGGAAGCCAAAGTTCACCTTCCTGGCTTCCCTTGCAAGAGCGCAGGACGTGAACTTGGCCCTGCTGGTCAGACAGACCTCCTCTGGCCTCTGTGATTTAGGAGTTCAGCAAAATCCAACTATGCTCTCCAACTATGCCTTTAGGAAGGCATAGTTGGAGAGCAGGCTCACAGTTCTGTGCCCTGGCAGCCACGGCGGCTGTGGTGTTCCTAGGGGACAGTAACAGCGGCAATGGCTACAGGGTTCCTGGATGTCAGCAGAGCTGATTGTAGCATCTGGTGTTTCCTAGCCACAGGACATCTCTTCATCTAATCAGTCAGGCAGTGTGGTAGTAGGTGTTCGTAGATGTTTAGCCTTGAAACTGTTAGTTAAGTTTTTAATAAACCCATGTTCTGCCTAATCAGCCAGTTGGCTTGTGTTGCTTAAAGCCAAGAACTCTGGCTGATACGTGCTACCTGGAAATGTGTGTTGTTTTGAAAACTTGATTACTGTACATAACAATCCCCAAGTTTACCATCATTTATGTTATTCTTCCCAGTTCCCTAGAATTTTTCTGTCCTCAGAATTACACCACTCTAAAATCATAATTTAAATATCCCTTTTAAAATCTTAGCCTCTGTCCTCTAGTTAGTTACTTGCTCGAGATGTATTTTAGCATAATAGTTTAGGACCATAGACTCTGGAGCCAGATTGCCAGGATGTGAATCCCAGGTATGCCATTTATTAGCTGTTTCTTAAGCACGTTGCATAACCAGTCTGCCTGTGTCATCTTTAAAATGGGGATAATAATAGTACCTAACTTCTATGATTGCAGTGAGAGTTTAATTCATGTAAATTGCTTAGTAGAGTGGCACAGAATAAGCACATAATATGCACCATCACCATCATCATGACGAACTGCTATATTGATCATTCTTTATTTTCATTCAGACCTCAGTATATTCACCTGTCTACTTTCCCCTACCCAAAAGACTCTTCCTGTTGTTTCTTCTTTATCGAGCTTAGATTTCATGGTGCCACGTTTTATTAACTTCATTAACTTTCTTACCAGCACTTTATTTTATTTTATTTTTTTAAGATTTTATTTATTTATTTGAGAGAGAGAGCATGAGCAGGGGGAGGGACAGAGGGAGAAACAGACTCCCTGCTGAGCAGGGAGCCCAACTCTGGGCCCCATCCCAGGACCTTGGGATCATGACCTGAGCCAACAGTAGACACTTAACCGACTGAGCTACCCAGGTGCCCCCTTACTAGCACTTTAAATTCTCATCCAAGATTCTCTTCTGGTTATGTGTGCCCAAAGGCGGCCAAAAATTGCTAGAGAAAGATTGTAGGGGTACATGGCTATTACCAGAAATGATTATCAAGCCCAAATGGGCCTTCAGTACAGACCTGCAATACTACAGTGTTTCTTTGGTCAAGACTCCCACCTTCTTTTTTTTTTTTTTTTTTTTTTAAGATTTTATTTATTTGAGAGAGAGAGAATGAGTGAGAGAGGGCGCACACATGAGAGAGGGGAGGGTCAGAGGGAGAAGCAGACTCCCTGCTCAGCAGGGAGCCCGATGTGGGACTCGATCCCAGGACTCCAGGATCATGACCTGAGCCGAAGGCAGTTGCTTAACCAACTGAGCCACCCAGGCATCCCAAGACTCCCACCTTCTTTAGTGACATTGCAGATCTTTAAAAATTTCAAAACTAATGTATGGTGATTAACATAACAAAAAAATTTTCAAAACCAGAAATTCTGGGTTTTATTGAAATCTCGTTTCATTTTTAAAATTTGACAATGAATTCAAAACCCTTAAAAAACATTGTTGTCTATCAGATGAAATTTGAGTGCCAAATTCAGCAAACTATTAGTTTTCTAACTCCAGTATAGGCAGGGCAGTTAAATAGGATGAGAAGTGATGGAGGATAGCTTGAGGATCTAAGTTCCTGCCTTCTCAAAGTAGCTAAACAGATGCCTGGGCCCCAGCCTCAGATTTGGTAGGTTTGGAGTAAAACTCTGGCACAGGTATTTTTGAAAAGTTTTACAAATGTTTCTGATGCAGAACTAGCAAAATGTTCTGCACATGTTAAGTGCTAAGTAAGTCTAGAATAATGAATTTCACTGCTGTCAAATGAAGTTTGAATGAATAAGCAATTTACAGATAACCTATTTTAGTTCTCCCTAGTCTACCTGAATGTTGCAACTGATTTAAGCACTGTTTAATTGCAGGCACTGAAAAGAAAGAGAGCTCTATTTCTTTGGTGGGAGAATACAAAGAAAGATGTAGAAACAGCAGTTGCATCCCTCCACCTTAATCTCTGGTTTTATAGTGACATTCTCACGATCATTGGTCTTATGATCAGGGCATTCTTCCTTAGGTTGGTTGTAGCTAGCAACAGAAATAAAGTGAACAATTCCTAGAACAAGATCTGACCGTGCTGAGTGCCTGTTTTCAGCTGCTTGGCTTGTTCTGGAATTGAAATGGGCCCAGAGCAAGCAAGATGGGTACCATACTGCTTCAGCCTGGGATTATTGCTAAATCCTAGGTCTTGATACATTTCTCTCTTCTCTTGTACCTTAGCTTCTGTCCCTCAGAACCAGCCTTGCTTATTTCCTTTTTCCTAAAGCTCTTACATAAGTTATTAAGCAAGAAATTTACTATTCTTTAACTTACTTATTCTGATTGGCCCTGTTACAGGAATGAGGGTCTATTTTATCTTAAGGAAGTAAAATTTGACAGTATTAGAGAAATCAAAATATTTCTCTGGCCAGATTCAAAATTATCTTTGGTACATTTTAAATCATCATATTTAAACCAATGAATGTAGTCTGTGGTTGTGTTTTTTAAGGGAAAGTGAAACAGATCATATTCTGTCAGCAAACTCCCTCTACTTGGGCTGCCTCCTATTTTACCTTTTTCATCCCAACCAAGGTTAATTTATTACAAGCAGAACTTTACTCCCTTTTCCATCACTCAACTACTGGCAGAAGGAAGAGGAGGAAAAAAGTCCCAATCACTGTGGATTGTCCCAACAGATTCCCACAGCACACACACACACACAAACACATCTGTTCCTTTGTTCTTTCACCTCCATCCTCAGACTTGGGCCTTCCTCCTCTCCCCTTCCCCTTTGTCCTTACTGCCTATGTGTGTGTCTCTTGACCCCTTTGTCAAGTCAGGCCTTTAGAAAAGCTTTTAAGGCTACATGAGGCACTGCCAGTTACCTAGAACATTTCCATTGGCACTGTGTTTGGCTGGAAGATGACTCCAGGAGCTCTAGTGTCAGTTCTTCTGTGTATGGAGGTGGGGGGTAGGGGAAGGAGGGAGCAGACAAAGAAGGAATATGTTCTAAATATCTCCATGAGAAACTTGAATTAATTTTGAATTAATTTTCCCATAGGAACTTTTATTATAAGTGGTTATTGGATTCTGGAATATGATGAGTGCTGATAGTGCTTTTTTTTTTTTCCTACGAGGAAATATATTCCAAGTACCAAATAACCAACATGAGTGCATTTACAGAACTCAAACCATTAATAAGTTGTAGAAATTGCCTATGCAGATTTCCTCTGTGGTTGTCCTTTGTATTGAAACATAGTGACAATAAAGAGTCCTCAGAGGAGTATTTCCTTTGTCATTTTTTAACAGTGAGCAGAGTTTATTGAACAGAGATATTCGAGGGCACTTACTCTTGTACGAATATAGATATAATTAGCATTTTATAAATGCTAAAATAACAAAAGAAATATTTGAAGCGGATGCTATTAATACCATATAAAGATATTCATTCTAAATGAATATTTTTTAGGGATTGAACATTAACTTTTTGTTTGTTGGGGTTTTTTTTTTTACATTTTTAAAATCAGATTTTTGAGGTATAATTTATAGATAATAAAATTCACCAAATGGATGCAGTCATGAAACCACTACGACAGTCAAGACATAGAACATTTCCTTCACCCCAGAAACTTTCCCTGTATCCCTTTGCAGTCAATTTTTTCTCTAGCCCCTGACAATCACTGATCTGTTCTCTGTCCCAAAGTTTTGCTTTTTCTTGAATGTCCTATAAAATAGTCATACAGTATTGTAGTCTTTTTTGGGTCTGACTTATTTAGCACAGTGATTTTGAGATCTACCCTTGTTGCATGAATCAGCAGTTGTTTCCTATTTATCGTTGAGTGGTAGTCCATTGTATGGATAGACCACAGTTTGTTTATTCATTCACCAGTTATGGACATTTGGGTTTTTTCCAGTTTGGGGCTATTCGAATAAAGCTGCTGTGATACAGATACAGATCTTTTTATGGACATATGTTCTCAATGTACTTGGATAAATATTTAGAAGTAGGATTGTTGATTACATAGTAAGTATATGATTATATTTATAAAAAATAGCCGAACTGTTTTCCAAAGAAACATGTAGTTTTGCATTCCCACCAACAATATATAAGAGTTATAGTTGCTCCATATCCTCATTAGCACTTGGTATGTCATTCTTAAAATTTTTTGCCATTCTAGTGGGTATGTAGTGGTATCTTTTTTTTTTTTTTTAATATGGTAGCGATGAGCCACCTGGGTTTTTTTTTTTTTTTTAAAGATTTTATTTATTTATTCATGAGAGAGAGAGAGAGAGAGAGAGGCAGAGGGAGAAGCAGGCTCCCCGCGGAGCAGGGAGCCCGATGCGGGACTCGATCCCAGGACACTGGGATCATGACCTGAGCCGAAGGCAGACGCTTAACTGACTGAGCCACCCAGGCGTCCCTATGTAGTGGTATCTTAAGGTGGCTTTTAATTTACATTTCCCTGATGACCAGCAGTGTTGAACATCTGTTAACTTGCATGTATTTGCCATTCATATTTCTTCTTTAATGAAATTTCTCTTCAAATCTCACCCATTTCAAAAATCAGGTTGTCATCTTACTGAGGTGTAGGAAGTACGGATTCTGCCTGTGGAGCGACCCTGTTGGGTGGAGGCTGGAGGCGTGGGTTGTGAATTTACCCAAGGCAGAACAAAGGAGATAGTAGTTTATTGAATACACCGCAAGGGAGCAGCATGGTGGGACAGCAGAGGAGACTGTGAGGAAGCAGTGGTGGAGGGGGGTGGCGTATAGTGGGGGAAGTGAAGAGGCATGGGAACTATGGAGTTTTCCTGTTTTGGTACCTGTGCCTGGTTGTAAGTAGCCCATGGTCGGCAGGGCTTATGGATATTTTGAGGTGGGTCACCTAATGGGCCTGTCTTCATTCAGCTCAGTGGCCGCTGTGGGCCCCTTTACCTTACTCAGTTTCCATTGCTCAAGGCTGTGGCCTACAAGCGGCCTCCACATTGTCCTTTATGAGGTATGTGTTCTGTAAATATTTTCTTCTGGTGTGTCGCTTGTCTTTTCATTCTCTTAACAGTATCTTGATTTCTTTGTTTAACCCAAGAATTCTTTGCTTAACCCAAGCTCATAAAGATTTCCTCTGTATTTTCTTTACATGGTTTATAATTTAACTCTTAACATTTAGGTCTGTGGTTCATTCTGAGTTAATTTTTGTATATGGTACAAATTAAGGGTTGAGATTTTATTTATTTTTGCTTATGGATTGCCACTTGTTCCAGAACAATTTGTTAAAAAGAGTATCTTTTCCCCATTGAATTATCTTGGCCTCTTGTTAGGCCATTGATTTGAGACCTTTCTTCTTTCCTAATATAAAGCGTTAGATGTTATAAATGTTTCTTCAAGAACTGCATTAGCTGCATCGCACAGATTGTGCTTTCATTTTCATTCAGTCCAAGAGATTTTTCTAATTTTCCCTTTCACCTATGGCTCATTTAGAAGTTGTTTGATTTCCAAATATTTGGGAATTTTCTAGATATTTTTCTCTTAGCAATTTCTAATTTAATTCCGCTGTGGTCAAAGAACATAACAAAGTATGGTTTCAGTCCTTTTAAATTTACTGAGATTTATTTTATGGCCCCAGGTATTCTTAAAATACTCAAACTTTTTTGAAAAAAAATTGTTTCTTTTTCATTATTTTATATGTAAAGTGGCAGTTTACCAAATTACTATTTTATAGGCCGTTTTTATTTTTAAAAAGCTCTTGAGTTACAGTGGTACCTTACCTAATTGTGAATGACTGTTATTTTATGGCTGTGTGATGCTCTGTGGGTATTTGCTATTTTTGCTTTGTTGTAGCTACAGGTTTGTAAGCTGTTCTCCCGTTTTCATGCTTTTAATAGGTCTGAGATCTGGCAAACTTGGTGAACAGTGTGAAGCAGTTGTTCGTTTTCCCAGACTCTTTCAGAAGTATCCATTTCCTATTCTCATCAATTCTGCGTTCCTAAAGTTAGCAGATGTTTTCAGAGTTGGGTAAGTCTTTTTAAAGCCTCAGTGTCCTAAAGTACTTTGTTCAGATTTCTTTGTTTATAATGTTGTGGTCTTTATTGTTTTTGCTCTTCGGGACTTCCACATGGTTAGTGACCATTTTAATGGATGTACATGGCAGTTTACAACACTTTTCGGTGTGAAATATAATGGCATTTTAAGCAGAAATGAAGTTACAAGTCAGAGAGGACTTATTTCTTTGGGGAACAGAATAAATCCAGTTAAGATAATCTTAATATATATATTATTGCATCTTTTGGAAGTATCTGTTGTTTGCACAGATTGTTTTGAGAAGTTCCTGATTTAATAACTTGTTTTATAACACAAGATTACATGTTACTGTGAAGTGCCTGAAACATGGATGGACTGGATAAATACCTTTTGGGTTTTTTTTTTCCCTCCCCACCAGTCCCTCTCCTGCTTCTTTCTACTGTTTTCCATGCACTTGTGTGTTTACACACACACCGAGTCAGACTTGAAGGAGAAGAGATGTGTAGAATTAGCTTGAGAGAAGAGGAAGACCATCTGACCTCCTGGCCTTGGTCATAATATGATGGAGGAGATTTAATTCATCCCCAGGGCTTTTCTCTCTGTCACTGCCATCTGGGTGTCTTGCAGCAGGATTGCAGGCATTGCCAACTGCTTGTGCTTCGTATTCTAAGTGTAGGCTTCACGCCACCAAACACCATACGATTCCTACATGTAGCTCCCGTTTTCTGTAGGTACATCAGCAGAGCGTTGTCTCCAAACTTTGAATCTTGAAAGCTCTCATATGATCTCCTCTGATCTTAAGTATGTTATTTCAGTTCCACATCCCTTCTTGATACTTGAGTCTTCGTTCCTTTATGTTCTCCTTTCCCTAATATATGCTTAGAGTTCTTGACCTTGGCTTTAACATTTCTCGTCCTTCCTTCTCATACATGTCTGAGGATGTCAGATAACATCCAGGTAACTGATACTATAGGACATATCAGAAAGGATTGAGTCTGGAATTCGTTCTGTCCACTGTGGGAGGAGAGAGAGACAGCGCTGTAAATGCTGAGTTACAGGACATATAATATCCCATATAACAGACATGAGTTTTCTATTTCCTTTCAAATGTATTGCACATTGTTTGCCAAGGCAGTTCTATCAGTTCATACTTTTGCCAAGGTCACATACCTGTTGACCACAACCTAGTCAGCCCTGGCTGTTAGTTTTATTACTTATGATTTGCTAGTTATGAAATGTTATTTCATTGCTGTTTTAACTAGCATTTTATAAATAACTTGTGAGGTTGAATATTTTGCCATATGATCTCATTTCCTTTACTACAAATTTTCTGTTTGCTTCCTTTATTTTTGTCTTATATATAATCTTCTTTGATGAAAATCCTCAAACATTAAATTTTTGTGAGTAATGTTGTCAGTATTCTTTGATTAGAAGAAGACGTGAAGGAGTAATGGGAATATTTATTTCGTTTACTGAGCTCTTTCTATATATCAGATGCTTTTCTCATTTGCACATGTTTTCACATGTGAGGTAAGTACTGTTGCTCAGCGTTATATAATTGAGGAAATGGAACTGAGCAGAGAAGTTAAATTTGTCCACAGTGATAATACAGTTAGTGAGAGACAGAGCCAAGATAGCAGTCTTGGCAGTTGGTCTTCAGAATCTATGAAATACTACCTTTCTGACAGTTTGAACATTTGTGTTTGTTGTACGTAATAAATTTAAGACATACCTGGATGAGCAGTGTGTACAACATGAGAAAATTATTATCCTTAGGAAGAATGTCAGACATTTGAAAAGGATCCCTTATGTTTTGTTCTGTTTGGGCATTTCAGGTACACTAACAAATGCAAAAGCAAAACTTGAGAATCCCTCTTCCAACATGGTGAAGTAATCAAATATGTCAGCCACTCCCACAATCATGTCATCTGCAAATCAGGGCAGATTCTCTTCCTTTTTGATCTTTGTGCCTTTTATTTCCTTTTCTTACTGCACTAGCTTGAAGTTCCGGCCCTATGTTGTGTAAGAGTAATGAGAGCTGGCATATTTGCCTTTTCCCCAGAATTCTGAGGAAAGCATTCATTCTTTGACCACCTAAATATAATGTTAGCTATGGGCTTTTGGTTTATATCCTTTATCAAGAAGAAGTTTTCTTCTGTTCCTAGTTTGATTAGTTTCATCATGGATGTGTTATTGAATTTTGTTCATTGCTTTTTCTGCATTGATTGATATGATCATGTAACTTCCTTAGCCTGTTAATATTATGAATTACATTGCTTAATTTTTGAATATTAAACCAGCCTAGTATTCCTGGATTAAAAACAACAACAACAAAAACCAAAGTGTAGGCTTCAGCTCTTTTAATGATGAGAAATAATAATAGATTGAAAAACATTGGCCCGTTGCTAAAATTTAATATCGTTAGTGTTGCTTCGATTCCTAATTAAATATTACTTTCTTGAAGTGGTCTAATTTACTTTATCTCTTGTTCTTCATAGAAACAATTTCCTGAGGCTGTGTGTTCTTAAAGTTACTCAACAAAGTGAGAAGCATTTGGAGAAGATTCTGAATGTGGATGAATTTGTGAAGAGAATTTTCTCTGTGATTCACAGTAATGATCCTGTAGCAAGAGCCATCACACTCCGGTATACTCTGTTGCTATAATGAATCACCACAAGATTGTTTGAGTTGCAGTTATGTACTTAAAAAGGGCAATATGTTTCCTTTTTTCATTTTGAATGTTAAGAATTTGTTTTTTCAACCAATACTCCGGGCAGAAATATGGTAACCATCCCAATCTGTACATGCTTTTCTCTTACCACCTATGATGCTGCTTTGGTTGTGAAATATTGCCTAACTCGTGTTTGAAACATTTCTTTTTGTAGGTTGGTGTTCTGATCAGCCAGCTGGGGTCTGAATCTAGCTTAGCCCCAGCTCATTTTGGACTCTTACCTTCCTGAACTTGTTCTGTTTCATGTCAGTTTTTCTATTCACCTTTGGTTATGTGCTCATTTTTATATGCAGTAATTTGTATTTGAACTCCTTGGAGAATGCCAGATGGAACCACTGTAGTTTCTCCATCCTTTTCTTTTCTTTGTTGGCATCTAAAAAAAAATTTTTTTTAAGATTTTATTTATTTATTTATTTGCGAGAGAGTGAGAGAACGAGCGGGGGAGGGGCAGAAGAGGAGGTAGAGAATCTCAAGCAGACTCCTTGTTGAGCAGGAGCCCAATTCGGGGCTTGATCCCACGACCCTGAGATCATGACCTGAGCCGAAAGGAAGAGTGGGATGCTTAACCAACTGAGCCATCCAAGCACCTGCCCCCCCCAATTTTTTTTTAATTTTGTCAGAATTTCATATTGTAAGCCTTATATCCAGCTTGAATCATATTCTCTTTTTAGGTCTGCTGTTTATGGAATGAATGTGTAATTTTTAGACTTCTGAAATTCACTTTCCTAAATTATAGGGCTCACTTCTGACTTGCCTTGTCCAGAAGTGAGCCCTCTTTTTAACCATGAAGTCTAGGATGTCACTTCTCTAATTTTTCTATCAGGAGCCAGTTCTTCCCTCTTGTTCAGAATTAAGTGCTTTTGTCATTCCTCTGCCTTTTGAGTGATTAAATTATGAGCAGATATTTTAAAGTCAGTTAATTGGTTTTATCTTTTAAAAACCATATATAATAGAACAGAATTAAATTTAAGATAGACTTTTTGATTCAGCAAATTCACTTATAGGAATTTTTTTCTGTAAATCATTTTTAAAAGTTGGTGAATAAATGTATACAGATGATCATAGTATTATTTTTGTAAAAAGTGAAAAATTAGGGAAAATCATGTGTCAGTGTGGGAATAATTTATGGACCACTATATAACTTTTAAAGAATGAAGTGTGTGTTTAACATAGAGATATTAAGGGGCACCTGGGTGGCACAGTCAGTTGAGCGTCTGACTCTTGGTTTCAGCTCAGGTTGTGATGAGATCGAGCCCCGCTCGGGCTCCCGGCTTCAGGCTCTGTGCTCTGTGCAGATTCTGCTTCAGATTCTCTCCCTCTGCCCCTCCTGCTCATGCTTTCTCTCTCTGAAATAAATAAATCTTTAAAAAAGTGGAGATATTAAGTTAAAAAAAAACAAGTAGTCAAGTAATGTCCATTTTTTAATTCATTTTTACCTGTAATATTAATATATGTGTTTATTTAGGCTCAGAAAAGAATCTGAAGGAATGTATACTGTTAACAGTGATTATTTTTGGCAGGGGTTATTGGGCTTTGGATTACAAGAGACTTTTCTGAGTGATTTTGCAATGTTTGAATCATTTTCCACAGGCATAGGTTATCTTTTTTTATCAGAAGACAATTAAAAAAAAGAAATAATACAATTTAACTAGTAGAATGATTTTATAAATAATTTAGAGCTAGTTTGAATGTTTTGAGAAGAATATCGATTAATATTTGAATATTCCATTCATTTTGCATGCTTGCTCTTTCCAATTCATGATAACTGGGCTTTGCCACAATTCTTCATTGGAGAACTGTTACTGTCAATAAAATCAGAGATTTGTAGAAAGCTTCCAGAATATTTATTTATTTATTTATTTAGGAAAAAAGGAAAGGAAAAAAAATCAGATTGAAATTATATTTCTCAACATTAACACGATGCAAAAAATATTAAAAGAAACTTGAGTTGGGGCGCCTGGGTGGCCCAGTTGATTAGGCATCTGACTTTGGCTCGGGTCATCCCAGGGTCTGGGATCTGGTCCGCCATCAGGCTCCTTGCTCAGCAGGGAGCCTGCTTCTCCCTCTGCCTGCCACTCCCTCTGCTTGTGCTCTCTCTCTCTTTCTTTCTCTGACAAATAAATAAAATCTTAAAAACAAAAAAAAAGAAATTTGAGCTAAGAACGTTAAGGAGTTCAATTACCATTTAAAACATAGTACGTGGTGCCTGACTGACTCTGTTGGTGGAGCATGTGACTCTTGATCTTGGGGTTATAAATTCAAGCCCCACATTGGTATAGAGATTACTTAAAAATAAAATCTAATAAATAAATAAATAAATAAATAGTACAGTTAATAAGATCCTTAGATATACAAGGCCTTAGATGATTTTGCCAAATAGGGACTGTTTTAAAAACATTCTTGGAGTAGTTACTTTAGGAAGAGGAAAAAGCTTGGAGATCAGGAGTAAGGGGTGATCAGATCATTTTGTGAAGTTTGCAGAATTATAAAGTAAATATCAAATACCAAAAAAGTGTATTTATAACAACTCAAATCTAAAATTCTAGTATCAACACAATATGAGAATATCAAACCCTTCTCACAAAAATAGAACATTTTTGAATAGCCTTAAAATTTTTTTTCATGATTTCATAGTTTTTTCATGATACAAAAGATGACTTAAAGTAAAAAAGTATTTTTAGTTTAGTGTATTATTTAACATTATATTATAAAGTTTTAAAAATACAACCTTTAAAAAGTATAAAGAAAACTAATTTTGCCATTAAAAAAGTAATAAGCACCATGTCATTTACTACCTTAATTATGTAAGAAAAAGCATGATTTGTCAATAAAAATTTTTAAATCATGCATTTGACTTGGGGCTAAATGTAGTAAAAAGTAGGTTCCTTTTTTCCCCAATAACATTTTACTATAAATTTTAACAGTAGAGCAAACATTTTTTCTAATGCATTTCATAGTAAATTACAGATAATACACTTTCCGCTGGGTACTTTGGCATGTGTATCATTAGGTAGAGTTCAGCTTGTTTACAGGGTTATCTGTTTCTTTCTTTCTTTAAGATTTATTTATTTACTTGAGAGAAAGAGTGCAGACACATATGCACACAAGCAGGGGGAAGGGCAGAGGGAGAGAATCTCAAGCAGACTCCCTGCCCAGCGTGGAGCTCGTTGTGGGGCTGGATCCCACCACCTGTGAGATCATGACCTGAGCCTAAATCAAGAGTCGGATGTTCAATCGACTGAGCCACTCAGGTGCCCCACAGGGTTATCTGGTTCTTTAAATGTTAGTTAATTTACTGAGTACTGATAGATGCTTCAACTTACTCCAACCACTATCAGGATATAGAACTTACTCCAGAATATTCCCTTATGCGCTTTCTACTCAGTTCCTTCATCCACCTCCCCAGAGGCCACTGCTCTTCTTTTTCCTATTATATAGATAAATTTTTTGTCTGTTTTCAAACTCCATATAAGTGGGCTCATACAGTGGGTATTCTTTTGTGTAAGGCGTCTTTCACTCAGTGTTTTTTAGATTAATCCATTTTGTATGTCAGTAATTTGGTTTTTTTTATTGCTGAGTAGTTTTCCATGGTGTGTGAGCTTATTCTCTTACTGATGAATACCTAAGCTGTTTCCACTTTGGGGCTATTGTAAATAAAGTTGTTGTGAACCTTCTTGTACGAGACTTGTTGTGAACATGCTTTCCTTTCTGCCAAATAGATACATAGGACTGAAATTGCTGAATCATGGGGTAGGTATATATTTAATTTTACAAGAAACTGCCAGACCTTTTTTCCAAAGTGGTTTTAACCATTTTATTTTATTATTATTTTTTAGAGATTTTATTTATTTATTTGACAGAGAGAAACAGCGAGAGAGGGAACATAAGCGGGGGAGTGGGAGAGGGAGAAGCTGGCCTCTCGCTGAGCAGGGAACCCGATGTGGGGCTCAATCCCAGGACCCTGGGACCATGACCTGAGCCAAAGGCAGACGCTTAACAACTGAGCCACCCAGGCGCCCCTTAACCATTTTATATTCTGACCAACAGTGTGTGAGCTCTGGTTGCTTCACCCTTTTGCCAACCTTTGGTGTTGTCAGTCTTCTTCATTTTAGCCATTCTGATGGGGTGTATAGTGGTTTTGATTTGCATTTCCCTGATGGTAATGATCACTTTCTCATATACCTTTTGATGACAGTTCTTCTGTCTCTTTTTGGAAAAATCCGTTCAAATTGTTTGCCCGTTTTCTTTCATTAGATTGTTTAGATTTTATGTTACTTGTCTCTTTATTACAGAATTGTAGGGTTTCTTGATATATTCTGAATACCAGTCCTTTATCAGACATATGCTTTACAAATCATATTTAAAAATAGAAACTTCTTTCAGGGCCTGAAAGCCATGAACAGAATGACTACCATTTTTATGCTCTTCCTTAAGTTACATCTCAACATTATCGTTTCTTATATTTTCTGTCTGTAACTAAGATAATATATGCCTCAGAATAAAGAGAGTTCTGAACTGGGTAAGTGTCAAGACCAGCCGAGATGCTGGCGGTGTGAAACCAAGTGAGGGTGCTTCTGAGATAGTCACCAACCACTGTACATTGCTTTTAGTTTATATAAATTATGAGGTTTTCAAAATATTCTGCTTTTAAAAGGGAGAAATAACATAAGTGCTTTTGTAATTAAGAAGAAAAAAGATGTCAGCTTTTTGAAATCCCATTTGGGAAGCAGTAGCCTGCTCAACTGAAGAGAAGTTTGGCTGGATGTATAGGGAGAATTATTCTGGTCCCAACTCACATTCTGATGAGTTGACATTTCAGAAATCACTTTCCTTGATGTAAAGTGAGAAAAGTGATACCTGCCCGAATGGATTCGCTTATTTCCTATATGGTAAAATGCAACATGTGCAAAAAAAAAAGAGTTTTTGGTCACCGTAGAAATGTAAAGAACCTGACTATTAAAATCTGTCTTTGAAAAGGTATGAAGCATATAAGTGATTATGTATTCATTCCTTCTATCGTGAAATACTTGACTACAGTACTTTTTTTTGTAAAGAAAAAGATGTGTTACAGAAAGATCTTAATGTTTAATAGGAACATGATTTTTCATTGAGGAACATTATAATAGCTGATGAAAAACGAATCTGTTAAGGAGAAAAAGTCTACAAAGAAAAGATGTGGCTAATAAGTGATAGATCAACATTAAGTACTCTGAGTACCCATTGAATAGAAAGTTTGTTTGTTTTTAGGAAAATAGATTAAAGTGGGAACTCTGATCTCAAGGAGCTTGTTTTCTGGAAGAATGTATTAATAAGGTTAAACACATGAAGGAAAGCAAAAAGTGATGTCTCTCAAACACGAATTCTTAGAGTCAGAATGATTCAAACTTAAAGAGGAGAAAGGACAAGGAAGAGATGACATTTTAAAGATGTTTTCTTTTTTTACCCATTACTTTAGACTTCTTAATGGAAACAAATGGAAGAAGAAGCTGGGAGGTATTTATAGTGTTTGAAATGTAGTGCTACAAATTATTTATAATTTTACCAGAAATATTTTCAGAAAGTAATGACCAATGGGTCATTATGCCTTTTTTTGCCCTTTTGTATTTAAATAGTAACAAACTTAATCAAAATGTGTTGATATTAGCCCAATCTTTTCTTATATAAAATATGTTACAAGTTGTTTATTTCTTTTGAAAAATAACTCCTCTAATTTCAAAACCTTATTTTCAAATTGAATACAAATGACATATGGTAGTCCATTTTAGTATTTTGTTTGGTATAAACTCTAATACTTATGTCCAATCAAATCTCCATAAGATAGGTAGGTGGTGACATGTCAAGTTGGAAGGTTACTTAGAACACTGACTTTGAGAAATGTTGTCCTGTAGGAACTCTGTTTTGTTTATTGCAGTGTTTTACAGCCTTCAAAAATCCATGCCTTTCTTGTGAAAAAATCTTTCAAGCTTTGTCTTATGTAGTTTATGTTACAAACAATAGATTTCTTTCCTTTTCCAAATTTATAATTTATTATAAAGTAGATTGTGTTTTTCGAGACGCTACCTTCCTCATCCTTGCAGATTCTGAAATGAGCCCCAGGGAGTGTCCTCTACCTCGGTTCTCTTGATGCTGAAGACAGATTTGAAAATCATGGTATCAGTATTTACTGATGTAGAAAAAAAGACTGGGAGTCTTACCTTTTTTACTTTCTGGACCTGCTTAATAGCAAAAATGTTTTGCTAAAATGGACTGATAGAACATTGGAAAATTGATATTTTGGTGCTTTAATAATTCAGAAGTTTCTGAGCTCTATTTGGTACCTGGGAGGTACTTCAGGATGATAATTTTCAATTTTGCTTATGTTAGATAAGCCATGTTAATTTTTCTGACATATCAGAGTGTAGAAAAATATTTGGAATTTGAATCACTGCTTGATTCCTAAAGTTGATGTTTTACTAACCCGAGATTTAAGGAATTATCTGCAAATTTTAATTTTGGCAATCTGGCTTTGTCTCGCTTCTTCCTCTCTTGATTTTTAGCTTATTGTATTTCTTTTCTTTTTGGATCTTTCTGTCTCTGTAGGATGTTGGGAAGCCTGGCATCAATAATTCCTGAGAGGAAGAATGCTCATCATAGTATTCGTCAGAGTCTGGACTCACATGATAACGTAGAAGTCGAAGCTGCTGTTTTTGCTGCTGCAAACTTCTCTGCACAGTCAAAGTAAGCATCGGCCTTTTAATAATTCGTCTTCTCAAGAAGAGGTTTTGAAGGAATAACTCATCAATATAGATAAACACTAAGAGAGCAATGTAAATGGCAAGGTGTATTTTCTAAGAGGGTTTACGTCATGTTGGGGAAACAGAACTTCATTACATAAAACAGAATACTTAAGTACGTATGTTGGCGTTAACTGCACATGGAATAAGAATTTCCAGAAGGACAGATCAGCATAGATTACGATAGTTAGGGAGGGCTTCATTGGGGAGCAGAAGTTTTGTCCACCGAGGCACCCTCCCCAAACATACATGGTTCTAATGCTAAATTGCTGCTTTCTTACTGTCTTGTGAAGGTTAGCTTTTTGGCATTAGAGCTGTGTATGTTTGGCAAAGATAGTAATTTGAGCTGAAACCAGTTTTAGCCTATTTGTTTTTTTGTTTTTGTTTTTTTTTAAGATTTTATTTATTCATTTGACAGAGAGACACCGCGAGAGAGTGAACACAAGCCGGGGGAGTGGGAGAGGGAGAAGCAGGCTTCTCGCGGAGCAGGGAGCCCGATACAGGGCTCCATCCCAGGACCCTGGGACCATGACCTGAGCTGAAGGCAGACGCTTAACAACTGAGCCACCCAGGCGCCCCTAGCCTATTTGTGATGTCATATCCTACACTGTTATATTGTAGAACAATTTTTTTTTTTTTATGCAGTGCTGACCATGGATGGTTATGTTACTGTCTTTGACTTGTTTGGTTACCCTCTCTAAAAATATAAATTATCCCTTTTATTGACTTTTATCAAAAGTAGCATTGCCTTCTGGAGGGCATTTTGGTAGTATGCATTTGCCTTAAACATGTTCATCCTTTTACCCCCTCAGTGGACCTAGAAAATCCACTTCTGAGAACTTAACCTGAGGAATCAGCAACGTGTACTGATACTTATTTGCAAGGATGCTAGTTGTAGTGTTACAAAAACAAAACAAGGGTGCCTGGGTGGCTCAGTCGTTAAGCGTCTACCTTCGGCTCAGGTTATAATCCCAGGGTCCTGGAATCGAGCCCCACGTCGGGTTCCCTGGTCTGTGGGAAGCCTGCTTCTCCCTTTCCCACTCCCCCTGCTTGTGTTCCTGCTCTCACTATCTCTCTCTCTGTCAAATAAATAAATAAACAAAATCTTTAAAAATAAATAAATAAAATAAAAACAAAACAAATTAATAGCAACCTAACTTCCAGCCAATGTGCTTAGATAAATATGATCGTACAGTGAAATATTATATCAGCTCTTTAACATATATTTTAGAAGTATATTTGGAAACAGGTTATGTCATAGCTTATAAGCTTTTACAGAATATATTTTTTAAGAAACAGGTATTTGTGTTGATGAAAAACAAAAAAGACAGGATATATATCAAAATACTGTCTCTGGGTGATAAGATGGTATCTTATTTTATTCTCCTTTTTATAAATTTCTGTGTATACTGTCAGGAGCAAGTTTGGGCTTTATAATCAGATAAATGTTACTTTTAAAATTAAAAAAAGATAGCATTTCCATTAAGAATCTCTGCTAAATTTGGATAAAACTTGGAACAGTTTATCACCAACTTTCTCTCTTCAGATTTTAATTATATGTGTATTCATCTCTTCAGCTGCTCCTATCAAACCTTCAGAATCCCAGGATTACTCATTGGAAAAGGAGAATGGAGAATAGAAAGCATGTAGTTTTTATGTACTGCTCAAAATTAGTAGGTGTGGCAGTAATTGAGGAAGAGAAATATCTGAGTAAATACAGTCCTATTTGTGCTTTTGAGAACTGGCATTTTTTTTCTTATTGAGAGTCATTACTTTTGAGAGAACTTTTTAAAAATTGTTTTTATTGGTTAGGAATTATGTATCTGGTGAATAGTTATCTGATTACCACTGTCAAGGTATCAGTACTTTATAATCTACCTGAGTAAGCTTGCATTTCCTGTAGCTCCAAAAATAGTTTTCTAAATTTAGTTTCTAAATTCAGATGATAAATTTGTAATTTAGTGATTATATTTTATTTTAATGAGAATCATTTTTGGTTCAGGTTTTCTCTTATGTTATTATCAGAAGCTAATTTTATTAGCTGTGGCATTTCTGATCTGTTTTGGAAAAGGTTAACTAAGTACCGTAGAAACATGATTCTTCGTTTATAGAATTTATTGACTAATAAACATTTAAATTAATGGTTTACATAGAAGCAGTTTTTAACATACCAGGCTTCAGTATGATATAATTTGTTATCTTTAAAAATACCAAATTTGTGCACTAGGAAAGGCTCAAGGGCCTCTCAAAATGTATCAGAGTGTAAAATTAACTAATTGTATAATGAACTGTATCTTTTTGAGATTAGCATTTACCTCTTCTTCTGAAATGATGACCTGGCTTGAAATCAGCTATCTCAACCAATATTAATGGGTTTTTGTCTTAGTATCTCTATCAGTTTTGAATCTTAAATTAGAGCAACTGGCCAAATAAGACCTTAAGAATTTATTTAATACTGTTCTCCCTTTGTCTATTATCATAATCACATCTAACTTGTTCTTAAAAAGGTTAAGATTTTATATATTTAAAGAGCTAGTCCCTGGGTCGCAAAGCAGGAGTTGGAAACCCAAATGCCTTCAGAAACTGGGGAAGCATTGTTAGTGAGAGAGGTGCCCTCTAGCGGCCACTGTGCCGAACTGAACAACACACTCGCAGCCTAAAAGTGGTGGCTGCTTACTCCTTGGCCCCAGATGGTTGTGACATTGCAGGTATGTATGCCTGATGCTGTCAGATCTGGCTTTTTTGGAGGGGCAGGGGTGGAATGGATGGAAGCTGGAAAATCTGATTATTCTGTTTATAGTCTTATCACCATATGAGACTCTATATTAACATACATTCTTAATACTGACATTAAGAATTAAAAAAAATATTAGTAGCAAAAAGAAAAAAAAGAAAGAAAGAAAACTGCAGGCTTCTAATTTGCGGTTTATTGACCCTAAAGGCCCATAACAGATTTTTAAATTTTGAGTTGTATAAAAGTATATAGTTACTGAAGAAATGCTTATTGAATATCCACCATGTCCAGAGAGTATGCTCAGCACCCAGGAATACAGGGGTAGAGAAGATAAAAGCCCTATTGTTGTGTAAACACAAAATAGTTTCAGATGTGTGTTAATGTTATGGAAAAATAAAACAATTTTGTGATAAAAATAATACAGTTTCATCATTGTTATAATGACCTGAGTGAGCTGCTTTAAGTAGAGTGATCAGGGAACGCCTCTCTAACGAGGTGACATTTGAGCTAAAACCAAGTGATGAAGAGGCAGCAAGTTAGAGGAAGAATAAGAAGAAAGAATAACAACTATAAGAGCACTCTGATATGTGAATGAGTTGTCTATACATGCCCGATACACCTCTTATCTTACACCTAAAAGACATTTATAACTTAACTTTTTCTTATCAAATGTGAAGCTGATATCTTAGAAAGGTAGTTTTCAGACTATTTGGTATCTTTATTCTTTTCAAGCATTATTGAGGTCCTCAGCTTTTTTTGTTTACATGGACTGTATCGATTGATATTTACAGTATTAGAAATTTAAATGGCGAAATTTTAAAAATACGTGTTCATTTTTAAAATAACAATTCTCTAAATATGTTAATATAAAAATACTTCTATGAAAATAGTTGTTTTCCAAAACAAAACAATTTTGTGAGATGAGTAGCATTGTTTTTTTTTTTTTTACATTTTTGCAAATCTCTTTCATGTCTGGCTGGATTCTTATATCTGTTTCTGTATTCAACATTTTTGTTGCAATATGTTACCATAAAGTATATGAAACAAATCTAGCCTCACACAGATATACAATTGGAAAAGAGAAGAATATTTTTAAAGGCTTTATAGGTAGTTATGAATATTTTTCTTTGATGTTATACAAGAACTAGACAAGTGGTGGTTTCTTAAAGAGTAATTGCAATGTGGACTCTAAAATCGTATCAGTGAACTTGTACATTGAAATCTGTTGGAATCTCTTACCCATTTATGGTTTTATAATTAATGCGTTGGCATTTTTGAAAACATTGGTTCACTGCCTTATGCAGGTCTTCCAAATGTTGACCCATTTCATTGTATCATATCAAAGGATCACATTTGTTATTGGCCACTGATCTCGTCAGGAAATTCTTTAAATATTAAGTTGTCAAGTTCATGGCGATAGATACAAGTTTTCCGAAATTCTAATTTTTGCTTAGAAACTCAGATTGGCAAAAAAAATTTGCCCAGTTATTTTCCATGAATTGACAAGCCGACTTTATTCATCTTTTGAGAAAATATGTCTGCCAAATAGCCAAGTCGGAATAACCATGAAGTTCCATGAAAAAATGTCTAGTTCATCTCATACCTCAAATAATTACATGGTACTTTTCCTGGAGACAACCACTGTGTGCTTATGTGTGGCTTCTGTTTTGTCAGAGAATATTAAAAAGATACTTGCTCATGGGTTGAAATTCAATAGAATTAGTAATTTTCACTGTTTTATCAAGGACGTTTGTAAGTGCGTCTGGCTTCCTTCCTTCCTTCCTTTCTTTCCGTTTAATGTGAGTGCACAGGGGTGGAGAATACAGTGGCTGCTGGGACAGTTTGGTGGCACTGCCTTGGGTCTTGCTAAGGTACCAGCAGTTTTGCTCATTGCTTTGGTACCAGTGGTGAAGAAAGCAACATTGGTGTTCGAGGAAAATCATGAGAGTAAAAAAAAAAAAGTTACTTGCTTTGAAATTTTCAGCACAAATACGGTTTATTGCCAAAAATTCACATACAAGATGATTTTCTCTGATTAGGTGATGCTGATACAAGCAAAAGAGCACATCTAGCCATGTCTGTAGATTTTCCATTTGTGAGGCAGAGATAAAATTCTGCAGTTGAACTATTAACTCAGTCTTCATGTTTGCAGCTAAATCTTTTATGTGATAAGTTACTCCAGTGTTGAAAAGTGGCAGTGCTTGATGTCTTGTACTGACTTTTCATCCAGGCATTCAGCATTGTCAGCTGCAGACGTTTCTTAGCTGTTATGTGCACTTCTCCAGCCAGTGCATTACGATAACTTACCCTGTTAGGATTTCTAGTTTAAAAATCAATAGTTTGCTTTTAAAGAGCACATTTAAAATACTCAGTCTTTTTTTTTTAATTCTAAATAATTAGTCTTGAAACGAAACCACAAGTTAACTGGTACCATAATACTTTCTGAAATGTCTTATTTCATAAGGCACAATAAGTTAAATTATTAACATCTGAAAAATCAAAGGATAGCTTTAGTCATATTCTTTTTTATTTACAGTTTTGCTTTTCTTTATAATAGATTCTTCCATGAATTAGAAAGCTCTTCGATATGTCAGTTTTACCTTTTTCAGCATCTTTAGACCTAGACGGTACAGCTGTGGGTTGAGAAAATGAGTCTTCTAATCTCTTTGTCAAGCCAGTGATTCATTTTTAAGTATAAAAAAAATGCTTTGCAAATAAACTTTATTGTATTTTGGAATAAAATATTGTTAAATTCTAAAAAAGCAATTTTAGATAAAATTTTAGAAAAATCTTTCAAAATTTTATTGCAAAGTATGGCAATGTGTACTTCCTGATATGTTTCTGTAAGCATAAGGAAAACTTCAGGATTTCAAAACAATGATGTATTGGACGATAATGATGTTATAGAGATAGTAATAGATATAGTCAAATATAGTAAAAGCACAGGAGAAGGATTGAGAACTGAGTTAATCTCAGAAAACATATTTGTACACTAAACCTGAACCTACTACCTTAGAAAATTCTAGGAAACACAAGAATGCACAGCTGTCAAGAGGTGATGTCATTATACATCATATAGCCTCTGGAAAACTGTGCTATTCACTTACGAGAATGGAATTGAAAATGGCAAATAATATCTTAACGGCAGGAAATATTTTATGTAGACATCCATTGAACTACAGAGGGGAAGTATTTCATATCTTACATAGCATTCATCGTGGCTAAATGAGCCAAGCTTGATCATATTACCTGTATTATATTTCCTTACATATGATGTAATGTCTTATCCCAAATGTTCATGTTATTAATAACTTTTGCAGCACTCAGTGATATATTTATTGGGACCGAATCAAAAGCAGCACCTTGGAAAACACTTTAAATGTATATAATGTAAAAAAACAATGGCCAACCTTAAATAGTTTGGCTTTTGGTAATATTCTGCCCATATTTCCTACTTGGCTTTTCTACTTCATACTTAGTCTATTTTTCTTAAATTTAGAATATTCGAAATATATTTTATTGCTTATATAATCAGCTTACGGTGTTAAAAGCTTTTCTTAATCAAAAGCACATCCTAAAATATCGTAGACTGAGATAATGACCTTGAATCTTTTAGACAGTGGCACTCAGTGATGCAAACTGCAACAGCACCCATAAATCAGAACATCTTACCTTGAATACCGCTTGGAAACAGTGTTGGCATAAGCCCATTTGCTGGTGGGAATTTTGGTTTCAGTTGCATTTCTTACCCCAACCCCACTACCTGACATTTGGAATATTAGTTATGATTTGAAGTATTATGTTTCTCCCGTGTTGACTGTGTTCTGTTTATGTCCTTGGAAAACTTAAGCAAATGTAATTTTTTTGGTTTTAAAGTTTTTTGCTGTTCTCTCTTTCCAAGGGATTTTGCTGTAGGAATCTGTAACAAAATCAGTGAAATGATTCAAGGTATGTATGCTTCATTCAGTATTATGAAGTGACTTACTGGGATTTATATTAATATTGATAGCTCTTAACATTAAGTACTTACAATGTGTTTGTCACCATTCATTCACTAATTCATTCAAATAATGTTTATTAAGCATCTTCTAAATGCCCCAAACTGTTCTGGGTGCTTAGAATACAGTAGTGAACAAAACAGAGTCCTTGCCCTCGTGTAACCTACATTCTAGTGGCAGAAATGGGGGAGAGGTGGCAATAGACAAATAAAAATATGATATAACAGTTGCCATGGAGAAAAAGTGAGGTAAGAAGGATAAGAGTTCCGAGAGTAGAGTCTGCACCCCAAGGTGGAAGGGGGCACTTTATATTTTGTATATGTTGAAGGACGGCCTCTAATGAAGTGATATTTGTGTGAGAAATACAGTTATTTAGGGGAAGAGCACTCTGATCTGGGAGAGCAGAGGGCTGTTAGAAACTCTGAGGCTCTCTCCATGTTCTGTTAATGTTCCTCCAGTGTCTTCCATTTGCAGCTAAACTCAGATCCAAATTCCTTACCATAGCCTTCAAGGCCCTACTTTTCGAAACTCATCTTCCATGCTGTGCTTCATGTGTGTTGGCCCCACTTACTCCCGTCCTAGTCACTAAAGGGGCTCCAGCACTACACGGCTTGGAGAGCACCACCTTCTTTGTATTTTTCTACGTGGCATTCCTGTGAATTGTGCAACTTGGCAGACTCGGATAGGCAATACTGTTATGTCTATTAGAAGAGGAAATGGAGCCACATTAAAATTACTTGAAGACAAAGATACAGTGGTTGAGCTTTGTCCTGTCCTCCATTCCTTTGTCCTTTTTTCCCCCACTGCCAGAAAAGGGCTGTCCTGCAGAAAGCTGTCATTAAAAGGAAGCATCCTCCCTCATTCATTGAGCAGTTTTTATTGAACGCTGGCTCTATCAGACAAGATTACATCAGGAAATAGATGTCATGCTCGAATTAAAATAATCCAAGGAGGGTTGAAGGAAGGAACAGTTCAAAGGTGTAGTCAGGGTGAACTGTAGGGGATAATGTAATCCTATACCCAAAGGTGCGGAGAGGGAGTGGTTACCAGAAACCTGGAGTCATGTCAGGAGGGCCACTTTGAAAAACTGACCTTCAGTGTGATATGACCTGATGTGACCTTGTAGAGAGGGATCCAGGGAATATATATTCTGACCTCTTTCTTCTCCCTCCCATCCCCTGCTGGGGCTCTTCACTGGCTAAACCCAAACAGTGGGCAAATAGCAAGGGAATTGATGGAAACTATATAGGTAAGCCTCCTAAGGTGCTAGAGTATTGTGTATATTGGGTGATGGTTATTTGAGTATATCGATATGTAGAAACCTATTAATTTATAGACCTAAGATTCATTATTGTTTCTTAAGTTTTATCTATAAAAAGATTTAAAGCAGGGGCGCCTGGGTGGCTCAGTTGGTTAAGCGACTGCCTTCGGCTCAGGTCATGATCCTGGAATCCCGGGATCGAGTCCCGCATCGGGCTCCCTGCTCGGCAGGGAGTCTGCTTCTGCCTCTGACCCTCCTCCCTCTCATGCTCTCTGTCTCTCATTCTCTCTGTCTCAAATAAATAAATAAAATCTTTAAAAAAAATAAAAAAAAAAAAAAAATAAAAAGATTTAAAGCAAAAGAATAGGAACTAGGGGGTTGAAAGAGAAAGGGGGAATAAAGCACAAGAGTGGCAGTGAGGGCAAGTGGAGGAAGGCTGGAGCCCAAGATCTGGAAATGGCAGGGGAGTTTGAGGAATAAAGTAGGATGCTTGTGTTTCTGCCAAGTAAATCTCTTGAGTGTCTCTAAACCAGTAAAAATATCTGTAAACACAAGGAATTCCATGGACCGCTGGGTAGAGCACAGATTTACAGAGGAAGAGGGGTGGGATAGGAGACAGGAATCTCCCATGGGGAAAAGCCTACTAGGGAGAATGCTTAGGAGACTTTTGTAATCAGTCTAGAGATGGTGGTGGAAGTGGACCATTGTGATAGCAATGGAAGCAGAATGACATAGTCAGATTTGGGTTATATTTTAAAGATAGAACCTAAAGGATTTGCTAATAAATTTGGATGTGGAGTATGAGAGAAGTAAGGGAGTCAAGAAAGACTCCAAGGTCTGAGGAGTTATAATGATGAGGCTGTCATATACTGAAATGGGAAAAATTTTTAGAGGGGCAGGTTTGTGGTGAAGATTAAATCTCTCTTTGGCCCTAAGTACAGACTCTAAAACTGTCCATCCCAGTGGAGGTGACCAGGAGGTAATGGGATTTATATTATCTGAAGTTCAGGGGCAGGGTGGAGGGGTAGGAGGTAGTCTTTAGCATATAGCTGATAATGGAAGCCATGGGATTATATCACCTCACTCAGGAAAGGTATTGAGGGTGAGAAGAAAATTTATTACCATTTATTACCAACCCCAAGGAATACCAGAAATTAAAGTATGGATAAAAGAGATAAATATGAAGAGATTGAGAAGGACCAGCCCGAGGAAGGACAAAAACCAGGAGTATGCCTTCGGGAGAGAGTTTCAAAGACAGAATGGTTAGCCGTGTCAGATGCATTTGGTACCTTAAGGATCAAAATATTAATAACATAAGCATGATATGTATGACTGCAGAGAGAAAACCAGGGAGTCAATACTCTGACCTCATTTTTTTCCCTCCCATCTCCTGGGGCTCTCCGCTTTGGCCAGACTTAAATAGAGGCCCAATAGCAAGGGAGTTTGTTGATGTAAGCCACCCCTGGATGTTGAAATCCTCTCATATATTAACACTAACAGTTACTTCACAATGGCGAAACAGTGCTCTGCAGAGTATAAATTAGCTTTTGGCATATATGCAGTAAATTATGATTGACAGTTTTTTTGTTCTCTATCATCACAAAGCTATGCTGTAGAAGAAAAGATTTTGTTTGTGTAGCTCCAATGTTGACAGCAAAAGATTCATTGGAGTTAATCCTCATGGAGTTCCAGCTGTGTAGGCAGTAAAAAAAAGGCACTGCTACCCAAAGTTCAGAACCCCTCCACATACAGTCTATTCACATCCAGATCTTGACTTAATGGTGAAGGAAATAATTAAAATTGTAAATATAATTAAATTGTAGCCATTGAGTATGTGCATATGTAGGTGTATGTGTACCCGTAATATATATCTTTTTAGCATGTTGTGAGAAAGAATAGACAGCAAATACGACTTTGCTTTCTACTGTGCCTTTTAAAGGCATTTTCTACTGGCAGCATGTAGCTTTATACTCACCGAAAAACTAATGTTAAGATAAATGCTTTTGGAAAAAAAACTATTGAATTTAATTGGGTTAGCTCTAGTATAATTATCTTTAATGTCATAAACATAACATTAGCATACTATTTGTTTTTAAATGGTCATGTTGCTAATTGAATCACTTTTTTTTTTTAACCCAGGCACCCTAATTGAATCACTTTTAAATGTGAAATATTATCAAGGATGACCATCAGAAATCTGTCCCTAACGATTCCTTTTCTGTCCAGGTTTAGCCACACCAGTGGACTTGAAACTGAAGTTAATCCCCATCCTCCAGCACATGCACCATGATGCAATCCTGGCATCCAGCGCACGGCAGCTTTTACAGCAACTGGTCACATCCTACCCCTCCACCAAAATGGTGATTGTTTCTTTGCACACCTTTACTCTGCTTGCAGCTTCATCTTTGGTTGATACACCTAAGCAGGTAATTTAAATTTTCTTTAAACTGCCTTTTCTTCAGTAAATTTGCATATTAAGTATAAACTAAAAAAAAATAAATAACCAAAATTTTGATGATATTAAGGTCCCTTCTCTGATAAAGATCACTTTTATTTCCTTTTTCCTTTCCTTATTTGCTTTTTTCTTTTCTGTATTCACAGTCCTAATTCTTGGGAGCCTTTTAGGAATATGGCGTGGAGGTGGGGGTACATGGCAGAGTGTGGGGTTGGCAGGAGAGAAAAGAAAGAGTTGAATATTCAGAGCTGGGTCCCACGCTAGAACCTTACAAGTTAAGGGATAAGTATATTTTTGTGAATGATGAGAAAGTGGCCCAAACATGAACACATAGCTAATTAACTGGGCTGCAATTGGAAGTGAGTTCTGTCTCAAATCTAAAAGTTTGACTAAATTATACTACACATGGTAATTTCAGTGACAGTGTTGTTCACGAATGACTTATTTCTTTCATAGATTCAGCTTCTATTGCAGTATTTGAAGAATGACCCTAGGAAAGCAGTAAAGAGACTTGCTATTCAAGATCTGAAATTACTTGCCAATAAAACACCACACACTTGGAGTAGGGAAAACATTCAGGTATGTAGAATTTTGAACATTAATATTTTATAGAGAAAAATAATGCAACATTGTAAAAAATCATTTTACGTTACATTTTTGTATCCTCTGTCATCTTTTAGATGTTTGAATATGAAAAAAATTTACGGGTATTGTTGATATTTGTGGTAGATGTTGTTTTTTCAAGTGGCAAGGTAAATACATAAAACTTTTATCCTTTCATGTTTCAGGTTCTTTTAGTGAGTTAGACTTGCCTCTCAATTTCTTGTGAATTTTCCCATAGCAGCACTAAGGCTGATTGAGAAGCCCAGTAAAATCATTTATTTAATTCCGGTCTCCTTTACTCACTTTAGGGAGAACAGTTGGTGTTGACTGTGATTTATTAGGGAGAAAGTGCTAGAAGTGTAACTCAGCAAAGTATATTTTTCCTTTTCATGGAGAGGAAGGACATTCTTAAGTTTCCTTTTGTAAATTCAAGAGCAGGTCTCAAATCTCTAGACTTTTTTTTTTTTTAAGATTTTATTTATTTATTTGACAGAGAGAGACACAGCGAGAGAGGGAACACAAGCAGGGAGAGTGGGAGAGGGAGAAGCAGGCTTCCCGCTGAGCAGGGAGCCCGATGCAGGGCTCAATCCCAGGACCCTGGGATCATGACCTGAGCCGAAGGTAGACGCTTAACGACTGAGCCACCCAGGCGCCCCTCAATCTCTAGACTTTTAATGTGGCATCTTTTATAGCATTTTTTTAGGTTAAGTTAATGTTTTATATTTGTTTTTTCTTAAAATGGAACCTATTTGTTTATTCATTACTGTTAACAAATGTACCATTTTCTAAAAAATGCTCTTTAAAGTGAATTGGAAGATTGTTAGAATTTGATGTTTATTTTCAGGGATTTTATTACCTCTTGGTGTCATCGTAGCTACCGTGCAACAAAAACCTTTGAATTTCAGATTATAAAACTAAGCTGCTGTGTTAATTGGTTTTTTGTTTGCAATTTTCTAAACACTTTTCAGTGTATTGTGATTGATAGTCACAAATATCCCAAGAGATAAGGGCAGTTGTTAGTATTTGCATTTATAGTAGATGAACAAATTAGGGTTCAGAGAGACTTAATGTGCTTAAGAGAGCTTCCTAAGAGGACTTAAGAGAGCTCTGTCCTCTAATGCTTTTTCTACTAAATAATACTGTCTTTCCGAGAAGAGAATGTACTCAGTCAGCCACCAAAGGGAACCAAACCTGGTGAAGGCACTGGATCATCCCTTCTCATTTTTCTCTTTACTGTATGATAGATCACACACACATAAAAGTATGTAAAATATTTAATAGTTTAAATAATTGTAAATGAACACAAGGTAGCCACCATCTAGCTAGAAACAGAACAACACCGCAGGCTCACAGAAGCCTGCCACCTTCCTTGGCACGGTCCTCCCTGATCAGAATCGTAAAGCCAACCCAAAGGAAACCACTATTTTGACTTCTGTGATGATCATTTTTTCACTCTTTATTGTTTTACCACCTATATATGTTTCCCTAAAAATTAATGTTTACTTTTTGTTTTTATTTCTTGTGCTTAACATTATAATGATGAGACTCATACATGTGGTCGCATGTTTTTTCCTTTAATTGCTGTGTAGTATTCCATTATTATATAGAATGGACCACAGTTTCCTTGCTGTTGATGGGTTTTTCCAACTTGCAGCTCTTGCAAATAGTGCTGCTTTGAGCATTCTTCAATTTATCTCCTGGCACTTACGTGCTATGTGCAGGAGTTTCTTTATATACTTAAGAGTGAAATGGCTGACGTACAGAATATGTATATTTTCAGCTTTACTGGGTAATGTCAAACTGTGTTCCAAAGTGATTGAACCAATTTACATTCTAAATAGAGAATGCCCATTGATCTCTACATCTTTAGATTACATTTTTACCAGTTTAGAAGTTGTAGTTTTAATTTCTATTTCCTTGATTACTAAAGAAGTTGAACATCCTTTTAATGTGTTTATTGACCATTGGGATTTCCTTTTTTGACATGGCTATTCAAGTCTTATTTTTCTGTTGATTTGTAGTCATTCTTTGTATATTCTGGGTACTTGTACTTTATTGGCCATTGGCATTCTATATAAATTTCAGAAGCAGCTGATCAAGTTTCACTTTAAAAAAAAGTTGGAAAAAAAGTTGATAACTTCATTGGGATTCCATTGAATGGAAAGATCAATTTGTAACAAGTTGATATTTTTACACTGTTAAGTCTTCTAATGCATGAACATGCTGTATCTTTTCATTTCTTTAGATCTCTGTACTGCATTTTTTGCCTTTATCTCTTTTGTCTGATGTTAATGTAGCTACTTCAGTTTTCTCCTGGATGTGTCTATGTGATAGATTATCATCGTTTTAGGGGCACCTGGGTGGCTCAGTCGGTTAAACATCTGCCTTCGGCTCAGGTCATGGTCTCGGGGTCCTGGGATCAAGCCCCACATCAGACTTCCTGCTCGGCGGGGAGTCTGCTCCCTCTGCGTCTCCCCCCACTCATGCTCTCTCTCTCTTTCTCTCAAATAAATAAATAAAATCTTAAAAAAGAAAAAAAGATTATCACCGTTTTACTTTTTCTTTAATGCATCTTTTTTTTTCTTAAAGATTTTTTTTTTTTTTTAATCTGACAGAGAGACAGCAAAAGAGGGAACACAAGTAGGGGGAGTGGGAGAGGGAGAAGCAGGCTTCCTGCTGAGCGGGGAGCCCGATGCAGGGCTCGATCCCAGGACCCTGGGATCATGACCTGAGCTGAAGGGAGACACTTAAGGACTGAGCCACCCAGGCGCCCCTCTTTAATGCATCTTTATGTTTGAGTTATGTCCTATGTCAATTCTGCTGCAAAGACCTTACAATACACTGCTCATTTATATTCCTCTAAGCTTATGCATTGTTATCATGTGTCTTAATTCTATCTTATCAAACAATTTTGTTTTATAAATTCGTTGATCGTTTGGACCTTCCACTGTTTTTGCTCTTCTTGCATCTCAGGCTTTCTCTCGGGGATACTTTTTCTTCTGTCTTTGGAAAGTCCTTTAGTGAGGGTCTATGGTGGTAAGCTCTCCCAGTATTTACTTGTCTTAAAATGTCTTCATTTTGCCCTCACCCTTGAAAGACACTTTCTCTGGGAATAGAATGCCCAGGACATCGAGGCTACCATTTACTGTCTACTGATTTCCATTATTACTGCTGAGAATAGCAGTACTCTTCTGAAAGAATTTCTTTTCCTGCTTTAAAATTTTTCTCTTTAATTTGATGTTCTGTACTATGAACCATCTGATTATAGATCTCTTTTTAAACTGTCTAGACTATTGGTTTTCTTGAATCGTAAGATTGGTCCTTTTCAGCAGTTCTGGGAAATTGTCAGCCATAATTTTTTCAGATATTGCCTTTCCTCCTGGATCTCCACTTAAAATATATATTAGCCCTTATATCAATCCCCCATGTTCCTTATATTCTTTTTCCATCTCTTTATCTCTTTGTGCTGTGTTGTGAATAATTTCTCCTGTTTTAGTTCAATAATTATTTCTCCAGCTTATCTAAAGTCTTTCCAGATATGTCTCTGCTCTCGATTTCTATTGGCCCTCTTTTGTAGTACTCTTTTTCCTTATATAGTTGGCTGTTTTTTACCTTGAGCTACTCATTTTTCTTGGAAAAGTGTGTGTGGGAATTCTCTGAAGAATTTCTCTATAGAAGGTTTGGATTTGCTTCTGCTGGGTGGAGAGGCTGGGTAGTGATATATGCTGTGGAGAAAAAGTCAAGGAATAGGATTAGTGAGTGTGCAAGATGGAGGTTGCAGTGTTGCGTAGGGTGGTCAGGGAAGCTCTTCACTAAAGTTGGCACTTGATCAAGGACGTAAAGGAGGGACCACCAACTTCATGAGCCTCTGAAAGAAGAGCATTACCAGCAGAGAGAACAGCAAGAAAGGTCCTGAGGTGAGAGCATTCATGAGTGTGAGGTCACTGTGACTATAAGTAGGGGGCGCTGAGTCAGAGATGCTGTAGGATGGATGGAGCAGGTTGCACATCATTTAGGGCCTGTGAGTCCTTTGTAAGGACATTAGCACAGGCCATTATTCTTTCTAAATTGAAATATATTTGACATATAATACTGTGTACAGCATGTTGATATGAGACATATATTGTAATATGATTGCCATTGTAGTGATAATTAGTACCCCATCACATTGTGTAATTATTATTTCTTAATTTTAGTGGTAGGACTAATTAAGTTCTAGAGTCTTAGCAAGTTTGATGATTATCATACAATATTGTTGTCCATATTCACTATACTATACATTAGATCTCCAGGACTTACTACTTGTAAGTTCGTACCCTTAAACATCTGTCCTATCCCCCCATCCCAAGTCAGACAGAAAAAGACAAATACTGTATGATATCACCTGTGGAATCTGAAAAGGCCAAACTTATGAAAACAGTAAAATAGTGGTTACCAGGGTTGGGGGTCTGGGGGGCAGGGGACATTAGCATACTTGTTCTAAAAAATTCTCTCTGACTTCAGTGTACTGAGACTAGATTGTAGGGACATAAGGGCAGAAGCAGGGAAAAACATTTAGGAGGTGACTATATAAATACTCCAATTAGAAAATACTATGGCTCTCTGAACCCAGGGGAACAGTGAAGATAGCAGGGAGAAGTGGTAATATTCTGGATATATTTTAAAGGCAAAGCTGACAGATTTACTGGCAAATTATTCATAGAGTATAAGAGAAAGAAAGGATGATTTCAAGGTTTTTGACTTCAACAAATTTACTTGGAATGGGTAAGACTCTGGGAGGCTTATTTCTTGAAGATCAGGGGTTCAGTTCTGACCAAGTAAAGTTTACGGTGTCATACATCCAAGTGGAGTTGTCAAGGAGTTGGAGTTTAATGAACAGATCTAGATGAAGTTGTAAATATGAGAGTCATCAGTTTATAGATGGTATTTAAAATCATGAGACTGGATGAGTCACCTAAGGAGAGAGAATAAATGAG